CAACTGAAAGAAGCAAAGAAAGAGGAGCCAAAGTAGAAGCTAGTGTCACTTGTAAAAATGTTAAGGATCCTGTGATAAAACATAATGATTCTGGACCCTGAATCTTACAGACAACGAACTCGTCCGTTCATAAACGTCATCTAGTACATCACACCAACATCATTTCTCGCCCGCTATAACAAGATCATCCTGGATAACAAGTCCCTTGTACTCCAGCATCACAGGACTGGGCCGCGTTACTCGTCGCTTGGTCGAAGCCTGTGATCAGGCATTTGCCAAGAACGGACAAACTACAAGCAACAGCATTTGCGACATTCCCGTCGATGACCGGGGGAAGGGTCCCTTGCATTTTCTCATAGTTGAAATCAATGGTATATAACAGAATTGCCATGGGCTGACCAACGACGCAAAAGGATACCCAGAACATAATGTTCCCAATCGAGCTTCCAGGAAACTTTCGGTACAAGCGCTTGGTTACAACCACAAGAGGCATCTGTCCCATCATCCCGAGAAACGACCATGGCCGTAAGGAGTGAAATGGAATGCTGATCAACAGCTCATGCATCACAGCCGAGAATAAAAAGACCAAGAAGGTTGCCACCGACCGTGACATTTTGCGCCTCACACATGGGAAATAGAGATGTCGGACCAACCAATAGTGTACTGGCAGATTCCACAATCTCCAATAGGCAGAAACTTCCGCCGAGTTCCACCAATCCTTGTAAAAGACACGATCTCCAAACCGAAGCAACTCCGCGAACAGGTTTAGATAGAGATGGAAATACCAGTAAAACATGAGGAGCCACATGTAGGTGTTTGAAATGCTCAGCTTCAACCAATATTCTGCAATCATTTGATAAGTATATCTTCCATTCGCAGCTTCCAAGTCCTTCAGTAGATTTGCCAAGTTGGGTGCCACTACTTGTGCTCCAAGAAAGGTAAAAATACTCAGAGTTATAGCCATTCGAAATAGCAGCCCGAGTACTCGAAGTGGGCTAAGGAATACAAAGCAAGGAACAGAAAGGTGGCATTTAGCTCAATGTGGAATCTCATGTAGGAGTGCTCGCATACAGTGTTTTCATACCGAATTCGTGGGCTTTTGGGGAATGCGATTTGATAGGTCAACGTTGGGGCAAGCCAGAAATAGTAGATATTGCCAAAGGTTACATTACTGGACAGCAAAGACATGACAAAGTAAGTGTTAGTGCTTCATTTCGTGCATACCTATGTCACGCATGGTCGTTCGAGCTGGCACATACCTTGGATATTCAATATCGATATCGGCAGTATCCAAACTATCAATAATGGCCAAGTTTCGCTGATGGGCATCCTTGTCCTTTCTGGACACTATTCGATAGTCTTGATTTGCATGGGCGTACGAAATGAGCTTCATCCAGGTAATGGCAGCATTCATGAGCAAAAAGCCACCGACGGCTGGTTGATCAATAAAGTTCCACACGATAAAGACAGAAAGACCAAAACAAGCATGCGCATTGAGTTGGTGCAAGACAAAGCCAATCGTTTCGTTAGAGAGTCGCCTCGTCGCAAGAAGCCATTCAATCAAAAAGGCAGTCGCCAAAAAGGCGTGTAGGACCACAATGCCCGATAAAAAAGGAAACTGATCCCATGTTGAAAAGGAAAAGCCTTCCACGTTGGACCACAACTTGGTGAATATGAATCCATGACTCCGTACCGTATTCAGGTAGATTCGAAAGTTGCTGACAATCAATAGGATCATGGCAAGATTGTAAAAGCCTCGATAATTCGGTGTTCGTGCTTCACTACTCAAGAGTGATGGTGCTGACGTTCGATGCATGGGCTTGGAAGGGGCATAACTCACGTCCACCTTTTCGGCATTTCGTGATTTGGATTGGGTTCGAAACAGATTGGATTTGGGTAGTTTGCCATACGAGGGTCGTCGCTTCATACCTGATTTTCTTTCTTCTGCCTTTTTGTCAGGAGCAACAAATAATGGAGCCAGAGTCCCTCGTTCGACCTGCGGCATGTCTTGAATCATTTTCAATTGTTCCTGTCTTCGATTTTCTTCTTCGTTGTTTCGATTGGATTCCTCCCGAATGAATGCATCCGTTTCACAATAGGCACAGGCTTCAGACAATAACTGAATCCACTGTGTCTTTTCGGCAAGTGATGAGGTAGAAAATCGAAAGAGTGGCACAATGGACTCTGTGGACAACTCCTCCTCTTCTGCAGCCGCTGAATCGGAACGATAATAAATCGAAAATACAAAGAAATAGGCTCCCGATTCTTCCAGTGGCGGGTCCTTCCCCTTGACGAGTGAGGTATGTTTTCGATTGAGCTTCCAACCTTCGTCTCTCACAGCGCAACCCCTCAACGATATATCGGACCGTGGTTGATTCTCGAGATGAGAATAGTGGTAGGCAAGCCGTCCTCGGTCAAGTTTGATGAATCTAAGCGCCCACTTACTGCCAGAAAATCCAATGGTTCGATCTTGCCATTTGAAGAGATACCCGCTCTTGCTAGGTGGGGGCAATATTGCTGAAATGTTGCTTTGAAAGGACGAAGACGAAGAAAATGAAGTAGTGTCATCCTTGACTCCAAATTTGGATAGTGCTTCGTGAATTATTCCGAGTTCCTTTTCGAGCTCTTTGGCTCGAGTTTTGAGGGCTATGACTTCCTGTGTCATCTCATACGATGTGGTGTGATTTATTGTGACAATTGGAACAACGTTACAACAAAGTGGTATGCTGGGTCAATAGTTAGTTGTTAGTTGTAGACGTGGATGCAATGCGGATTCTTCTTCGATAAGATCGACATGACAAGTCACAAACATCCTTTTCGATCTCTTCGAATGCTTTTTGGGACGACCCCTTAGATCACTAAAAGAAACCCGGAAGCGGAACCAACAACCGCAAAGGATCAATCAAAATCGATCATCGATCACAACCCCGCATTGTTAGTGTTTGCAAGCTTGAGGATTGTGTTTCACTTTCATCTAGGAGCACTCGAGTCACTACCCGGTGAATTAGAATCTCCTCTTTCATCCAGTGTCACCAACAATGATTGTTTCCGACTCAGCATTTGTCTTGTACGTGGATCATCAAGGCCACCCGGCTCCTCTGGCATTGTGTTATCATGCGACTGCCTCCCGTCGATTGGCGTCTTCTTTGGATCGTCATCCTCCAACAACAGTAACAGAAGTTGATTCCGCCTTTTGTCCCCAATGTTTTGCTATTTATGATTCCAACAGCGCGTCGAATATGGGATATTGTCCCGAAGCCAAATGCCGAATGTGCCCCATTTGCTCTTCGGTGGCCAGCATTGTAGCAGAAGATGGCACGGCTTTTTATAGTTGCGGAAGTTGTGCATGGGATTCAAAGGCTTGTGAGTTGATTGTTCCGATACCAGTGGACAGCGATGGCGCTGTTGCCAAGGAAGAATTGGTCAAGGCGATTCAAGGACTCGGCAAGCAATATTCCACCAAAACGGGTGATGCCAACAAGGCATCGGATACACACTTCAAGGATATGCTCAAGACATTGGAAGGCATGGCCAAGGAAAAAGTCAAGGGACAACGATCCAGAAGTATTTATTCCAAGGGTACTTCGGCAGCCGAGCGACGCGGCATGGATGGCCCAGAAGGATGGTCCGTTGAAACACTGGAGGAAACCATGGAAACGAGACGGAAGGATTTTTCTGCTTCAGCAGACTCACGTGTGGGAGGTCAAGATCCACAAGTAGTTCCGCTGGATCAACCAATTGTTTTGGATAATTCCCTAAAGGATGAACCGACGGAAGCTCTATTGATGCAACAAGTTGGAACTGGAGCTACTAGTTTTGTCGAACTCCTGCCACTGCAAGTTCCATTGCGTCCCCGCAAATCCAGACGTTGTCGGGCAGAGTTGGCCGAAGGACGGCCAGGAATTCTGTTAAAGCCTAAATTGAATCCATTGGAGGGTGATTCTAGTCTCCGAACGGGTCATGGTCAATGGTGGAAAAAGGTTGGTAATGCGATGGGTTGCGCTGCTTACATGGAGAAAAAATTGTCTGATTATTGTTTGTTTTGCTAACTTTCCATTATATCACATTATATAACAGGATTCAAGTGCCATTCAAGCATTACCAAGAGCGAGAGTATCCAAACATGCATCTGATGGAACCAGACATGCCTTTTTGCTCAAGGTGTCCAATCCGACACTCGGAAACATTCGATTCCGTTTGGCTGCTTCGGACTACGGAGGAGAACCGGTTTGGGAGGGTGACTCGACGGAGCGCAACCCAATGTTGGAGAATATTTGCGTAGAGCCGCTAATGGGAAAGATAGTGAGTGCCAGTCTTGCTCCCAAAATTGGAAAAACCATACAAGCATCCACGGTCTGTGAACTAGAACCAGGAGAAGATTCCTTCTTGGATCTGGGACGATCCATATATGATGAACCACCAGAAGTCTACAAATGGAAGGCAGACGAAATTCTAGAAGAATCCAAGGTTTCGGCGGATAATCCTTCCAGTGTTCGAATCATTGCAAGTCGAAAATCATCGGCTTGGTTGGAATTGATTATCATGGAAACTCAAGTGCTTGCCGGTTTCAGCCCTGCGGTTCCCGTGTCCTTGCAAATTGAAGTGGGAGGTGGATCCTGGGATTCCTCCTTGATTCAGCCTGAGAAACAGGATGGTGACAAGAAGGATATGGTGAACTTTGATTTGGTTTTGGTGTGGGACAGTGCGTAAAGAACAGATGTTTTTGATTAACATTAGAAGCAAAACAAGTTGAAACCTGGTTTTCCATTGACTATTTTGAATTTGAATATTGAATATTGGCGAATTCCATCGAACGGATCGGACTAGTCGTGCGGTCACCTGGATGAGTGAATGACGTCACAGTCCAGACAACAACAGAAATGAATGAAATCGAAGATCGCAATCTGCACCTCGTCAGTATTGCAAGCACTCTCGTCTCATTCACATCTCGACAAGAAAGACTACAACACACGACCTACACCATGAAGTTCACACTCTTTGCCTTTGTTGCCACTGCAGCCACCGCTGCCGCCTTCACTGTTGGACCCCAACATGTTGTTGCTATCACTCGGCCTTCCAACAGCGGTGCTTCTTCCTCGATGACATCTTCCAGTTTGAAAATGTCAGAAGCTCTGGAAACACAAACTGCTTTCGCCAAGTCAGAAATCGAATCCAATGATGTGAGTTTCTATTTCATTCGACGCAGGTAGTGATTGGTGGAAATTTTTGTGGGACAATAAGAATTTTGGAGTCCAGTCGGCCGAAATTCCAAATCTGTATCGTGTATTGATCACTTGAACGAACGCTTACACAGTTGGCACCACTCCAACTCAACCATTCTATTTCTTTATTCTCTTCCGATTTCAGGTTGTTGTTTTCTCCAAGTCCTACTGCCCATTCTGCTTGAAGACCAAGGAGCTCTTCGAGTCTCTTGACGTCGACATCAAGGTGCACGAACTTGATGAGATGGGTGATGATGGTCCAGCCCTTCAACACGCTTTGTTGCAAATGACTGGACAAAAGAGTGTCCCCAACGTTTTTGTCAAGGGAAAGCACTTGGGTGGAAACGATGATACCCAAGCAGCCAACAAGGAGGGAAAGCTTAAAGAAATGCTTGGACTCTAAATTGGGACTAATAGTCATGTAGTAACGGCCCATTCAACATAGAATTTACACATGAGTATTATTGTAAAAGCAAGAAGGGATCATGCAAATCACGTGCTCGCGTTCTGCTTTCGATACTTGACCGAGTAGATTGTAACGACATGGAACAGTAGGATGGATGAGACCATTACGATTACTGTTTTCTTTTTTTCTTTTACCCCATGCAGCTTTAAAACATATGACAATAAAACTACATCTATATCGTTGAGCTGTCAACCAGCAACTCCACGATGATGTTACCTTCATAGTTTGGAAGCAGTTTGAAGTTGGTGGGTGTGACGACTCCGTTTCTTTATTCTCCAAAAACCCACGGAATTCATTCGAACACGAAACGCCTCCAACACATCATCATTCTCACTCATCTCATAGTTTCAATACCATCCCAACAAAGCTCCAAAATAGCCCCATTGACTTTCAAAAAGCATTATCAGCATGTCAACAGCAGCATCAAGATCCCTTCGGCTTGGCCTCAGAAAATTTGCCCCTGACACTAGATTCGGCTTGAGAAATGTCACCAGCACAAGTTTCGTTCACGTTCCAACGAACTCTGTCTTAGAAAATTCAAGTATGATTTCATCACATGAATTGCGTCTTCAGAAGTCCAATCAACAGCCCAAAGTCACCTACAGATCTTTCTCCACCTCCGATCTATCCGACAAAATTTCTTCAATCGTCAGTGAAAACAAGGTAAGTCTTGGAGTTGCAATATTTGAATGAATCAGCAGGAATCTGCACTCACCATCTGAATCTGGGAAGGTCGTTGTGTTTTCCAAGACTTACTGCCCCTTCTGTTCAGCAACGAAGCAGCTTTTTAAAGGAATGGGTGTTGATGCAGAAGTCATTGAATTGGACGAAATGGCCAATGGAGGTGCAATGCAAGCTGCCCTGACGAAGCTCTCTGGGCAGCGAACCGTCCCTAATGTGTTCATCAATGGGGAACATCTAGGAGGAAATGATGATACCCAAGCTGCAAAACGATCCGGAAAGTTGGAAGCAATGTTGAAATAAATTAGGTTTTACTGCTCCTGTCTCTTATCAATCATTTTCTTGGAACGAACACTCAACCTTGAAGTTGAGTTCAGCTGCGCGAGATTCATAGCAGGATGAAGCTATAGAACCAACTTGTCAATTGCCTGTACACAATGGAGAGTTGGTCTATGCATAGGAACCTCCAACCTTCCCCGAGTGTGCATGTGGTCATTAAGTTTGACCAAACTGAAGGACGTGCACATGGGATAATCTACGCCGAACACCCGCTCCGTCTAGCAATATTGATTGCTTGTGTCAGCGAACATACAGCGATCGCATTCCAACTCATGTCTCCATCGGACTTGCCGTTTTCTTCATTGATAAATGGGACGAAAACGTCTTCATCACTTCCCTTTGCACACTCTAGTACAGTGTGTTCGACTCTTCGCTTTGCAAAAAAGTGAAAAGGAGCCTTTATGTCTGTGTGAGACCGACCCGGTATTGTGTCTGGGAATGGTACTGGAAAAGCGTATTTTCTGCAATAGTGGAGAAATGGGGGCGGCTTGATTGCTGGGTCCAAGCATTGGTGTGTTTCCGATCTCAGTGCCTTATTCGTTTCTGACGCAGCAAACCACTCCACATAGCTCTTTGCGGATTTGTAAACAAGCTGCTTTTCTTCGTCATTCTTGTTTCTGGGCCAATCTACCATACAACCTGTAAACAAATCTCGTACAAGGTTGTGCTTCAAGTCGAGATGAGCTGCTGCCATGCTATACGCATACATCTCGGCGTACAAGAGTGCTATAGAGAAGTAGAGATTGACCATTTAATACAAGCGTTAGTAAGAAACCGAAGAGACATGTCACGGTATGGTCAAACTTACGATATTGGTCAAATGTTGGTGGAACCAACGCTGCCCATTTTGAAGCCAATGGCAGGACATCTTGAATGTGGACAACATAAGGTGGACCTGTTGTGAAGTAGTTGGTGACATCTTTCGATGTCGCCTTCGTGCAAAGGGATTCTGCCCCGCAAATTTGTGTCCGGTTGAAGTCCAGCCATTGACCTCCCAATCCATATCTGGCTCCTGCTGGCTTCCCTTGCGAGACAAGAGTCCCTTGGGGTAGCTGGAAAGGTGCCATAAATAGAAAGTCTGGATCAATTAGTACAATCGCCTCGTTGACATCGTTCTGATAGGAATTGGAGGACGTTGAATTAAGATATTCATGTATCCAATGAAGCAAGCCACGGGGCTTGTTGTTGAATTTGTATTTGTTGCCGAAGTTGCCATGCTGTTCCTTCCCTTGACGATTGATGAACAACCTTTGTTTTTTTCCATCTGCATAAGGTCCTCCATAGACACTCATATCCGAATAATCGGGAGTAAAATGTACTTGTGGTTGAACTCGACAATAAGATGATTTTTCTTGATTGTCAAGTTTCCGATTTGGAAAATGTCGGTCCAGGGCTTCTTCTATAAAACTGGGAGTCAAGATATCGCTGTAAGCACCACCCTTGCCCTTTCCCAATTCATGAGACCCTTCTGGCAAACAACCAGAAACTATCCACGTGAATTTCCCACATTGTGATACCCTTTCAGCGGAATGAAGCAAGGTTAAGGTTTCCCATCGTTGGTATGACGTACAATCTGAGCTGACGATAAAGTGAAACAAATTCCCCTTAGCTTCCGATGATCCGTGTACTTGAAGTGCAGCATTTTCCATAAAGTTTGCGTTCGAATCCGCGTTCTTTATTTCATTCTCCCCATGACGGGCCACAACAATGAACCCTAGCCCCAACACGAAGATACTGATGACCAACAAACCAGTTAGAAATAGTCGAAAAGTTGCCTTCTTTGTCTTGCTTGATAGCTTTTTTGGGGAGTTTCCATTGAGATCTTGTCTCATAATGATGTCGATTCTGTCAATAACTTGTGAATTGGTCTAGATGATGATTGCTGAACATGGTGTTGAAATGGCAATGCGATCCCAAACATCGTTTCTTCCCTTTTTATGGACTGGATGAGAACCCTGAATGAAAATCAGAGTCAGATGAGTCCAACAAGTTGTAGCAAGCTACTCGTATTGCTTGTACAATAGCTTGTACCTGTCTGCAGCTGCGGGTAGCTACTGTTACTGTGTCATTAGCTATGCAGCTAAAGGTACATCGGTAACGACTATTTCTCATAATCCTCTAAATATGATTGCACATAGATGAGCCTAGATTGTATCCCAGCAGATATTGAGTGAAACTAGCGAGAGAAGAGAAAAGTTTTTGTGATTACGAATTAGAATAGCAGTAATAAAACACTGTAGTCTACCTCCCCCCGCTGATTTGCTGGCGCAAGGCCAATATACTTTGTTGCTTATTTGGCGGCAGCTGAGAGATTTGTTGAGGAGTCAGTGACATAACTTGTTGGACGAGAGCTGGATCGAGGTTTGCAACTCCAGCAGATGGTGGTGGCGGTGGTGGTACGCCATACTGAGGAGGCTGTGGAGGCATTGGTGGTGCTGGAGGAACACTTCTTGAAGCTCTAGGATCGATCCTCGCTCTAGGATCAGCCCGCGGTGGTGGAGGTACCACAGCAGCACTTCTAGGATCGACAGGCGCTGCAGCTCGGGGATCTGATGCCCTTGCACGTGGATCCGCAGCACGTCCACTTGGTGGCATTGGAAGTGCACCGCCTGGTAGTGGAGGAGGAGCAAGACCAGCTGTTCCGCCGTCTGTGACTACTGGTGTTTGTACCATGCCAAGCGTACTCATCAAGTACAGCATAGCCTCTGGGAGCTGTGGGTGACCTGACAAGATACGACGGGCTTCATCTGGTTCACCATCAGCAATTTCTTTGAACTTGGCCACAATACTATACATTTCCCCTTTCGACATTCCCTTGAGAGCAGCTGCAATCGCATCCGTTCCACCGCTGGTTTGGTTTTTTGCACTTGACTGTGTTGTTGTTCGTTTGGTTTGCTGGGGAAGATCCATACCCAATTTCCCGGCCAAAGCCTCCAAATGAGAACTGTTACTAAAGTTGACACGCAATCTTCTTCCATTTAGTTCGTAGTCATTCATATTCCGAATCGCACTCAAAGCGGCTTGAGGATCTTCAAACTCGATAAAGGCGAAACCTCTTGGCTTTCCAGTTTCAATATCTGTGACCAGCCTAACTTTTAATACTCTCCCGATATCTGAAAAGGCCTGATGTAATTGCTCTTCTGTTGTGTTGAAGGCCAAGTTTCCGACGAAGATATCGTGCTTCTGCGCAGATTGCTGTTGTGGCACTGAGGATTCGACATGATGGGTAACATGATTAGCAATAATCAAACGCTCAATACAAGTGTCACAGAAATCACTTACTGCCCATTGAAGACATCATGCCACCAGGTGGTGGTCCAGGTATTCCGTTATACATTATTCAATCCAGATTTATGTGATTGTCTTGAGGCTATCGGGAGAGCTTTCATCAATCATTGTCCCCTCTCATCGGCGTCGGCTTGCAAACATGGGGAGGCTCTACACGAGCGGCAGACAGATGTTTGAAAAAGCGACTATAGAAGTACTTAAGAAACTGGAAATAATGGCCTCAATCAAGAGCCGGTACCGGTACCCTTCCTTGACAATAATTTGCAACTTTGATCTTATACATTTAAATTTTACCCAGGCATATTGAATATTCATCCTCTGTTTGGTATAGCCTTGACGCAGGCCTTGACCTTTTCTTCTACTTCCCCAATCAGAGTGATAATTTCGGCACGAATCTCACTGTCCCAGCCGTTGGTTCCATCCATAGCAATGTCGACACCCTTTCGCATTCCATCCAAAGATTTGGTAATCTTTCGTGCAATTGGCTTGAGAAGAATACTTTGAGTCGCTGGATTGTCCAAGTATAGCTTCATTTGGGTAGTCATTTCTCCACCCTTGGCATCCACCAGCTCGGACGTTTTGGTCAACGCTGCCTTGATTTTGTTTGCTTCAAAGAACTTGGCGTCCACCAGCGCTTCATTGGAGAGTTCCAATTGCTGACCGACAATACCGAGAACGTCCGAGGCCATGGATATGCAAGTGTGCTCAATGAAATCGTTACATGCTTGTCGCAAAGCCTCTTCCAAGTCGCGCTTAGAGTCCACTGATTCTTCGTTAATGGACACACCCTCACGAAGCAATGTCACCAAAGCGTTCTCTGTAGTCATGGAGAAGAGACGGCGGTTTCGGTTGGCCAAGAATCGAGAGACAGCCCTGCCTGCATCGCTGAAATCCAGTTGGCGCTCCACCGATCTCAAATCAATATCAAAAGGAGAGAGTTGTTCTCTCAATGTCTATCAGAACCAGAACAAACGAATAATGATTGTGTTAGATTCAATGCATTTGCTCGAGCAATCATCATCCACACATATATGCAAAATGCCAAGTATCAATAACAAACGTACCAATAGATGCTTCACCAAAAACAAATCGGCATCCAAGGCACCCTTTCGCTTTTGGATATAGATCGCCCCATCTTTGAGGCACTTGGTACAAGATTGGACCGACTGCAAAGCAATATCTTCAAAGACGCGGGGTTCCACCACTCTGAAAATCTTGGATAGAATCTTCAAGACACTTCGCATGGGAGGAAACCAAGATTCGTAAACTTGGAGTTGCTTTTGGACGGCATCTTCCATTGGTTCTCCTTCCTTGGCTTCTTCTTCTGGTTTAGCCTTGAGTTTGTCGGGATAGTCCAAATCAGCCGGAGTGGCCTTGAACCGAATGACTTCCCTGGTCAAGGCATTGGTGGCACAGAAAATCAGCCGTTCTTGGGCATCTTCAATGACACTGGAAATGGCTCTGGCCGCCGCCACCGTTGTGGGGCTGGAGCTGGCCATGGATCGTTCTTCTCGTAGTACGGAAACAATTTGACACAGCGTATCCAAATCCAAAACGGTAACCACACCTCGTCGAACCGTTCGGTGTAGTGCCGAACACAAGTTGGACAAGTATGATTGGAATTCCGAGTCGTAATAGCTTCCATCGTCCGATACCACTTGGGAAGCGAGAGTTTTGGAACCACCAGCAGTACCCTCTCCGGTTGTTTTAGACCCCTCCTCTTCCTTAGTATCTGACTTTTTCTCTCCAAAGAAATCCAGATACAAGGCTGTTTCCACCGTACACAGACGGATCAAAAAGACTGCGGCCAATCGGGTCATACCGACCAAACCGTGCTGATCCTTGAGCTTGTCCATGTGATTGCGAATGGTCGCCCTCAAGAGAGATTCTCGCGAAGAACAATAGGTGGTTCGACAGAGTTGCAATAGTTCGTGATAAGCGTCACCATGGTGCAGACGCTTTCTCACCAATGCCAAGAGACGGTTGCTTCTCGAAGAAATGCCATGGTATCGAGTGTAAATCAAGGAAGCCTCCAATTTATCAGCCGCAATCGGGACCTTTGGGATATTGAGGGCAGACGCCACTTGGGTTGCCGTGGTAGAGATTCGATCCACCACTGCCTCTCGAATCAAGTACAGTGCGGCCTCTTGGAGAGCAAGTGACCGACGATAGTATTCAATATTGCCACTAATTTGGGCATTGGAAGATTTCTTTTGCTTCTTCAATTCGGCTTCCAACACTTCCTTCCCGCCACATTCTCTTCCAAAGAAATTTGCAGCATCATCGATTTTATCCAAAATGGTTGGAAACTCATCATTGTCCACCTTGATTTTGGCCAATCCCCGGACCACAGTCTTGCCCTTGAACAAGACACCGACTAGGACTCCAATGCTGTCCACCGCATCGTAATGTTTGAGTGGCATGCCAATTTCTTCGGCATGTTTCACCAGCACGGCTTGTTCTCCCTGTAGACGATCGGCAGCGGCCGACAATTCGCCCGAATGCCGTATCAAATCCGCATGCCGATTGGAAATGTCCTCGGCAATGTTGATCGAAGCCCGGAGTGCCAGTTTGAGGGAAGTCGTGTGCTTCAAAAGGGAAGTCAAGTGATCTGCTTCATGAGTAGCTCTCTTCATGGTCTCCTTGACGGAAGGATCTTGGACGAGTGCATTATTGGTGAGTGAGGCAGACGGAGGAGGCGGTGACATGGCTTTTAAGAGTGAGGAAGAGGAGTCCTCCGTTTTGGATTCCTCGTAAAAGGCCATGGCGGTGGGTCCCGCCGTCAATGCGGCAATCCGAGACAGCCGCGAGACTTGGGCTGTAGATCTCGGAGCGTAGCTTTCATACGAAACATGGGTGCTGCTAGACTTTCGTGGAGTCGTCGCCATGGTATGGTGGTGTTTTGGTCGTTGTTGTTGTTGTTTGAAGCGCAACGCAATCTCAAAATCAGTCATTTTGGTCGAACAAGTCGGATTTGCAATCTTCGTTTGGCCGGCCTCCACGCAACCGTGTGGCATTTTTCCAGTTGGCATCAAACTTACAATTGAACGACATATTATATACATACCGTAAAGTTCAAAAGAGACGTCTTTTTCACAAACCCACAAAACAAACAGTCGACTACTAGTCGACAAACCATCAAAGCCACTACAGACAGGGTACTGTACAAACAGCAATCGGAGCTTGCAGAAAATGTCATCCTCGGAAGAAGATGAAGATATCCTAATGAACGAGAATCTCCCCCACCGCCAGTCGGATGCTGATGATAATGATGATGATGATGATGATGATGATGAAAGCAACAATAACAACGATGATGCTGCTGCTGCTACAAGTACCACTCGGAAGCGCGGAAATCGCAATGCATCATCATCTTCATCACCACCGACATCACAACCTACTACTATTATTTCAGATCATGACGAAGACACCATCCGCATCATGCTCAGCACGGACAATCATTTGGGATACTGTGAAGGTGACGCCGTTCGTGGAATGGACTCCTTTGCGGCACTGGAAGAAGTACTTTGGCTCGCACGACACTACAATGCCGATCTAGTATTGCTTGCGGGCGACCTCTTTCATATGAACAAACCCTCCCGTGGTACTCTCCACAAGACCATGGATCTATTCAGGAGGTATTGCATGGGGGATAATCCGATCCAAATTCAAATCTTGTCCAACCAAGCCCAAAGCTTTCGAAATGGTACCGTCAACTATGAAGACGAGAATTATTCCGTAGATCTTCCAGTATTCTCCATTCATGGGAATCACGATGATCCCACTCGCGAAGCGGGTTCCACGGATCTATTCTGTGCCTTGGATTTATTGGACGTGGCCAATCTGGTCAATTATTTTGGGAGACAAGAAAAGATTGATCAAGTCCAAATTTCACCAATTCTAATGAAGAAGGGAAGTACCCACCTTGCCTTGTATGGTTTGGGAAGCATGCGAGATGAACGATTGCATCGCATGTGGCGATCTCAACAGCTAAAGTTTCTTCGACCCGAACCGCCTCCCGAAGGCGAGAGTGCTGCTTGGTTCAATCTATTTGCATTGCATCAAAATAGAGACTTTGGAAGGGGGACCAAAAATTGTATTCAAGAGACCATGATCCCGGAATGGATGGACCTGGTCTGTTGGGGACACGAACATGAGTCATCCGTGGAACCCAGTGAATCCGTGGTGGGGACCTTTCGAATCACGCAACCTGGCAGTTCGGTTGCCACTTCCCTTTCTGCTGGTGAAGCAGAGCGAAAACAAGTTGGTATTCTAGATATCAGAGGTACAAACTATCGAATTCTTCCCATTCCATTGACTCAAGTCCGAAGGTACGAGTTTTTTATTAAAAAACCCGAACAAATGTGGCGGCATTTGTGATTTTTCAAACGAAGAACTAACCAGCTGACTGACTCCTGCCAAATCGTTTTGTATCATCCTTTTACCATACTATTGTAGCTTTACAAGGGGGGAAGTCAATTTGGCAGATATCCAAGGGCTGAATCCAGACGGACCCAAAGTGGACCGAGAAGTCACCGAAGTTCTCGACGACCGCGTACGAGTCCTGATCCATGATGCACGAGAAAAGATCAAGGAGGCGATAGAAGAAGCCGAAGAGAAGGGGAATGTGTTGGCCTCCATGGAAAATCTTCCACTCAAATATACGCTGCAAAAACCAGACTCTGTCCTAGTGCGGCTAAATGTGGATCATTCCGGATTTTCGGTCCTCAATAATCAGCGCTTTGGAGCCAAATTTGTGGGAGAGGTGGCAAATCCGGTACGTTTTGGTTCTGTGCTGTTATATATATTATGCATGCAAACTAGGTTCTTCTTTTTTGTCATTCTTACCAAAAATCTCGCTTGCATGGACTGCATGATTTATACACACGCTACAGACTGATATTCTCCTATACAGCCGCAAGAAATCTGCGGCTCAAAGGAAAAACACCTCCAAAAAGCTGAGCGAAATGGAACCAATCGAACCAGATGAACTGGAGACGATGAAGATCGAGGATCTCATTGTTGGAGAACTCGAGAATGCTGACCAGAAGATGGAAGTATTTGACGAAAAACGAATGACAAATGCGCTAGACTCGTATGTTGACAAGCAGGAAGCACAGGCCATTCCAGAAGCTGTTGAAACCCTTTTGACAAAAGAGCAAAAGAGGTGGATAAAGAAGGGTTCCACTCCATCAAAAGCAGAACGCAACAGCAAGGAAGAAGAAGCAGGGACCACTAGCAAAAAGAAGCGTGGTCGCAATGCCATTGCCAAGGATGAAGATTTTGGATCAGAAGACGACGAGGAGCCTGCTGAAAAGAAAGCGGCGACCGGTACCAAGAAGAAGCGGGCCACAAAAGCGGCTCCGAAAGCGGCTGCGAAACGCAATGTTTCCAATTCCAGTGACGACAGTGAAATCGAAGAGGTTGAAGATGATTCACCTCCTCCTCCGAAAAAGAATGGCACGAGAGCTAGGGCTCCACGAAAAGTCCAACCAAAGTACACCGAGTCAAGCGATGACGAGATTGAAGAAGTAGACCCACCTCCAAAACGATCTCGAGGAGCAAAAGCGAAAGCAACCAAAAAGGCCAGCAGTCGCGCCATGTCTGACTCGGATGAAGATATCGAAGTCCTTGACGAAGCACCAGCAAAGAAGCGCTCACGCCGATCCTCTACTTCCCAATCGACCTCAGGAAATGCAAGTCTCTCTCAATCTCAGCTCTCTTTTGCGCCAGTCCAACGAAGATCCCGGAAGGCAGCAAAAGGAAGGTTGTACTCAAATGACGATAGTGATGATATGGAAGATGGATGGGGCACGGCCAAAACAATGACCAACGACGATGCTTAGGAGCTACACTAGAGAATTACATGATCATTCATTCGAAAAACCCTGATCGTACAAGGGGCAATTGTAACGGTGAGATCGGTCGTAATACACTAGATACTGGGTAGACATATGAAAGCATCTTGTGGTGCTTTTCATCATCCTACTGTAGGTCATTATTTCCTTTATTTTCCATTTTGTTTTCATGATTCATTGGAATCTGGCCCCCTCGTAGCCTCTTGTCATCATTGGTCGTAATCCCCGATAAGCGCAACTACCATACAGCATACAGTATCAGATTATTGTCGATGATTTTGTTTGGTAATTCATCATGGTCAATCTGTCCTGGTTGACTACTCTGATACGACTCAGAAAACCAACCCTCAATTCTGCAGATATAAAAAAAATGGCATTTTTAGACTACCTCGCATTTTGACGCCAGTAGCACAGATGGATGCGGCTTTGTGTTGTGTTTCCATGGCTATCTTCAGAATAAGAATGCGACATACCGCTGAAGCACACGGTGCCAATACCCCCGGCGAAGATAATGACTACTACGAGTCGACTCAGTCGAGTCATATCATCAAGCATTTTTTAATTAAAATTTTTATCAATTTTCAAAATTCGAACAAACCTACATAAAAAACCGAAAAGGACAGCAGCAATGACGACTTCCATTTCACCCACTTCCAACAAGGTTCCTTTCTTTGTCCTACATCAAGAGGATGGCCAAAATAGAGCCCTCTTCACGGTCCCATCCAGTCTGGCTTCCTCTTTGGTAATTCATCCCATTCTCTGTCGAGGATCCAGCTTTTTGTTGGAAGTTGAAAAAGAAGCCCAAGCCCAAACTACATTCTTGTCTACCGTCTTTTACAGTCCCAATCCTGAAGAAACTGCCAATGAAATTGCCACACGATTGGCCATCCGAATTGGCCGTCCCACCGATATTGTGTCTGGCATATTTGGATTTTGATTTTGCGGCTGAAACAATCTGAAGTTACGAGTCAGAATTTTGAAATAGTGGGGATGTGCAGTAAGGTGTCAGCGGGAAAGTCCTAGGAATAATTGCCCATTCTACGCATTCAGTGAATGGGAGCAAGCATGATTTGAATGAAAAAAGAAATCATTGGAATGATAGAAGCCCAAACCAGACGGTAGGCTTCATTTCGGACCCAATAATTACTATCACCCTGCACCGGGAGGAAGCTTTTCATTCTTCTTTGGCTCAAAATAATGCAACTTGCCAACACAAAGATAACAGAGAGACCACTCGACATGGTTTTCTATGATAATTCTATTGTGTTTATTTCACTAATTTCATTGGTTTCCAAGCTGTCTATTCCATTCTATTTTATTACGCTCTGCCCTCTCATTTCGGCTGCAACTGATCCGATATTTTGGAGACACATTGATTGTACTCATCAATGACGTCTTTGCATTTCTTTTCTTGGAGTTTCCATCGATTCAGACAATACTGAATGGCACAGGCCTGCTTGGAACACAGTTTTTCGGCTTCTGATCTGCCATCCTCCATAATGGTTATTTTCGATAGGTGTGGGGCAAGTGAATCAATGAATCCACAATGTTCTTTGCGTAATGGATATATCTCAAGATGAAGGAAGGGCGCAATCCTTGTGTTATTGTGAAGAACGATGATGGAAGCTTTTCGAAGTACACAGTGGTTTGAGCCGGGATTTGGTTGGGTACTTATATAGTGTCAAAATGCATCCAATTGCATTTTCTAAAACTCAAATAAAAATTGTAATTCACAGTCGGATGAATCAAACACTTGGTTCAAATATAACCGTATCTTCGGTTCCCGCGAAATCTCGAATTTTTTTAAACCAAACTTCGAACCGGGAAAATGAAAGCAACTTTGTATTGCAAATTGATGAGATGGGAAGCTTAAATCAAGCTGTAGACTTGCCCATTAGTATTTTATAGCTCAAACGAAACGAATTCATTATGTCAACGATTGAAGTTGACTGCATAGCATATGATGGTGCTGAGGGCGGAACAGTCATGGTGACACCAGATGCTGGGAAAATACCGCATGTCGACACAAGATTTTGCAATACGGAACACGAAGGAGCTCCATTACCCCAAGTGACGCCGAGTGAAGATACAATCTCATCCAGCACTAGCTTCAAAAAGCCCACTGATGATCATACAAACTTTGCTAAAGCAATCTTGGATTCATTGAGATGGAGCCCAAATGGAAGGACAAAAACAGCTCATCCTTTCGTGTCTCACTTACTCTACCAATACAAAGAGCAGTCCTTAAAAGAGATGATTTGTCGCACATTCCCCAATCTAAAGGATCTAGTGCATATCAAGGAGATTGGAGACTACCCACTTTGCATACGCCTCTTCCTTTGTGCACTTGGTTTTTTGTTGTGTGGTCTGCCATACGAATACGCTGTAGATCCATGGGACCTTCTGGCAACAACTTTTTGCCACGATTGCTCTTGCAAGGAAATGAAGGATGCTTGTACTCAAGCAATCGAAGACTTCCTATTCCATCATACACCGGAGAGCAGGGGCATTGAAACAACCGAACCTATGCGCACCTTCATTGAAAAGTGTACATTGTCAGCGAATTGGAAGCCAAAAAGCAAGACGGAATCTGACCCCTTGCACTTGCCACAATATCTGAAGGAAACTTACAGCAAGAAATATCCGTTTTTCAGCTTGGTCTTTGGACAAAAACCAAAGCCGGCTGCGTGGGATATAGATATGAAGATGTTCCTATTTGCAATCGCTGCATTGACTACACAACGACCCGAGATAAATAGAGACTTCTTCCTCGAAATAGTGGCAGGCTGCTCACGCAGCCAGCACAAAGTACTCCATCCTGACATCCTTCTGAGAGCTGTCAACCCCGAGAACCTTCTAGAAGCCATCGCAAATATCGAGCTAATCGACGACTCTGCAAAAGGAAGCGGCGAATTGTTGATTGAAGCCAAGATAGACGACACTCTCCCGAAAGCAATCCCAAATCTTATCCCAGTCATCGACTCTGACAGCGGCGACTCGTGGATCAAAACCAATATACCTAGACTGGCAGACGAACCTCTCTACAAAGTGGATAATTCGTCAGAAGAAACCATGCACCAGGAAGACGAACTCGTTATGGAAATCTTGTACAAGAGACTCGCAATGGACAAGAGTGATAGGAGTTATGAAATGAATCGACTCTTCCATTGTATTGCCAATCGCACCTTGGAGGAATCAAGGGTGAGGACGACGGTCTCGGAGGAATCAACGACATCACAATACATCTCAAAAGTGAGCTTCAGATCACCAAGGAATCAGATGATTGAAAAGTATTACGCCTTGCTTCCTCAGCCAAAAGTAGACTTCACTGCTCTGACACAAAATGCCAAGAAGAAAAAGGCAAATCTGATGAAGGAAATTATTGCTCAATTGGTGGGTCCAGATCTTGCTCAACAAGAAGCATTTCTGAAGCTTTCATTCAAAAAGTTCAAAGACCTTATACTTTTCCACGAGGAAGACTTCAAGTGGAACGAAATGCACATTGCTTTAATACTTTGTATTGTGGGCAGTGCCAACAAGGTGATTATGCTTGATCGATTGGAACGTCTTCTCCTTGGAAATACAAGATTCCCGCCTCAACTGAAGGTGTTTCTGTCAAAGCTTGGGTGGAAGTGGAGAATGCGCATTGAGGCTGAGATGATACCCCTTGAGATGAATGGCAACAAAGAAGTGAGGCCCCAACTCTCTTGGCACCTAGCAACGCCACTCCGGGCTCTGGAGCGGCAGGTGGAGGCAGCATTTCTGTCTGGCAATTTCTTGCATTCAGGCGACTTTTCGTTGATGGAGGACATAATCGCTGTTGTGTTCGGCGCTGACAAAGATGAAATTGCAACATCGATGCTAATTCGAATCTTGAACCGAGTAAAGGGGAATTGCAGTGCATTTGTCACGACCCTGGCGATGTACGAGCATGCAGCTGAGTGCCATGAGAATATGAAGAAGACATTTTTGAAGAAAGGTTCTCCAATACAAAGGTTTCTGCAATTGCTTTTGGATAACAAATTTTTTGCACTTACGGTCAATTCCATTGACAAAGACGAAGGACACGTTGTCCAAAGCCAGTGCATCGCAATAAATTTGTTTGCAGATCATCGTCAAAGTGCAACTGATGAGAGGATGCTTCCCCAAATGAAAGTGAAGGTCGAATGTTGCAAAGCAAGATTTTGCTCCATAGCAGACTTCAAGGTGGTGACGTCACCTCAAGATTTTGAAAATTTTGAAAATTTTGAAAATGAGAATGAACCAGCTTTACCGGTACATATATCATCTGTTGGTGCGAAGGATGAGACCGATAATGACGACGACGAGAAATCAAGTTCAACTGTCTCAACTTTTTGCGACAATGCTACTCGATTCTCCGATGATGATGAAGCAGAAGATGACGCATCATCTATTGGTGAAAAGGAGGATGACAACAGTAGCGACGAAGCGCAATCAATTTCGACTGTCTCAACTTTTCACGACGACGAGCATGATGGAAAAACTGATGAAGCATTGGATTTTTGCTTGAATGATGGAACAAGCAGAAGTGATGACGACGAAGAAGAAAATTTGTCAAATCAGAATGGTGGAACGACTGACGAAGAAGAGAAAGATAAATTAGACGATTACAATGACTTGCATGATGATGCAACAAGAGCTGACGAGGACGAAGAAAATTCTCTTGGACAAGCAGAAGAGTCATTACTTGGGATGAAGTGTATCGGATTGAAGCTGGATGAAGAATGGAAAAACGGAAGCAAGAGGCTTTGGCTACAGCTCGTTTACAATGACGACAATAAGTACTATGGGTACCGCATCTTTTTGAACAGCAATCCTGATGTCGACGGTAACGGCCAATGCAGGCTGTTGGTTGCCGGATTTTTTGAGAAGCCGATTCACCGGCGGGATTCAATGGACGATGAACTGATCGATTGTGGCTTCAAACAGGTGGTTGGATTTGCTAGCTGCGACAAGAAAAATTCCTGGGCGACTATGGGCATGATGGACAGCGCGAATGCAAGGTCAAATTGTATCTGCTGTATCCAATCACAAAGCACCTACAAGACGAACTTTCCAGACTGGATGGTGGAATATGCCCAAAAAAATGGTATTGAGAACGGGCTTCTAGCAGCCAAAGTTGAAGCCGGGTGGAAAGACTGTCCTTTGCGCTGCCGAGAACATTCAAACCCAATCATGTTTCAGAAGCTTCAAGATGATACCAACAATGGAAACAACACATACTCCGAAGATCAGTTGCGAGATATTCGAGAAAGACATGGATGTGTAGTCAATGAGCCACTTCTAGATATCCATCCCTCGAAACAAACTTTTGGAGGCCTGCATAATGGCGCAGGATTGGAGAACCACATTAAGAATAACACGGATATGAGATTGGGACATATCGATGCACTCAAAAGTGCGGGAACGACGACATGGCTGGAAAAAATGGACGGCGTAAAGGTGCAGTGTAAGCATGAGAAAGCCAACACCAAAAGACGCCTCAAAGCATTGAAAAAGAAGATCGACAATTTACAATCAGGCATCAACAGCGCAAAAATCATCATTGAACGAGCGGAAGATCCACACAGAAGATTTGCATCAACGTCGGATGCTTGCGTGCAGAACGTGCGAGCAGAACTTGCTATTTTGCTTTCTGAGAAAGAACCCCTTGACCGTGAGTACGGCGAGAATCTTCGTCTACACATGGGTGCCGATGTCCTCCCGAAACTGATTGAAAGATACCTCAGTACGAAGAAACCCAAAGGTCCAGCTCAGTGGGCCTTTCGCAAAGCTATTGAATTAGCGGGTCCTAAATTCAATCCACAATTTGGAGGAATGGATTTGTCACATGCTCACGGATTGTTGATGCTCGAGAAATTTTCCGAGATCACCAAAATGGTTGGTGGCGGTGGATACAGACCGGGTGAGGAAAAGCATCAGATGGTTGCGCAAGCAATGGGGGAATCACAAGAGATAACCACGCCTATGTTCACGATGAACACGCTCCTCAAGTCGCAACAAAAATGGGACGAAGATAAGATTGATGAGCTGAAACGGAATTGTTTTATGATGTTCTTCAAATGGCTGAAATATTTCCCCAAACAGGGTGTGTTTCCAAAACTGCATGATGTGGCATGGCACATTCCTCAGTTCGTCACTCGGAACTGGATGTATGGAATATTGTCAGAAGAATCGATGGAGAGTCGTCATCAAGAGCACAAGAAATTGCTTTCAATTTTGAGTTTCATGCCAAATACGAAGCTTCGAAATGATGTGTTCACAAGCCGCCTTCAAGTCTATCAGCTTCCAGAATTTGAAAAGGAAAAGGCAACACTGATTGCAAAAACCACTAAGAAGAAGCGAGGCAAGTACAACATCAAGCCAAAGAATAATTCTTTGCCCATTTCGCAAACTGAATTGATTCTGGATGGCGTGAACATTCGCATCAACAAAGACATGTCCATCGAACCGAGTTGGCTTGAAGTCTACAATATGGTTGCCCGTGGCATAGTTCCGAGCTCCTGGGAAAAAATATTTAGCGAGAGAGACGATATCGATGACAGACAGAAAATGAAGGCTTTATACTCTTCCCAGACTTGTAGATAAATCCAATTAGTTCGTTATTATTGAATGCTAATTCGTGCTACACCTTTCATGCTGGAGGCGAAAAAGAAGCAAACAATAAATAAATGACACAACGAAGTCGGTACCAGTACTTGCTTTATCATGATGGTGTCGTCGTCATCATGTGCCACTTGAATGGACACGAAGACATCTGCTGAGGTGTCATTCGCCAGAGGCAATGCGTCTAACGTGCGCTCATTGTTGCCGCATGATCTAGATCTCTAAATCCAAGTGGACGAAACAAGGCAGCAAAAAGACTCTTGGTCCATTGGTGGTTGTGCAAGATGACCAATAGTAGAGAGGATCGGGCGACGATCGAATCGCGTCCTGGTGCGTTCCAATAAAGCCGCCGGTTGGCTTCGACAGAAATGGGAGAAATGTAGTTACCAGCGATGTACCGCATTTTCAGATGATCCAAGCTTGCGATGTTAATGCTAAACGTGCTGTTCTTCTTACCAGCACTTCCAGCTACGTTGAATGGCTCAGTGGTATCATCATCCTGGTCCTTCTTTGACCATCACATTATTGAAGTTATTCTCGCGTTTCAGTTGCCCAACGATGTTGGGTGCCATCGTATTGGACACCACAAAATACCAATAAAATGCCACATCAGCGATAATAATAATGTTCAGGACAATTCATCGGATTTCAAAAGGTTGATTTTTTAAAAATAAAAATGATGCACTCTAGCGCGCAGTCGACGCGCATGGGACTTGAATGCGACTCGTCAGACTCCAGAAAAATGCAATTGGATGCATTTTGACACTACCTGAGTACCTAACTAAATCCCGTTTTTTCCCGATTTCGACTACTGTGGCTTAAGTTCTACCAACTTCATGACTGACTCCTTCGACCAGTTCCCAACACAAAAATCAATCACGACGACTGAGACACGTTGATTGATTGGTGGAGAAGCAGAAGTTCAAAGACCCATCACCATGACGGAAACAGTAGAAGAAACCTCGAGACGAGACGACCTGAAGAGTCGCAAGAGAGGCGATGACGATGATAGGAAATCACGCAAGAGTAGACGAGATGACGACGACGACAGACGCAGTCGAAAGCGACGCAAACGCAGTCGACGAGACCACAGCAGCGAGTCCGATGACAGCGAAGACAGCCGAAGACGGCGTCGGAGACGAAAGAAGTCAAGTCGACGAAAGTCCAAAAAGAGCCGCAAATCGAGTCGCAAAAAATATCAGTCTTCTTCTTCTTCGTCCTCCTCGGATGACGACTCTTCGTCTTCGTCAGACGATAGCGGCAGTCAAGGGGAAACGAAAAAGGTGATCAATGAAAAGCTCTTGGCCAAATTGAGTGAACGGGGGGAGACTCTGGAAGAGCGCAAAGAGCGCCGAGCCCAAAAACGTGCCGCCAAGATTGCATCTCGATTTGGGTACACTGCCGAAGAGAATCCCTTTAACGACCCGAACTTGCACGAGACCTTTAACTGGACCAAGAAAAAGAAGGCTCCCACAAGTGAAAAAGAAACTGCAAAAACGCTGGATGAAATTGACAACATTCGTCGTCGGCGCAAACAACGAGATGAGGAAAAAGACGAAATGGACCGGACTCGTGCAGAAGAGTCACGTCAAAAGGAGTTGGAAAACTATGATGAATGGGCCAAAAAGGAAGAAAAGTTTCATTTGGATCAACAGCGAAAGCGATCAGCGATTCGTTTGATGGAAGGACGGGAGAAGCCAGTGGATGTCTTGGCCAAGAATTTGCTAATGTTTGGACTCTCAGAGGAAGAAAAGAATCAACAAGCGGCAGTGAAATACAAAGAGCGATACAACGCGTTGGAACAAATAGAAAAGTTGGAAGCCGAATTGGAAGAGCCCCACAAGGTTGTGGGAGTTCTCAAATTAGTAGAATTGCACGAGCTAAAAATGGAAATTGAAGCCTTTCGAATTCTGGAAAAGGAGGCGGCAGATGGAAAGAGCACAGCATCCATTCTTCTCTACTGGGATGCTCTCCACCTAGTCACACTAGATGAAATCAAACTACTACAAAATGGCGGTGAAAAGAGTCAATATGGTCGAAAAATTGAAGGGATCAAGGAAATTTTTGCAGGGCAGTCGAGGTCTGCTTTGATGAAGATGCAAGACGAGATTATGTCCAAACTCTCGTCACCTACTTGCGATGACCGCCCATATTGGCAGGCGGTTCGAGAGCAACTCATGGTCCATTTGGCCAAGTTGGATCTTACGGAAATGCACAAGAAAATGTTGGTACGTCAACTTGAGAGGTTGGAACAACGAAAGAAAGAAGCGGCCGAACGAGGAGCGGAGAAGAAAGAAGGCGAAGAGAACGATGAAAACGACAAATCCATGGTACCAGAAAATGTCGATGCCGAATTTGGAAATGCTGAAGAAGAGCTTGGTGAAACTGACGAGATCGACATTACCAAGAAGAAAACATACTCTTGGCAAGATCGTTATGCCCCACGCAAACCAAGATACTTCAACAGAGTCAAGACAGGGTACGACTGGAACAAGTATAATCAAACGCATTACGACGCGGAAACTCCGCCCCCCAAGATTGTGCAAGGATATTCATTCAACATCTTCTACCCTGATTTGGTGGATCCTACCAAGACTCCCCAGTACTTTTTGGAACCTGCGGATTCGGATGATTTCTGCATCCTTCGTTTCCATGGTGGAGCTCCGTACGAGGACATTGCCTTTAAGATTATCAATCGAGAGTGGAATAGGTCAAGGAAGCGTGGGTTCAGGTGCACCTTTGAGCGTGGCATCTTGTCTCTGTACTTCAACTTTGCAACACATTGGTACAGACGATAGATAAAAACAAACTAAGATTCCGGTTGGATATGAAACGAGTCGTCCTAGTGATGGTTCCAGGTCATTGTGGTACTGTACTGTAGGGTGACGGGTTGATTTTTGTAACAAAAATATACAATATAATAAATCTCTATTTATTGTATTGAAAAATGAATAGGTTTCCCTAAAACTATGGTACCCTTTTTGAACTTGAAAAATGATCTCTTGAAATCATTTTTGGACACAACGTCGGAGTTGTTTTCACATACCTATAGCGGTAGTCTCAAGGAACGAAGAATCTAGATCATGTTTGGAATGGAAGGACAAGGAGATCCAACACCAATAGATGTTCATCAGCGATCTAGAGCTCGACAAATGGCACAAGATGATACAAAAGAAACTCCCTCAAGCTTTCACTCCAGACGACAAGCTGACTGGCGAGGATGGTAAACAACATCCAGAGGGAACCAAACTTTTGGCATCGTTCGATGACGATCCGAATAAACCTATGTGGTGCGAAGTCAAAGGATCCCGTTGGAATATCGAATGTAGTGGCAAGGAACGTGTCTATGCGGTCTTGATGGGAAGTGAGCTCACCCAGATTGCCCTTACTAGCGCTCACGAAGAGTCGGGATGGAAATTTGTCAAGTGATGCGACGAATTCGAGCGAAGACATTAGGATATTCATAGATTGAACTGTTGAATAGAAATTTCACAGCCACAGATGAATTTGCGATCTGATGATATTTGGATCATATAGACTTAGTCGCCAATTCATCCTTTCAGCAACCATAAAATCAGATCACCGGGGTGCGCCTTTGTGGTATTCGCACTCGGCACTGCGATTAGATACAGAAATCATCATTTAATGTGTCAATACATGGAAGCGGTGGATAACCGTTATCCCCTGTCACTTTCCAGTTGCAGGTCTTGCTTCGCAGTTTGAATTGCCCGCCAACCAGCGCTCGTGTCATGGCGCACCGTCCTCCATCGAGTGAAAAACTAGTAGCCATTTTTAAGCTGCTCCTTTCACGGCAGGCTATCCCAGCTTTCGCGGTTCAGTCTTCAGTCAACTTGCATTGGAACTAGCTTCACCAAATGATAGGAATCACGAGGTTGATTGATTCACTGAACCTTGATTTTGTGGTTTCCCGGATTCAAGCTCTCCATGCCTTTGACCCTCGTAAATCTGATGTCATTCCCAGAGCTGTTGTCAACTTCGAGAAAGAGATCGGCATCACGGCAAAGTTCATTGACAGATTTTGGTACTTGTACCATGCTCTCAACGAGCACGTCCATCGGTATCCTTCGTCCCGTGGTCTGTGCTCTTTGCTAAGGAGAATTAAATGCGAAAAAAATTAGGCGACCGATGACATCATCGATAATGGATAGTGTATGCTTACCTCAACTCGTTGCAGAATGTCTTCCACAGGAGCAGTCACATGAATGATTCCAATCTTTATCCGCGGATACTTATGCCTGAGCATCTCAAAGTATGCCTTGTACCAAACCGCGTCTTTCAGTGATCCGTCGACTAGTACATTGTTTCCGCGTTCCAGGGCTTCCTCGGTAAGAATTTCCACCAACATTCCAGCTTCTTTGCGGGTGAATTCACCTGCATGGAGCGGGTCCTTTTCAATATAAACTCTGTACTCAGGAAGTTGACTTCGAATCTCGTCTGGATCTACCGAGACAAACGAGTTTAGATCAAATGAGAAGATATCATCCTTGGATAGTTCTCGCAACGTATGCGTCTTTCCTGCTCCCATACAACCTGCAGTAAAGATGATCCACTGATCACTGCTGTTTGTATCATCTATAGGATGATCCGAAAGGAAGGATTCAATTATGTCATCTTGCAATCGCCGTCTTGGTGCTTTGTAGTAGGAGTGATATTCATAATCCAATTGTTGTCTAATTGAGGCGAAGATGCCAAGATCGTAATCGTTTTCAGATTGATAGTTGTCGTTTGTAGAACTGCCCCAGTTGTACGAAACGTGATCTAACCCGAGTGTCTCAGTAATAGGAGAGACTTCTGAAGGATGAAGGCCCGAAGCCTTATTGCATAAAAAATCATTCTCAAACTTTCTGGCACCGAGAATCACGTCCGGAGAACTCATCATCCTCGAAACTGATGCTGGAGGTACTTGACAGCAAGCAGTCAAAGAAAACCTACAAAAGCTCTCATGGAGAGTTCTGGCGTTGGCCGATAAGTCTATAGCCGCCATTGTCTATTCGCAATTGATGAAATTGTGACGATAACAGGGAAAGAAGAGCCTTTGGTTTTCCTTAGATTCAATATGACAATGACTACAAACCGAATCGCGTCTTCACTGCAGCACGTTCTCAAGTTCTGAAGAAAACAGATCAGAATCGAATCAATCCCGAATCTCCAAAACTACAGTTTCTTTGCCACGAAGAAACAACGCGTGGTGGCAACCTCTTCCGGCAGGCCGAAGTACTGAATCCTACACGAAGAACCCTTTGGAATTCGAAACTCCACTTCCTCCATAATTTGCGATTTCATTCGTCCACAAAATATCCAAGAGAAGAAAAAAAATAAGATGGTTTCAATTGATGTTCCTGCTCACTACGGATGGGTCGTCCTCGGCGCTGGTCTCGCCCCAGCTATTACAAATATTGTTCTCTCTTCCTTTGTAATGGCTGCAAGAAAGGAACACAATGTTCAATACCCAAACCTCTACGCTGTTCCTGGATTCCACAAGACTGCCGATGAATTCAACCGAGTCCAACGTGGTCACCAAAACTACTTGGAAGGCAGCGACTCATATTCTATCATGACTCTCATCGGGGGTCTTAAGCATCCTATCGCGTGTGCCATCGGGACCGTTCTGTATTGCGCCGGTTGCTATCTATACATGTTGGGCTACAAGGACACCTCCCTGGATGTCAAGGATGCACGATACAAGAAGGGAGCCGCCATCAAATGGATTGGATTCTTCACTTCTGTGATTTCTTGTGGAAAGCTTGCGTTCGATTTGATCACTGCCTAATTTTACAATACAGTAAACATACGATAGAAAGCTATTCCCATATTACTGCTACACACTGTACTACCACTTTTTGTAGCTTTCTCGATGATCTTCACATGCTAGAATTTTAAAAAAAGTAAAAAAAAATCTGCAGAAAGAGCTGCTTAACCGCTTTGTGGTGCTGTATTCACTTGAGAGAATGCTTGGATATAGGTCTCTGATAAGCTCTAAGCTTTTACAGAACCAATGCATTCTGTCGCCTGTTTTCACTGTGTGTGAAAATTGTCGGACTACTCAATACAAGTGCACTGTTGTAGCTATTTCATTGTTGCAGCTTCGCAAGCCTGAAGATGGATATTTGCACAATCATAACGAGGCATCACTATCTAAATCATCCGACAGCTCACATCATATACGGTACATTTCTCGCTGCCTGGCCCTTTGTTGCAGCTCATAGTACCCCCTGGCAAGATCTGAATCATTTGGCGGCCTAAATCCCATGCGGATTATCCACATTCGCATGGCCACCCTTTTTCGTTCTTCCGCTATCTCAGTTCGCGACGGAGGCACAGGGATATTTCCAATGCGAGATTTTGATAATCTCTTGACCAGCAGTGTAATTTCCGCAACTGATTTCCCTCGCCCCATCCATTCTGTCTTATAAGTATCTTTCTGAAGCTTGTACCATCGACCGGACGCGGCGGACTGGGATCTGCGAGCAAGAGCGTACTGCAGAATCATCTTCAGCTCTTTGTGAATTTGTGTCCTGCGTTCATCAGCAGGCTCAGGAGTTCCATTTCTGCTTGGGTCCATTCAGGTGCCTGTGGTTTGCAGTCAACAATCACGATAGTCTCCAGGATTTCATCGTCGCACCTGCAGGATGCAGAAAAGTCATTTTAATAGTTATACCAATCATCCTGAGCTTCCAAGCAAGCCTCCTTCTGATCATCAGAGATCCAGTCATCTAAGAGAGCTGATGGGAAGGTCATTTGGATTGCAGAATGTTTCGGGCACAGGACATCTTGTTCGGGCACTCCATCGATTCTTGTTCGGGCACTCCATCGATTTCTGTGACAACAAAACTAAAGGTTGCCGATTCGCCTTCAAATTTGCCCTTGTGGCCCACTTGGATCTCAAGGTCTTTCAGGGGTCGAACATCTTGTTCATCAATTAGTCTTCTAGGAGCCCCGATGCCAGGGGGGCATACTCTCCATCCATTGCGATACTTCGTGCCATCAAAGACAATGGACCATAAGTGGCTGTAATAGTCATCGCCAGTTAATCATTCTTCATGCAAAATCTCAAAGACCTTTAGAACGAAGTCGTACAAACCATGCCTTCCAACAAGAAGGCTCACAGAGTAATCGCTGCTGGCGTGACATCCATCGGCGTTTAGATTTTGAACCAGGAACTCGCAGACCCTATGTCTTTCGTTAGAGTTGCCATCGTTATGCTCCACATCTTTCTCGACGTGATTGGCAACTTTGTGACGTTTCTTCATGAGCGCTTCTTGCTCGGGTCGTAGTGTTACTTCTCTTTTCTGACCACCATCCACCTCTTCCAATGTGACGTCGGTGGTGGGAGAAGATGCATCGTTAGGAGATTGCATCTTTTGGTGTGGAAAGGATTCTGAAACTGTGATGATTACTACAATAGGCTTCCGTGGAGAGTCAGTCTTTTAAAAAAGGTTCTCATTTTTGGCGCGACCGAGGTATGCTGCACGCCACACACGCACCCACCAACACGACGTGCAGTTACTGTACCGTCACCCCACAAATTATCCAAGAGAAGAAAAAAAATAAGATGGTTTCGATTGATGTTCCTGCTCACTACGGATGGGTCGTCCTCGGCGCTGGTCTCGCCCCAGCTATTACAAATATTGTTCTCTCTTCCTTTGTAATGGCTGCAAGAAAGGAACACAATGTTCAATACCCAAACCTCTACGCTGTTCCTGGATTCCACAAGACTGCCGATGAATTCAACCGAGTCCAACGTGGTCACCAAAACTACTTGGAAGGCAGCGACTCATATTCTATCATGACTCTCATCGGGGGTCTTAAGCATCCTATCGCGTGTGCCATCGGGACCGTTCTGTATTGCGCCGGTTGCTATCTATACATGTTGGGCTACAAGGACACCTCCCTGGATGTCAAGGATGCACGATACAAGAAGGGAGCCGCCATCAAATGGATTGGATTCTTCACTTCTGTGATTTCTTGTGGAAAGCTTGCGTTCGATTTGATCACTGCCTAATTTTACAATACAGTAAACATACGATAGAAAGCTCATACAAAGTGTACCGATCTTCTATAACTTGTAGAAGATAGAATCATCGCCTAGGTAAATAAGGATACTAATGTCCGCAGAAAGATTTGGACGAAAGAGACTAACTACAACAGTATTCGGCCTGGTTTCAAAGCCTTTTTTTCCGGCATGATAGACTATTAAAAACCGACCAAGGACAGAAGAACAGTTCCATCGTTTCGATAATGCTCAGATATACCGGTAGATCGCCAAGTTGCCATCAAAACCAAATCTATTTGTTCTATTCAACTGAATGTTTGACTAGTTATTTGGTTGTTGTAGCTTCCAGTGGGGAGCAGCTTGGAAATAGATATTTGGCAAATGACCATGAGCCATCACTATCTGAATCACCTGACGCCGGATAACGTCCCAAGCTCGTTACATCTCTTGCCGCCCGCCCATTCGGTTCCCATACAACCCTCTGGCAACAACTGAATCATCTGACGATTCAAATCCCATGCGGTTCATCTGCACCCGCCTGGTCAGTCTTCTTCGTTCTTCCGCGATCTCAGTACGCGAGAGGGGCACAGGGATATTTTCAACGCGAGCTTTTGCCAATCTTTTGACCAGCAGCATCATTTCCACCGCTGTTTTTCCTCGTCCGATCCATTCTGTCTTGAATGTTTCTTTCTGAAGCTTGTACCATTGATAGGACGAGGCGGACTGGGATCTGCGAACAATACCATACTGCAGAATCATCTTCCAGCTCTTTCCGAATTTGTGTCCTGCATTCATCAACAAGCCTAGGAGTTCTATTTCTTCACGGGTCCATTCAGGTGCTAGTGGCTTGCAGTTGACAATCACGATAGTCTCCCGTATTTCTTGTTTGTACTTGCTGGAAGCGGAACTGTCATTGTAATAGTTATACCAATCGTCCCGAGCTTTCAAGCAGGCCTTCTTCTTAGCTTCAGATATCCAGTCATCTGAGAGAGCTGATGAGAAGGTAATTTGGATTGCAGAATGTTTCGGGTACTGGGCATCTTGTTCGGGCACTCCGTCAATTTCTTTGACAGTAAAATCAAAGATTGCCGATTGGCCTTTGAATTTGCCCCTGCGACCTACTTGGAGCCCAAGGTCGTCCAGAGGTCGAACATCTTGTTCATCAATTAGTCTTCCAGGAGCTCCGAGACAAGGGGGGCATGCCCTCCATCCATTGTGATACTCTGTGCCATCGAAGACAATGGACCATAGGTGGCTGTAATAGTCATCGTCAGTTAATCTTGCTTCATGCAAAATCTCAAAGACCTTTAGGACAAAGTCGTACAAACTATTCTTTCCGACAAGAAGGCTCACAGAGTATTCGTTGCTGGCGTAGCGATCTCCGCTGGCTTTGAGATTTTGAACCAGGAATTTGCAAACCCTATGACTTTCGTTAGAGTTGCCATCGTTTTGCTCCACATCTTTCTTGACGTGGTTGGCAACTTTGTTACGTTTCTTCATCATATCTTCTTGTTGCTCCTCGGGTCGTAGTGTTACTACTTCCCTTTTCTTACCATAATTTACCTCTTTCAATGTGGTGTCGGTGTTATTGGTGTTATTGGTGTTATCGATGGTGTCGGTGGTGTCGGTGGTGTCGGTAGGAAAAGTTGCAGCGTTGGGAAATTCCATCTTTTGGTGTGCAGGGGCTCGAATAAACTATGATGACGAAAGTTTCAAGGCTTTTTGAGCTTCTACTGCATATTCGTATTTTTGGCCCGGAGTAGTCCGACTGGTCCTACAGTATTTTATACCTGGTATCATACACTACATACGTGTACGATCGTGTTCTCAGGAACCTACACTAGTAGTCGGCTAAAATAAATTACGGCCAAGGTTCATCCAATGCCCAAGTACAACTGATAACAACAATCAGCACTTCCAACAATATTCTGGTTGTAATGAATCGTTGGCCGTTTATGATGTCGATGTCGAAATGACAGTCTAACGTAGAAAGCTCGAGAACGAATCATTGGATTCCTTTCATCATACTGACGACGGTCGAACGACCGTCACAACATCATTGCTCCGCAACACCAAGTCCGATCAATTTATCGAACTTGTGTGCGAGTATACATCAAGAAATACGTTTATTTCTTTCTTTCCCTTCCTCCACATCCCTGTTAGGCCATGCATTGATGCAATTTGCATCAATGCATGACCTAGGCAAGCAAGTCTCTAATATTCCGCTTGGCGGGATATCAAAGACTGGTCTTCTGGAACCGCACGCTTCGCGCGCAATCCAAAAGACCAGCTTCACACCACAACCCCCACCAGAGTCACACCAAGAAAGAATCCCTCACGGAAGAAACCAGGCGGTAGGCGCCAGTTGGCTATCTTCGATAGCGCATTATCGCAACTTGGTAGAATTGATAATAGGTACCCGTAAATAGAAAGAACTGAACCGGAGATATGAACTACAATGATATTTGACCTGGATTCAAAGAATGTTGTCAAACAGTCACCCATGATGCCGACAAAACCAAACAGCGACACAGCTGTTCAACAGCTTTTGTGCTGCAATATTGGCACTGGCCATGGTGATGGGAGAAGTTGCAACGTTAGGAGATTCCATCTTTTGGTGCGCGAGTGATTGAGCAAAACTATGATGATTGCACCTATTATTACGCTTCTGATTTCTTTCGAGTTTTGAGGTGTGAACGAGGTTTTTTGGCGCGAAGTTAGTCCACCTGGTCCAACGATCGCGTCAGAACAATTCTTGGTCAGAACACCATCTTATTAGGGTACCCTCCTACTAGTACCTACAGTATCACCAGAACTCACGGTGGTGTACAGCAATCACGGAAATCCATGTTCCAAAAACTAGAAGCATTTTTAAAGGGCGGCACAGCTGCTGACAGATACCAACAAAAAGCAGCAATCTCAGAAAACTAAACACGAATTGCAGGACCAAGCACGCAATGTCCTGACACTTCTTGTTTCGTATCGTATCGTCTTGTATTATAAGCATATACTACAACAATACTACATGTTACTATTGTTGTCGCTAATATTTTTTATGACTGCGTGTCGTCTTGTATTATAAGCATATACTACAACAATACTACATGTTACTATTGTTGTCGCTAATATTTTTTATGACTGCGTGTCTTTAGCATCTCCGTTGCCGAAATCGTTACAAACGGCATCGTCGTTGTCGAAACTGCTCTTCCTCAGTTTTTTCTGTAGAACTTTCGCCATTCTTTGTTTTGTTGGCACGTAGGCTACTGTTCTACAACAGGAGAAAAGACAAAAATAGTGTTAGGGGGCATCCATTGCAACAGGAATTTCGTAGGTAGGTAGGTAGGTAGGTAGGTGATAACTCACTGAAGCCATGTTTTTCGGAAATCTTCCCAAGTTGAGCCGACGGGCTTGACAAGTTCAACGTCTGGAACTTTTTCAGGATTGTTGACCTCCGCATAGTAATCCACCTGTGGAGCCAAAATCTTTACTGACTTAGGTACTTGATCCAATGCAGCTTCCAAGACTTCTATCGGCACAATTCTTCCTGTTGAAAGCGCTCTTGACTGTACAAGTTTGCAATGGAATGAATGAGATGATGCTTCGAATACAAAATTCAGCGACAAAGTGAAACTTACAGCAGCACGCTGAAAAACAGCCTCTCTTGGAGCTGTCACGTGAATGATGGCTTGTCGGACATGTGGGAAATCCTCTCGGAGCCTTTTAAAGTACAGAGTGTACCAATCCGAGTCCCTCAGTGATCCATCCACCAAGACATTCTTCCCAGCTTGAAGAGCTGCCAGCGTTAGAATTTCTGCTATGTAGCCAGCCTAGCAATAGAGACAAAAATGAGATATGAAATTGGAGGTTGACAACAACGACTCTCGTCTGCCTTCCTCACCTCTTTCCTTGTCAATTCCCCTGCAAGTTCAGCATTCTCATTAATGTACATGTGGTATTCTGGGAGAAGTCGCCTCACTTCGTCTGGGTCAACGGAAACGAAACTCCCCAACGGAAACCTTTCCTTGTCCACAAGTGTTTGCATCGTGTGACTCTTTCCACACCCCATTGCGCCTGCAGTGAAGACAATCCACGGTTCCGTTGGTACAGTGCCAACTTTGCCATCGGCATCAAAGATGAAGGCGTCGTCTAGCATATCAATAATAATTCGGTCCTGTAAATGCTGCCTTTCAAAAGTGTAGTTGGAATGATATGTGTAGTCGAGAGTCTTCCGAATATGGGAGAACTTTCCAAAAAAGGTCATGTCGTCTGAGGCATTGTTTTCTTCAGATGAAATCAAAACTGAAAACCTCCTTCTCATGACTCTTGAGCTCCTTATCGTGGCTTCCCTTGCCTGGATAGACTGTCGTCGGGATACTGTGCGCTTTTGCTTTCCTTGCATACCCGGTTGCCATGCGCTCATCTGCAAGAATTCAACTTGAAAGTCATCCCAATCCATATCAACGAGCTGATAACCACTACGGTTGTTATGAATTTCGCAGACAAAGTCCACCACAGGTCTCAGAGCCTCGATGGCATCTGGAATTGCTTCCATGCCACGAAAAATTGATTCTCGGGAAAAATTTCTGCCGGTCGCAATTGCCATTTTCTGCAGCACAGTAAAGAAGATTGCGTGTGATGAGTCAAAGCGTGCTACATCACCCCGATCTCCATCTATCGTACACGTACCTGTGCATGTTTGACGATCCTCTTTTGCGGGGCTGTAACATTAAAAATTCCAAATTTCAACAATTTGTACTCTTCCTTGAGTCGGTTGATCAGATTGAGGTGCCATTGTACATTTGACAGAGAGCCGTCAAGGATAACGTTCCGACCAGCTTGAATGGCTGCCAGTGTCAATATTTCGCAAATCAGACCCGCTTCTTTTTTGGTTAGATTATCAACTTGATCTGGTCTCGATTTCAGATACGTTTCGTATTCTGGTAATCTTCTTCTCAAAGCATCAGAGTCCACACCCACATGCGTCAAAAGCCCCAGTCGACCTTGTTCTGTCAAATCTCGAATAACTTGCCTTTTCCCCGCTCCTCTTGGTCCGACAGTAAAAATCAACCAAGGTTGCGTCGGAGTCACACACTCCACCCCATCCCCATCATGGTCCAAAATATCCTTTTGAAAAATGAATTTAGAAGAAATGCAAAATTGGCTTCCTGCACCCAATGTCCGCGCTGACGTACCTCTATAATCGAATCCTGAAGCCTGTTGCGAAAAAGGATGATCCTAGTATGAGCATTGGTGCAGTGACCTTTGGATTCCATGCAATATTTATGACTTACCATTGCCTTTCTTTTCGATAATGCCTATGATAAGTGTAATCAAGTTGCTTGCGGATGTGGGCGTAGGGACCAAAGTATTGAGGCTCATCCACAGCGTTGTATTCCTCCGTCGAAAGAACGTCGGAAAACTTCTTGTGGTCCAACGACTTCCGCCTGAAGATGATATTTCTTTTCTTACTACTCTTTGAGGGCGGCTGTGCCTCTGATCGTCGAAAGAACTTCTTCGTATCGAACACCATGTTTGAAGGACATCACTTGTTTTATGCCAGGTACTGTAACTGGTGCATTCGCACTGATCATTTTTGTTCTCATTTCCCGTTCTTTCGTCCGTCGGCAGTTTTTGGATTTTTTGATGATATGACGGACGACTCGTACTAGTCGATTGATTAAATTTGAAAACCATCATAAAAAATCAAATCATTCAACCACATCTGTGGACTACTACAGTATGACACCAAATAAAAGCTTTATCTATCTAAGAACTACTTCTTTGTTTGACAATAGCAAAGGAGTTTGACATGAGAGCACCAACATCTTCTTCAGTAACTGATTGTAGCAGTACTTCAGTCGATCCTTGACACATGCCTTCATTGTCCAGCACCTTGATTACGTGCACTGACATGATCTGCCTGTCGTCTTCATAGAGAATTGTATTCATGGAATCAAATACAAATTTGACCAGATTATCAACATCAGTTCTCGTTTGAGCTGTTTGTGACGGTGCATTTGGCCGCATCCGATCTGATGCTGGTTTCCCACCCACAAAGTCCTTTTTTGGACGCTTTAGCCGAAAAATGATCGTCATGACCAAGCTTTCATCACCATCAAACAGTGGTTCCTTTAGCGCATCATCCGAAAAGATTAACTTTCGGACATTATCTCGGAATGAATTCTGCAATCCTTCGGATGGATTGTACATACGCCCAAAGCTTGTTCGATGTCGCCGAAGCGGTCGAGGATTTCCTCTTATCTTAAACCTAAGTAGTGAAATACCTTGGGTAGAGTTGGAGTTTTCGTATTTTATTTCAAGCGGGTCGGAATGGTCTAGCCAATGCGATATTTCATCCTTCTTCTTTGCCTTTCGTATTGCCTTCTTTTTCGTGGTGCCGTCACTCTTGCTCGCTTTCTTTTTTCGGCTGGCTTTCTTGAAGCTTGTTTCATCACCGTCTCCTAGCTGATTCAAGGTCTTGGGTTCCATGGGTACGAGTATTCGCTTGGCGCCCTTGACCTTCTTGGTGGGCACAGCTGCATTGTTGGTATCAACGGCATCTTTGCTGGACCAGCATCTTGGGATCCGAGTATTTCGGGTTATTTTTCTGCGATATGATGAGCTGAAGGCTTGTGTATGTTCCAGAGATAGAAGGAAGAGGGAGGCGCAATAGAAAAGCAAAATGGCATGTGCCATGAGGGAGATCATTTTTTGATATTTGACATATTGTACTCCAACGTAGACCGCAGGCACACTGTTCGATTTCTTTGACTACATTGTGTTACAGACGGACAAAGGCCGAACGGCCTTCGACCGTCAAAAGTTGTTGTCGATGCGCCCAGGCAATGATGCCCAGTTTATCGACTGAGATTGAATTCACCCACTTGTGTCGCGGTAATTCAATTTTTCTCTCCCAAACCTCACCCGCCCTGTTGGGCACCGCCTCCATTTTACCATATCGGCGGTGCCTGGTAGGAAAGCAGATCTCAGTAATACCGCACACGGGATTTCTGAGATTGGTCGAACGAATCGAGTCTATTACTCGATCAGTTCGACCCGCTTCACACCACAACCCACCAGCTACACACCAAGACAAAATACTACGAACACACACACGGAGGACGGCAGTAGGCTATCTTAGATAGCATCGGTATGCTGTGTCACCAACGAAATTTTTTGAATTGTTAGGTCGGATGAGTCAACTTGTGGCTACTCACTGCTCTATCTACTCTCACTCAAGAATTAAAAGCAACTAAGTTCAAAGTAGAGCAAGTCCATGATCTCCAACTACAGTATTTCTACTGGTTGTAGTTTCGACAGAGTATTTTCCATTTAAATTTGTTGAAATTGAGGAATGTCACCTCGGTATCCTGTTCCGAGCAGCATTTCTTGTCCCATCATCATGATATCCATAGAGTCTGAGAATTCATTCATTGCCTTGACGACTGTATTGTGTAATCCAGCAGCCAATGCTTGCGTCCGTACAGCCCATGGATCATAGTTGTATTTCTTTCCTGCTTCCGTATTCCCTTCTCGCAACAAGTCGTACAGAATAGCAATACAATGCCGTGTGACTTCCAAGCTTGTGGCATTGTTTTCCAATAAACTGCAAACAGTCGTTACTCCTGCAAGTCGAATCAGTTCGACTTTATTCTGTATGCAATCATAGCATAGAATAAAGATGGCCCACATGGACCAATTAGCAATTTCTTCATGAAACCGGAACCAATTCGCAATGTCCAATATCAGTTCCAATCCCTCTTCTTCCACAATTGTGGTTGAAAGATTAAGATCCTTGTCATTGTCCGAGAGTGCACCAAAGAAGAGGCATCCTTTTCGCAGCGTTTCAGCCAATTCCCCTTCCCTCTCTTCGTCTTGCTCTTTTTTGGCCATCTCCAAAACTGCTTGCAACCCTTGTATCGGTCGGTCCAACCCGTATACATCTGCCTGATATTTGTTCCGTTGTCTAACTTCTTCATTTTTTGCCACTAGAGCCAGGAGCGCAATGGAACTCCCTACAGCCTCGCTATCCTTTGGCAACAATCGGAGCGTCAAATATGCAGCTTGTTGACACAAAAGTGGGAAAGTTTTGTTTCCCTCATTGTTGATTCGTTTGTGCTTCATTGCCAGTGCCGATAGACAGGCGAGACATTTGGTCTTGTCCGTGTCTGTCATTTCGTTGCTTTCTGCAGATTGCTGCTTTGCTTCCTCCAACTCTTCCAGCTCGGCAATGATGTCGTCTGGTTCCAGTATATTGTACCGAATGGCCTGTTTTTCTTCTTCTTTGATTTGAGTCATGGCTATTTGGATCGCCACTAACATGGCTATCGCCAGTATGACTCCTCCGTAGAGAAATTTCCCGGAAAGAATGAGTGGGACAGCAATCAAGGTCAAGAACGAGGGCGGAGTAAGGTGGCCATCAATGGTCCAGAAAATTCCACCCGATTGCGGCGCTGACGACGACTCTGGAGCTGGTTTTCTTTTTTTGGATGGTTTTGTAGTCATTGCTAGGTAGCGTAATAGGCTTGAACTTGCACTGAGTCGAAGAAGTTAACACTGAGGTTATTGTGGACGACTATCGTTATCGGAAATTTGGTGATCGGTAACTAATACTGATACTAGAAGTTTCATTTTACCCCGAAATCGACTACTTCGACTAATGTGTCTCATGCCAATTCAAATAAATTGATTAATGTGTGAGAAATGAGTATGGTAGTGCGTAGCCCAACTGCGATCATCATTTGTTTACAGATATACAGGGTGCAACAGACTTGTAATCCCATCGTGGTCAAGCAATGGAGTAAGATCTTAGATTTTTCTATTGTACATTGTGATTTTTGAGGCTCTTTGGCCCCTCACAACTGGACTCTATCGGTACTTGTTTTCTCTCTTAAATAAAATGATAGCATTCGTTCTGTGATAGGAACAACAGGCTTCGTTGCTACCTGAATCGATAATTCACATATCATATGGGCTGCTGATCGGTTCCATCGACTTCATTTCCGCAAATTTGACCACATACTTCCAGGTGCCTTTGCCTTTTTAGCTTCTGGTGGCTTTGCCTCATCCTCATCATCTCCTCTTAGGATTCCTTCTTGCTGCAATTTTCGGATCTCCTGTGCCAACATGTGTGATGTAGGTGGAGCTTCCTCCTCGTGCAATCCTCGAATCGTATCTCGATCCGCAAAAAAGGGCAAATAAATTGTGGAAAGACCAACGACGCCCAAGGTTCCTGCCACTGCGCCTACCACGAGTCGACTACCAGATGATCTTGCTTGTGCCATATTACTGAAGGATGTTATACTGTAGCGTTCCACACTTTTGCCAAAACGATTACTATTACACGACAGATGCTTTGATGGGAAGGAAGAGGATGATGGTTTTCGATTTTGGGGAACTGCTGACGTAGACGTACAATTTCTACGTTAGCGTCTGTAGATCACCCGGTCCAACCACAGAATGCTTTTGGGATCTTTTGCCGGCATCATAAATTTTCGTTGGCGTTCTCAAACTTGACATCAAAAGCAACAATATACAACACAACACAATACAATACATCACAAAACAACATGACTTGGGTGGAGAAACTTTTATTTGGTCTATTTACTTTTCAAGCGTTGGCTTTCACTACATGGCTTGTATTGCTTCGTCGGGAAGTGAAGGAAGAAAAACAGAAACTTCATTGAGCTGCCTTGGTGGTGAAAGGAACGGGTCACAAATTCTTGCAAGACAGTTTCCTATCTTGCAACAACAAAGCTCGTTGGAGGGGATTGGGAAGGCTACTATAGGAGTGAATTTGTTAGAGGAGTACATTGGTACAGGGTGATCCATTTTTTTGTCATGGCGACAGATGTCTATGAAGCTGTTGATGGAGTATCTTGTCCAGAGGTTGGAGCGTCTCGTTCGTGAAGATACATGACGGAACCACCTTGCATTACTAATGAAGAAGAACGAGGAATGCTGGTGCTTCTTTGGCGCAGACGCTTGGCGATATTTGTTGATCGAGAATTAAAGCCAAATGGCGCATTTTAACGATGGAGGTTTTGTCAATACATGAACCCTGCAATGTCATATTGAAGGTGTCCACGTATTGTGGTATATCACACAACTGCGCCATTTCGAATTGTACACTATTGTACACTATCGTACTGCACTGTCGCCAAGGGATACCGTACCGGTAGACATTATCTCTAATACTACGATAGTCTTCGTGACGGTGCGTTTCGTTCGCATTCCGTTAGTTTGTTATGTTTGTCGGCGAGCATTGGATTGACCACTTCGATCCAAAAAAGCTCGAGCGAGTCAAATAATTTTCGAATTCTCGGTCAGAAAAACAGCTTGAGTTTGTTCTTGTCACTTTTGTGATGAGGCACTCCAGTGTCATTCACAGGATTCCTCTCTCAACACTACAATGAACCATCTTCTGTCATCATGTCTTGTACTTTCATCCGCTCTCGCTCCAGTGGCAGCCTTTTCTCCGCAGAGTCTTGCTAGAACAAACAGACAACCACTACACACGAGTCAGCTGTCATCCACCTTGACACCGTCTATTGAATCATTATCATTGTCGGCATCCACCAAACCTGACGAATATCTTCGTTGGAAGAAGGATGGTGACACTTGGAAAATGCAAACAGCGGTCACAACCTTTCAAAAGGGAGACAAGACTGTTGAATTGCACGCCCAATTGCATTTTGGAGACTCGTCCTACTTTGACTATTACAATGATGACAGCTTTAACGACCGTTTGGATCACGTTCACTACGAACTGTTGGTGGACAGTGACCTCCTTCAGTTTCAAAACAATACTTGGAGACTTGAAAAACCAATCATGGCGTCGGCCAATGATCAATCCCTGGCCCAATCGTACGGATGGGAGTGTCAAGCGTCCAAGATTGATTACACCCACCCCAAGTGGATTCACGCTGATTTGACGCGACAAGAATTCCGCAAGATTGCCAATCCCGACGCAAATGCTGGAGCTGGTGCTGGTGCTGCTGAGCAGAATAATAATACACCACTATGGGCCTTGGCGGCAGGACCACAGTCCTCCTCTACCGCTGCCGAAGCGGTGTCTGCCCTTTTGGTGGGACCACCCACTCTCTCCTACTCGGCCCAAATCTTGAAGCGCCGTCTCTTTACCAATTTGTTCATTCCGGGAGAGACCTTTGCGAATTCACTTCGTGCCATTTTGTGGTTCACCGTACCAGCCCCTGAACTCTCCATTATTCTCTTGGACTGGTCCAGTCTGCTAAAGGGAGGGTCCAATCCCAATGCACTTTCTGAAGTCGCACTTCCCATCTTGTCGAGTCTGGTCAAGTTGGATGTGGGACAAATCCGACGATTCTTGTTTGGTCAAGTTCTCATGTCTTCTGCGATTGCAAATAAGGACAATGATTCTTCCGCTTGGTCCTTGTTGGTTACAGTAAGTTGTTATACTTGTGATTGGAATAGCTGCGTAAATGAGATGATTTGTTTGCTAATTGCAGCCTTTTATTTGGTTTCCTTTTTTATATATAGAAACGCAATGACCATGCCCTCGAAGTTTTGAACAACACGTTGCACGATTCAGGTGGTGTAGAGACATCGACTGCCCTCCTGTATGGCAGTAGTCACTGTCCCGACTTGCATGCCAAATTGACGACGAGTGGTTTCAAACCTACCAAGACCACTTGGCGGACGGCGTGGTCGGTCCAAGAAAATGAAAAAGATAGCGTATTGTTGGTTTCATTGCTTGGTGCGGTTGGCTTGTACTTGTCGGTCGGAGCCTTGGATTGGGTGGGCATGATGGGCGATGTTTCGCAAGACTGGGTGGGAGAAGAATACTTGGACACGTTTGTTGGTGCTGGAGCCTATTTGGTGAGACACGTTCTCTTGTATCTTGGACTGAGCAAGTTCTTGGTGGACTGGACCAACAAGGACCGATGAAGAGCAATGTTGTATTATACACAGACATACTCTGGCTCGCGCTCTCTCTCACTTGCACTTCATATCCCTTGACTTGGAAGAAAAGAGCCATCATATCATGGCATCCAAGACTGTAAAACCCACACAAGACATGAAACACTCTCATAGAACACTGGAGTCAATGGATCAAGAAGTGCCGACACACTACACGTTGGTCTTACACGACAATACAAGACCAAATCTTATCCTAATTTAGAATATCAGCTTTAAATAGAAGTAAAATATCGGCCTCCTTTTGCTCTGTGTAGTCCTACATCTGGAAGATTGCCTTGGCTTACTTTGTGAAGTTGCAAGACTAATACAGTACAAAACTTAGTCTATCACTTTGAATCAAACGACAGTCTAAACGTTTTTGGATGACTCGGAAGTCTCTGAATCGGCAGCTTCCAAATCGATGGAAACTTTCTTTTCATGTCCAGTCGGAGGTCTGGGGGGTCTCCTCTTCGGTGTTTCGGGCTCTGGAAAGTACAGTGGTTCCCAAATTTCGGTTCCTTTCATGTCGTCACGATAGCAATCAATTCCGCGACCTTGCTTGTATCGATTCAACACTCGGTCACGCAGCTCGAAAGCTGCTGCTGGTCCATCGGTACGGTACAAAGTCAGATAAATATCTTCGTAGGTCAGCAGCGCCATGCCGTGTTCGTCCACATCGTTCGTATCGTCACCAAAGGGGTCGTCAAGAGCCATTGACACATACTCGATTCCAATGAATCCAAATGAGACTAGGCAGACAATGAGCAGTGCATTCCAGAGTCGATAGTCCTTTAACAACACGAGTGGCAACGTATACACCCAGAAAAAGAGAAAGGCGCGAGTCATTTGGACCAGTGGGAATGGATACGGCGTAAAGATCAAGACTCGGAATGCATGAAATGCTTCCTGGAACGATGCCACCATGAGTACCAAATCACGATACTCGTTGACTGGCATTTTGTATCCCAAATAATCTGGGTGTGTCATGATTGTTTGTGACAAGAGGTGGCAATTTGTAATGGGCGCCCGAAATATCTCATCTATATTGGAGCGACGACCGTGCGAAAGTTTGCGAGCATTGAAGAAGTGGTCTGAAGCTCCATGATCGTCGCCCTTTTCAGCATCCCGCGCTTGATACTTGAAATACTATTGGATGGGAGAATAATCATTGTATTGGGTGAGATGTCTCTTCCATCTATCCACAACACGTCATTTCTATTATCATCGATGGCAAACCGTCACTTACTTCTTCCTCCCACTTATCTCTTGACGTCGAACTCCAGTGAAGAGCGTCCATGGTCACACGCAACATTTTTATCGTCTTGAAGCAGACTTCATGTCTCCATTGTCGGGCTCCTTGAGTCTGGTTAGTCATGGTATATGTACATGTCAGCTGACTAATCGACCGACAGAGTCGATATTGGGTGGCCAGATGGGTTCTAAAACTCATAAATCTCCCATATGAAATCTGTGAACGGCTGACAATCAAGAAGGAAACCAAGAGGCCCATGAAGCTGTGCCCAGTGGAACTATGAAATGTGAGATCGATCTTGTGGTGTTCTTTCAAGTAGTATACAACCAACCCCCACATCACGTTAACAAGAACAAATGGGAACACATTCGGAAATGCTGAACCATACATTTGAAATAGAATTTGGACGTGATTGCCAGCTGTGTACGAAACTTTGTGCACTCGGTATCCCTTCATAGTTTGATCTGGATCTTCGTACTGTTCTTTCATGCTGCTACTCTTGTGCGGCGACGGCGTTGATTTTTCGAAACTTCCCCCATACAACGCCCCATGTCCTTCTGAAGCAGCAATCGCTGAACCATACAGTCCCAAGAGAGGGTCAGATTCATTGCGCAAATGGCGGCCTGATTTCCCCATAACTTATGAATGTGTTTGAGCCTATTGTTGCGACTTCCCTCTATTTTCAGACTTCTAGTGTCTCTCGTTAGTGAGACTGTTGAACCTCGTTTGTATGAGAGTATTGATATGCCAGATAAAGTTGTGTTCACAAAGTTCCAGCAGTGACACGGTCGAGAGGCGAAGATGTTTTTTGCATCCATCAGATGACGTCATATCCCGCCACTGTTGAATCACGAGCTGGCTGTCTTCATTTTTTATCCATGTTTCCGTTCCACTACTGTACTCTGTACTGTATACTGCTGCTAAACCACAATTTATTGAAACCATCATTCTACAAAATCTATATTAGGCCCCATTAGCTCTTACTGTTTTCCATCCAATCTTGGCCTCGAAGGTGATACGTCCAAAGACTGTAAAGCCCAATGATTGGTCCAGGCACCAACAGAAGAAACAAGTATTGTTCTGGCAAAGGAACCGCAAGCAACTGAATAGAACCAATCGTCACTGTGAATCCAATACAATTCACAATGGTCAAAGCTGTACCCTTCGATTCAGCTGGGGCACTTTGGGCTACAAGAGTTGAAAATTGCGGTGAATCGGCAACAACCGCCATACCCCAGAACAAGTAGGCCGCAAACATGATTCCAAGAGGCGCCATGTACAAGAGAGGCGACAAGAAACACATGGCTCCTGATATTGCCAAACTCCCAAAGGCTACAGCGGCACTACCGTATCGAATGGAAAGATATCCGCCTACCACGCACCCCAACCCTCCAACACCAATCACCAAAAACGTCACCAAACTTGGTGACCAAAACTCGCTGCTGCTATCATTTTCATTCAAATAGGCCTCCCACACCACTGGGGTCCACGTCCAAAAGGCATACAATTCCCACATGTGTCCCCAATAGCTAATGGCAGCCGAAGCAAACTTCTTGTTGGTAAACAAAGTGCAAATCACCGATGGATCCAAACCTTTGACATTTCCCGCCTTGCGATAGGGCCCGTTGGGAACCAAAAATCCAATCACCAGTCCACCTAGAACCGCAATAGCACTGGTTTCCCAAATTAAGGATTCCCACGACTGTGGAATCTGTCGCAACAAAAATGGAAAACTGCTTCCTAGTGCCAAGGCTCCGACCAGCCATCCCAGAGCTTTTCCCAGTCCAGTTTGAAACCAGTCGGCAGCAACCTTCATTCCTACTGGATAAATTCCCGCCAAAAAGAATCCGGTAGTCAGTCGTAAGACAATCAATCCAGCCAAGGACTGGGAAGGACTGCAAACCGGCAACAAAGCATTGCAAGCAGCACCAGCCAAGGAACACAGCGCAAACACTTTTGTCGGCAAGAATCGATCGGCTATGCTCAGCAGCGCAAAGACAAAAGTGCCCAATATAAATCCAAATTGAACGCTCGATGTCAAATAGCCCAAACTTGAGTCGTCCAAGTTGTCCCAACCAAGTTCGGGCAGTATCGCATTGCCAGCAAACCAAAGAGCGGTTCCCGCAAATTGACTGGCCACAATGGCTGGTAATATGTAAGCAGGACGAGAAACTTGCTCTGTTTGTTGTTTCTGGGAAGTCTCGACGGGATTTGGTTCCTCGACATCGTTGTGTGAATTCCGCTCCTCGTTGAGTTCTTCAACAACTCCGTCCTCTAGCGCCATGCTATCTTTCTTCCTCCGCCTATAGTATGGGAGATGAACAAATGGTTCAAGAGCTAGCACGAGCACGATTTGGCATTGTGTTCCTATATCGGTCTTACATGTGTTGCAAATGAATGTGATTCTGGTGGTCGTTTTCTTCCTGAGCAGTGTTGATTTGGGGCTAAATCAGCTCCAACATAGATATTGAATCAAGATTTCGTATTATATGTTGTCTTAGGTACCGGTAGATGGTGAAACTACTTTGGACTCTTTGGTAAGATGAACATTTCTTAAGAATCCCAGTCGCTGCTACTTTCCTTCTAACAGATTCCACAATTCCTGCTCTCCCCAATCATATCATCCCATGTCTTGTTCATTCGATAAGGTTGACTACTCCTTCATTTCATTGAGTTTGTTGAAGTACGACTCCTCCACCACGTCGGACCAATTCAAAGAACCATCGGATCCACCTTGCAAAAGCCCCGCGTATCTTAGCGAAAAGTCCACTTCCTCTGAAACTTGTATCTCTTGAGGGGTTCGCCTGTTTTGACGACCCAAAGCAGTGATACATTTTGGCTTGCATGATTCATTCCATACTGCTACTACTCGATGGAAGGGTTTGTAGGCAGCGCGTTGCCAACAGTCGTCTCAATCTCACTAGTAGCTTCGCCATCCTGCTGGGAAAGCACTGGTCGAATGACACCATGTAGTGGACTGATAGACACTGGCTCGATTCGGTCCACTTTGCTAGTCGGAAACTGAATCGCAGGCGTCACCCATGAACCATTTGCCGTCTGTTATTATTAAAGGAGCAACGGTTAAAGATACTATCAAATCATGGCAACATAGCTATACACAAGCCACCACAATAAACGTACCAGTGCGCCCGACCTAAAAAGATGGAATGAAAACAAAACAACTTTGAGAGGGAGGGATGATGCTTATCAAAAGTGTGTGAAAGGTCAAATGCCGTACGCACCATTTCCAGTACCCAATTTTGGCATGGCAGTTTGGGCAAGAAAGCTTCCCTTCCGCTGCATATTGATCGTCTCCAGCCAGCCAATTGAGTACCTCCTCAATACAAAACATCGAATGACTCGTAATTTTAGTGCCATAGTTGGCTTTGGTGAGTGGGTGCAGGTGATTATGTCCAAACAAGATCGACCGGCACACCTTGCATGCATATCTAGGGAGTTTAGCATCAATATAGATCCGTTTCTTCTCTTGTATCTCTTCCGCTGTTTCTTCTTCTGCTTCTGCCTTATCATCTTCTTCATCTTCCTTTTCTTCTTCCATAGGTCGCCTCAAAGCATCAATAACATACTTGGCCATTTTGGATGGCCCCATTGTCTGTTCTTGAGAATGTTTCTTCTTGTCTTCCGGGTTGAGTCCCTTGAATACATCCATCTCTTTCTGCAAAGTATCGTGATCTGCGTTGGGTCGAATGCATTCCACTTGTATGTCAATTCCATTGGTTTCAAAGTACTTGAAAATGTGAACTTCATCTCCATGCTGCCATTCATAGCCAACCATCAGCACGAGTCGCACATTGGTTCGAAAAGCCTCATCGTCTAGAAATTGCGTCATGGAAGATCCGTCGTGATAGACAAAATTAGACATGTATCTCACTTGGTTTCCATCTTCATTTGGATAGGCCTGTAACGCTGCGAGACATGGAACGAGCTTTGTTTTGGTGTCGAATTCTGACTCGGAAAGTGTCTCTTTCCGCTCATTCACCAACTCCATAATCTTTGACAGCCTTGCGCGGTTCTGACCTACAACAACAATTCTTGCAACTTCATCATTCTCATCGTCTTTCTCAGACATCGTCTTTTTTATTGTTACGATTGCGTTCTGTGACACACAATTTTAAAACTGTGCAGTTTTAAAACTGAGTGACGCAGTTTCAAAACTGAGAAAGCTAATTCTTTTTATTTTGTGATGGGTGATCTGTCTCGCAACAAGGTTTGAAGTTTGTTGCGCGGAGAGAGTGCGCAGTCTCAATTAAAGGGGGAGTGATTCTAACTTTGAACTTGGGTCCCCTACAATTTTCACGTTCCAAATCGAAGAAATTCCTGCGTGACGTACAGTACCATGGTAGGTACCTGGTACGCCACAATAGTACCGGTACATACCGGTACGTGTTGAAAGTACTGCAGATTACGTTACCGCCTGCTCACGTGCGTGTCGGCGCAGCGCTTCCATTGAAACCAACATCCGATCCAATCTACCGTATTCAAACCCGCCCATCCACCACCAACCCAACAGGTTAGCGCAGGAAAACAATGGACATGAAGACCACCCCCATCAAGATCAAAATAGCCAAGAAGCGAATAAGACGCCCAAGACGAGAACTTCCAGAAGACCTTTCCGATCTTTTTATCGCTGATGGTGATCGTCCCAGTGACCTAGACGTTATTGCAGGACGTGGTGGTGGTTCCAATCATCATGAAGGAAACAAGCGCTACTGGCGCCGCATCCTAGCCGAGCGACCAGGATACAAGCAGCTGGGCAAGAATGATAACACTTCAAAGAACGAAATATCTGAAGGTATTTACATGTACATTCTTTCAACAGGTGGAAGATTCTTGCAGCTCGACACAAGAACTGAAAAGTGGTTCATGATCCCCAAGAAGATATCTCTGGACAAGATAAAGCAAGCTTTGCGAGACAAATATGTGCCTCACTTTCTCAAGGGAGAGACAATACCACCAATGGCGGAACGTCTTCAAGCATCTTCGGCCCCAACCGTTGCGAATACTAGCAGCCACCAAGCCACGGCTCATGCTGCTCCTCAATCGAAGCGAAAGATCGGTCTCCTCTTGGCCGCTGGTGCAATCTGTCTTGCAGAGAAAGGAAGTGTATGTAATGCATATCAAACAAATATAAATTATGGACTCACTGTACCGAGAAGAAGAGGAATTCCCATCACGAAAAGTTGGATTTCAGGCACGACTCGACATGTGGATTCAATGCAAGGTAACCTCGAGACGAAAATGTGGAATCAAAACGATGATTTTGTTGACCCATTTCAAGACAAGGTCATCTCTGAGCGTCAAAAAGGGATATCAGTGCTGCTGACTGTACCTATAGGTGTGTCACTTTATTAGGCAGCGTTTCGGTAATTCATTCATTCATTGTCGTAACTCACAACAGGACGTTAAATCTGCATAGCCTGGGGAACCTTTGAGCCTGCCATTCGGCTCGTCTATAAAATCCAACCAGAAGTCCCTTCTTTCGTTTTATCTCTCGCCTACTACATCATTGCAACTATTCCTCTCTGCATTCTTGCCTGGAGAGAAACTCCGCCAGATTTAGAAAATGTGGAGACAGAAAGCGAGATAAAATCGAATTTCTCACAACTATGGGGTGGTTTGGAGTTGGGAACCTATCTATTTGTTGGAAATGCGCTACAAGTGATTGGATTACGGACAGTGCCTTCAGATCGAGCCGCTTTCCTACTGCAGCTCACGACAATTTTTGTTCCTTTGGTCCAGAGCATCTTGGCTCGAAATCTTCTTTTGATTCCAGCAAAAACATGGGTGGCTTGTTGTGTCGCTTTGGCGGGAGTTGCCTTGATTGGAGTCGAGAATGCGGATGGTGATGTGAGCTTTGCATCATTCTCGCTTGACTTGTTACAGTTCTCAGCAGGCGATCAGTGTATCATGCTCGCTGCATTCGTGTATACATTTCACTGCATCCGGTTGGAAAAATATGCCAAAGAGATCCCATCAGCGATACGGCTAGCAGCGGCCAAAGCTAGTACTGAAACTGGCTGGAGTGCTTTGGCGGTAGGTGCTGGCCTGATAGCTGCAGCACAAACCGGTACTTTGGAAAACCCGGTGCTTGGTGGTCTTCAGACGTCCGGTCGGGGAATACTAGAGTACACCGAGACTTTTTTGGACTTTTTGGACTCGATGCAAGACGTCGACATTAGCCAGTATGTGACACTCGCAGGATCTTTGTCTTGGATAGGCCTCGTGACAGTTGCGTACACGATTTCCGCACAGACCTATGGACAGTCTAGAGTCCCGCCATCTACAGCAAACTTGATTTACACGCTACAACCAATATTCACAGCACTCCTCGCATATTTACTTTTGGGAGAAACCTTAAGCTATACTGGCTTGGCTGGTGGCACATTAATTGGATCGGCGGTGCTCTTGGTTGTAGCAGAAGTTGGAAATGGGGAGCCTGGAGGTGTGTCGAGATCTATTGATTCGACGAAGTTGTAAGAGCTTCGATGACGTGATATCCATTGTTTCATGGATTCGTTTGTCAGAAAATATGTGTACATCTATCACTTGGCAGAACATAGCAAGAAGAAAAAGGAAGGACTACGCCTTGTGGCATCGAAGACGGGCGCCCTTGCATTTCCAGAAAACGCAGTACTCGGGAGTTCCTTCTTCCGCAACCTCAAATTGATATCTTGCACACAATCGCGACAGCACCCATGTAATTTCAGCAAGTGCCAAACCCTTGCCAGCACAGTTATGAGCCCCTGAAGAAAACGAGAGAAACGTCTTGTCTGGATGTGCCTTCCATCTCATTGGTTCAAAATCTTCGGCATCTTCTACGCCATCGCGTGTCAATAATGACGATGGAAATATAACGCATGTACCCTTCGGAAGTACCATATTTTTGTGCTTTAAATTCCAATCTCTTCCTAGAGTACGAACAGCAACTGTTGCATAAACTGGTCGCAAGCGCATTCCTTCGCGCAAGACATCTTTCAATAGTTGCTGCGCCCGCGTGTCATCCTTGCCAGAAAGGGCTTCTCGAAGTCTTCTTGCTTCCTTTGGGTTGCGAGCCAACTCCAAGAATATCCAGGAAAGGGTATGAGCTGTTGTTCCATGACCTGCAAATAGAATCATGACCAAATCTGCCACTCGATCAGCGTCTGATGCATATCTGCTGCTGTTTTCAATGCAACCAATGATCGTTTTGGCTTGGCTTCTCATTTCGTCAGGTTTCTTTCGGTAATGAAGTAGCATTTTCGTAGCGAATTGGAATAGTTTTCGTCTTGCCTGCTTTGCCCGTCGCACTGACGGGATAAACGACCCCAGCAATGACGCTCTCATAGGATCTTTTGCTTGGTTGTGCATGAACTCTGTAGTTGCCACTTCCAAATCCGAGATAACTTGTTCAGCTTCTCTTGATTTGATCCTGTATTCAAAGGCCGACTTGCAGATAATGGATGTTGTCAAGAAGAGAAACTCGTGGGCAATATCGATGTCTTCATTGTCTCGAATCATTGGATCTAGTCTTTTCTTGATCCACTCCTCGGTCTTATCCCTACATGCCTTATGCATGCGATCAAGATGGGCAGTTGCAAATGCAGGGGAAATACCCTTTCTTGAGTGCTTCCAAGGTTTACCTTCAGACGTCAGGATGTTAGGTCGGCCATGAACAAGGGACGCCCATGAAGAATACATTTTCTCAGCCTTTTTCGTTGTTGCGTCCTTCAAAATTTCTTTAGCGAGATCTATTTCTCCAACTGCTACTACCATCGGTCCTCCCCAAAAGGGCACTCTGAGTTGGAATATGGATCCAACACGAGATGCACATTCTTGGAAGAAAAGTGGCAGTTTCGATCCAGCAAGTTCTCTTCCAGTCTTCCTAGTAGAAAAAGGAGCGATTGGAGGGAATTCAACTTCACCATATGTTTCTAGGTGTCTCGCTTTCCTTCGAGCTTCAAGCTTCCTCTTGACAGCAACAATAAGTAGTACACACAAAATGACTGCGAAAATGTGGAATCCAGTGATTCCAGCAGCGTCCATTGCTGAGGAAGCCGAGCGATGGGCTGCCTTTCCAGAAGCTACAGTCATAGATGCTATGCTTCCAACAGACTTTTTGGCAGCCTGGGTGGATTTGATGGCAAGGGAAACCGATTTCCCACATGCCGATGTCAAGGCTCCTTCAGCACTTCTGTAGCTTTCACGTGCATAGTAGCGAAACCAATCCAAGCTTGTCTTTGGCTTTTTCTTGCGTCCAAACAATCCCATGATGAACGAATGGGACGAGAATGATACCGTAGGGCCTTCTTCAAGGTGAAATAGAAGGTGACGTTTCTCGGGATGTTGTTTTTCGTTTCCATTTTCCAAATTGCCGTTTTGAATTTTCTAGCATCGCGCGCCAGTCGACCAACCTCAAACCGCCGAGTACTATCTTAGCTTTTAAATCATTTTATCTTCTATTCACAACTTCAGACATGGGTTCCTCCTCTTCCGTATCTTCTACTGTCACTCCGTCAACATCAAGAATACTTCTATCAGATTCCAACGATTGGATTTCTACTATAGAATCCGATGTGCTTTCCTCAGAAAAGGATGCTGTGGCCACCACAAACACAGAGCCAGCAATGATGCTGCCACCCACAACACCAGCAGGTCCCATGGTTTCTCCCAACAGCAAAAATGCAATCAGGGCTGTAAATATGGGCTGGAATGTATATATCAAGTTGGCGTTTGTTGGGCTATTCGTGAAAAAATTCTCGTTAGCCATGTACAACGCATGTAAAATAGACTTGAGACAACTGAAAGCAACGTACCTAACTTTTGCTTGTCCAAAACTTTGCGCATAGATAGTGTAGGCGCAGGTCACCCAACCTTTCAATATGGTGTGGCTGTGAGCAATACAATAATAATGAAAGTAGGGTAGATGCAATAGTAAGCCACATATAGTCACTCACCAGTCCATAATACAGCGCCAATTGCAGGGAATAAGGCCGACATTGGGATGCTGCCGGAAGAAATTCCTTCCCCAAACGAAGAATAGAATGAAATGATTTCCTTGCCAGAATCCGCAGCAAACCCCAACAGACCAGTAGATTGACCAGCAAGCGGAGCTAAACTTCCAAGGAAGGAAAGCAGTAGCAGGCTGAACACGGTCTCGACAGAAGCCTTTGTGGCAGCAAGTCGCAAAGGCGTCGTCTCTCTGGCGTAGGATCCCAGTCGAACCACATGAAGAGTGTACAAAACTGCAGCACCCAGTATGAGATAGTCTCCCTGACTAAAGGAAGAAACAGCTGCAAGAAGAGCCGAAACTGGATCACTTGCAAGTTCGGCCCTGCCATCCAACCCCATAACGAACAAACCCAAAAAGGCAAAAACGCAAGCAAGCCACGTACGAATCGGCACCTGGAGCAAGTTTCCAGCAAACAAGGCCTCGACAAAGGGCACCATGACGGTAGTAAATTGTACCAAGAATCCTGCTCGATCCGACGGGACCGTTTGCAAGCCAATCACTTGCAAACAATTCGCAATGAATAGGTAGGATCCCAGTTCCAAGCCCCCTTGGATGGGAATGCTACCACCATTGCTTTTGATTTTCCCATTTTCGATTGTTGTCCTTGCCTCTTCCCCATCACTGCTACTATCACCACTACTATTGATAGCTACCAAGGTAGACATGGTCGCTGCCGCCAATGCATAGTAGCAAGCCGAAAAGACAAAGCCAGGCACTGCCGGTTTGACCGCATACAAATATTTCACCACTGGAGTGTAGGTTCCCCAAGCAATAGGTACAGTCAGCAGTACCAAAATTCCAAGCAACTTATCGGAAGATAGACTGCTCAATGGACCGCCATTATTATCCTCTTCCTCTGTCACTTGTGTTCCATAGATCCGCGTCGTCGTCGTGGTCGCCGTGGATGGAATCATCATCCCCTTGTTCTTGCGAAGAATCATTGAGGATCTTTCATTATCATGATGAAGCGTAGGTCGTGGTAATGGAAGTATCAGTCTTCTTGATGTAGAAGTGAACGAAGCGCTAGACTCTAATAAGAGCAATATGCATAGTATTGCATAGCAGAAAGGCACTAGAGGTATTCTCGTCACCATGACAAGAATTTATTTCTTTCTTCTTTTTGTTGTTTTCATTTGTTGTCTCATCGATGACGAATGATGTTCTGCATGGAGGTTCTTGGCGAATGGAGAAAAGGAAAGCTAGTCAACTGCAGTAAAACACTTTTGAAAATAGGAAGAAGCAATTTTTGCCTCAAAGATTTCATTATTACCATACATGCACATCCAATGTGCCATATTGACGAATTCTCATAAGATCAAATATATTCACATATTGAGCATAAAGGAATGGTTGGAATTTGATATTTCCCTCGATGGATTTGCCGCTTGAAGGAGTGCAAAAGTATTCATAGATATTCATAGAAGGTCTCGGGCTACTATGGTATACCTTGTCATCGTTCAATAAATAATCAATCAATAGCATAACTGCATCATACAGAACAATACTGATGCTCTGATACTGATACTGATACTGATACTGATACTGATACTGATGACACTACAGTACTCAACTCTCTTCACCCCGAATACTGGCAGCAGCTTCATGATAGGCTAAATTGCCACTCAAGTTCATCCACGGCGGTGGTCTTTCTCTAATTTGTTCCAAAGCTTTCAAATTGGCAAAGGGTATTCTACTCTTTGGTTCCGTATAGATGCCATAGAGTCCAGTGACGGGACACATTTTGCGGACAATCGGTTTTTTGCCAGAAGTGTTCCGAGCTTCACTGTTCAACCAATCTTGGGAAGCTCCATCCTCTCGATTCATATCTTCCAACAGCAAGCTAGCCAGTGATCGTGGTTTGAAACGCTTGGGCAAGACGCCCGCCCCCTTGGTCTTCTTTGTCGTGGTCGTTCGTTTGCGTTTGCCGCGTTTCTTCTTGTCATCTCCCAATTCGTCTAATTCATCGTAAGAATCGTCGTCTTCTGCCGCAGGACCCGATGGAGCAATATCTTCCAAAGCGTCCATCCAAGCCGCAGCCAGCAATTCCTTATTGCCGACCACGTTGGTTTTCCGCGCCTTTTCCCGACGGTCTTGCTTCTTGCGACGATCGGAGCGACGTTTGTTGGTGCGTGGTTTCAACTCGGCGGGCAAGGCATTTACGCCAGCCGCGGATCGCATGGCATCGTTCCATGCTTTTCGGCCCATCTTGTTAGTGCAAAAGTAGTATTACTATACTGTAGTATTATTTGCGGGTTGTGTTGCGTTGTGTGTTTTGTGTTGTGGTGAAAAAATAGCCGACAACTTCGACTCATAGAGACTAAACAATACCCTGGAACTTACCTCTCCATCCCTTACTATTCTTGCGCGCGCTTCGTAAAAGTACCAGAGCTACGAACCATCGACGAATCCCCATTGCAACACTTGCATTGTAGATCAAGGTGCGTCCGAAGATGGCGTTTCAAGAGAGATCTTTTGGATAGCAGTAGCAGTAGACAATGGTGGCTTGAGACAGTAGATTATACTGCCATTCGAATGGACTGATGGTATTGGGATGTTGCAATTGTCAGTTAATGATTACCAATCAATACATTATTGTTTCAAACACCAACTCCAACTCGGTGGATGAGTTACATGTATGTGATTGATTGGAACAATGGCAATACACACAATACACACAACAATACTATCAGTACCATTAGCATTCGAATTCATGTCATTGTAAAAGTCACCATTGGAATGCTGTTTCTATCGAAAAGAAACTCTCGTGTTTACATGATTCCGCAACCACATCAACAATTTCTAACTTTCCACCCCTCCTCCTTCCATTATTTAGTCTCTTTCGCATCTTTTTATTAATCAGAAAACATGGGTAAGCCAAATGGAATCCGAACTGGACGCAAGCTGCGAATCCACAGACGTAATCAACGCTGGCATGATCAAAAATACACCAAGGCAAACTCTATCACCGCCATGAAGGCCAACCCTATGGGAGGATCCACAATGGCCAAGGGAATTGTCTTGGAGAAGATTGGTATTGAGGCGAAGCAGCCCAACTCGGCTATCCGAAAGTGCGTTCGTGTCCAATTGATCAAGAACGGAAAGAAGATCGCTGCCTTTGTGCCACGTGATGGTTGCTTGAACTACGTCGATGAGAATGACGAAGTTCTAATTGCCGGTTTCGGTCGATCCGGTCACGCCGTCGGTGATATTCCAGGAGTCCGTTTCAAGGTCGTCAAGGTTGCTGGTGTATCTCTCTGGGCTCTATACAAGGAAAAGAAGGAAAAGCCTCGTTCTTAAACAAAAAATACAGTGGTAAACTGGATAGAAAAAAAAAACTTGTTGAAAAAGTGTTCGTGTAGCAAATGTGTGTAGTTTGGGTTGCAGTGTATTCATATTCATTGCTTGGAATGATGTAAATTCCATAAAATCCTTCTTTCAGTCAACTGCCATTCCAATGGGATGTCACCAATGTGGATTTTCTGCGAGTTCTACTACTGGACACCAACATTTGTCAAGTGAAAATTTGTTCTGCAATCACAAAGAGCAACCTCCCAAATGAGAACAGAATGTAACTCAAGTAGTATTATAACGGTATTATCATTGGAATATCGTATACTCTATGGATTTGGTATCTATGTTTTTGCATACCTGGCAAGAGAGATCTGAGTCCAGTCCTTCACACCATTCCTTTGTGAAGGACCACTGGAATGCAAGAGAAAGAGTAAAGCATTGGATCAGGACGGGATTTCACACTTTCACAATGGCGATGCATTTCGAGTCCCAACATACTGTAGTTTGAATCACCAGTACCTACCATGATAAGTTTTGTGCTCTAGTATTTATTTATACTCTCCTTGTGATTTTTTTCTTTAAAAACAACGCAATGTATTATACATTCCACACAGATCTTACAAGTCAAACCAAGGTAGGTCTCCTTTCTTTTAGTACCATATTATGGAAGATTGTCTTCGTGGGCTTTTAGGAACCCATCTTCAAGGAAAGGCATGACCTTGTCGGATTCTTCTGGAGTCAACAAAACTCTAAGGTCCGGTCGGTCAGCATCAGTCTTGCCAACCAAAAGAACGGGATCCAACAAGCGGACCAAATAGAACTCAGTTCCTCTGTGTTCAAAGGTCAATAGCACTTCAACTTCTTCTTCACCATTGTATTCTTCCTCATCGTCCTCATCATCTTCGTCTTCTTCTTCGTCATCAATATCGTCGTCCAATTCACCCACCAACGTCAAGGTTTGGGGCGTTCGTTGCAGAGCCAACTCTTCTCCAAATTCTTCGCCGACAATGTTTTCTGCTACAGGAAAGATATCGTCCATCAATTTATCGTCCAACTCGACGGGCAAAAAGTTTTCTCCTTCAAAGTAACACAAGGCGACGCAGTAGTCACAGGGGACTCCAATGGTGTAATCCACTCCCTCTACAGTCGCAATGGAATCTGCGTAACATTCAATAAAGGAATTTCCCTTGACGTCCAGGAATGGTATGGGAACCCCTTCGTCACCCTCTGATATGCGGGTCAACACGACACCATTGTCGTTGTCTTCATAATTGGAATAAAGTTGTTGACTGCTGGGAACCTTTTGCTGGTGAAATGAAACGGGAGCAAAGGCAGTCGCAGTGGCCAATAGAATGGAAAGAAGGACAATTGACTTTATCATCATCATCATCACTTTATTGTTGTTTGTGGTGGTGAATCAATCAGTTTTCTGGTTTGGGTACAGAATTTGAAAGTTCAGTCAGAGGTTTTTGATGGTTGATGGATGATGGATGATGGATGGGTTGTGACGCAAGACTTCAGGACTTCTGATTGGTGGAGACGTCAGTGACTGAAAGCGAGTCCCGCCAGAATGAATCATCCGAGCAACAAAAGCAATCCAATGATAATATATACCGGTAGCAAGCAACATGGACACCGCCGCGAGCACATTGGAGGAAGTGGACAAGCTCATTACACACTTTGGAGATAATTACCCACCAATCGACAACAACAACAAGTCGGAGCAGCAGGACGACGCTGAAAATCAAAATCAAAAGATTCCACGCTTGTTTTCGCCGCCAGGATTAGAAGAACAATTTAAGGATGTTAGATCCGTATTGCTGCCCTGTTTGACGTCCACGTCTTCCTTTTCCAAGGACAAAGTTTCGTCAACGGCATCAGTGGTCTTGATTGGTGATCGAGGGAGTGGAAAGTCGTTGCTACTAGAGAGATGTCTCCAGGCTTGCCAATACGAATACCCGGATGCCGCCAAGTTTCGAAGGATCCACATTAATGGGATTGTGTGTCGAGGATCGGACGTTTCCGCAGTGGTGTACGAGATGATTCGACAATTGTCAGACCTTGGGTTCAAAGAAGAGGAGGAAGCATTGGCGAATGATAGTGTTGCTGTCTCACCAGCAGCTGCAATGGCTGACAAGCTTGAGGAAGAAACTCCCTCCAAACGCCGAAAACTCAACAACAATGAAGACAAGGACAAGTACGATCTTCGACTCCGAAAGTCTAATTTTACATCCAACTTGGCCCTTTTGGAAACTATGCTAAATATCGCGGCCAAGGACAAGATACCAGTCTTGCTGATTCTGGACGAGTTTGAAGCTTTCACGGCACGAGATGAAAAACGACAGGTTCTTTTGTATCATTTGTTGGATCGAGTGGCCACACCCAATTCGAGTTTGTGTCTAGTGGGACTGACTTCGTCTTTTACAGTTTTGCAAAGTTTGGAAAAGAGAATCAAAAGTCGCGCAGAAGGAGTAACCCAAGTTGTCTTTGTCCAGCATCCCAGTACCTACGAGGAGCTTACTTCGGTTCTAAAGCACAAGATAGGTCATCGATCCAATGATACTAATATTAATATTGGCAAGGCAATTCTTCCATTGCTATCCAAGCCCACAATTGTGGATGACAACAACAACAACAACAACGATAAGGACAAGAACGACAAGAAACACAACAAATTGCATTCGAAGCTTTGGTCGGTATTGGAACATGAGTTTCGCATCGGCAAGGATGTCCGATGGTTTTGTCGCGTCATTTTGGCGGCACTATCGTTGTACCGTCACGATGTCATGATGGTGACCACTAGTAACGATGGTGCACCACCACCAAACTTTGGACCAAATCATTTGCTGGAAGCTCTTGCCATGCTGGGTGTTCCAGTCTGGTCCAATGAAATTGGGACGTCCAACAAATTGGACTTGTTTTCAATTGGCGAAAAGGCCATGGACTTGAGGTTTCAAGCTCTTTTGGATTTGCCACAATCCCAAGTGGCTCTGCTCTTGGCGGCTCGACGTATTCTTACGAGAGAGGCACATCGAGAACAAGCCGTGACGGCACCTCTAACGATTCAACGAATGCTGAATGAATATTCCAATTCCTTTCGCCGTGGGCGGTCTGACTCGTCCATGCTTCCAGCTGCGAGACAACTCTTGCACCAAGGTCTCTTGATTCCCTCCAATGAACATTCGGGAGGAGCCCCGCTTCAATATTCTATATCAGGAAAGTACAAGAATTTGGATCCCTATTCATTGATTCGATTGCCCCTGCACTTTCCGATTGAAATTGATCGAGAACTGGGTGAAGCGTTGAACATGAGCCTATTGGATTGTTCCACTGCACTCCGAGAGTGGGGACGCAAGATCAACTAACTGCAAGATGGCTGGAGAAAAAGGTAAACGGATTTTTCTACATTTTACCCGGACGTCTCGGTAATCATCGCTCCTCCCTCGCCAGCGACCTCGGATACGGTCGGCATTGCTGGGTTCATTAGATTGGCTTCTTCGACAGTCAGAAGGACACTCTGTAAGGCTTTCTGATCAATTGGCTGCCCCATGATTCTGAGAAAATTTCGAACATGCTGGATAGCCATATCTGTACTCAGATTCAAATACTCTTCTCCAAGGAATTGTAGAATCCACTTGGGTAATTTGGATCTTTTCTCATGTCGGTTGTACCGACTGTCAGCAAAAATCATGAGACCGTAATCGGTCTTACTTCGAATGACTCGTCCAACGCATTGGGAAGCTTGTCGGAGCGCATCAAAATTCAGAAAGTCCTGCTCTCTAATCTGATAGTGGGTTTGTAGATATTCGAGTCGCGCCCGAAGCACATGACTAAGTGTGTACTGGAATGGCACTCCAAACATCACCACAGCTCTACCATAGTGCCGATCAAAGTTGATTCCTTCCGATACCTATGCATGACATGTTGTTAGAGAAAAAAGTATGCAGGTAGCCTCGCTTATTGATCCAAACATTGGCACGAACCTTTCCACGAGCAACGGACAAGAACACTGCGCCTCTTCCACAATCACAAGCCCGGCGATAGTTGTCTAACGCCAGCGTTGTCTCCACAACATCCTTAGTCTCAATGAAGACCAGCTTTGCCTTGGTCAAGTCTCTCAAGATTCCAATTGCATCCCATTCGCTGATTAGCGATTCCATGTAACTGTAAGAAGTAAAGAAAGCCACCACACCGTCTGGAATGACGCTGCATAGTTCCACTAGCATTGCGCCATAGTTCCGAACAACTCCAAGATCGTTACGATCTTCAAACTTTGTCGAAACAGCAAGTTGATCAGATCCTCGAGTAATCACAAGCGGTCGAATACATGGTCGGAATGTAGACATGTTGAATGACTCCGACACACAGGGTTCGAATTGAAGGAGTTTTGGATACAAATCAATGGGAGAAAGTGTACCCGATGTAATCACGACGCTTCCAAAGCGCTTGAATAATGGTGCAATAGCCAATGAGGAATCCAAACATGATAGCTGAATGACAGGGTCTGAGGCTCCTGGCACCGATGAGCCGTTTGGTTCCATGATAATCGCAAATTTCGCAACACCTTCAGAGTAAGTTGCCAACAAGGTTGCAAAATCGGCTACATCCGTCAGTGAATTAAAGTCATCCAAATTGGACACTTGCAATGTCCTCAACAACGAGGACAATCGCGAGAATGCAAATCTCAATGGTTTGGCTTCCAGAGATGTTCCATTTGTCATACGATGTAGGAAAGCTAGTGGCGTCTCACTCTTGACCCCGCCATTGGGGCCTGCAACAGACCGAAGGCGGGTTTTCAAGTGTTCCACCACCTTCTTCATGAATTGAATGAAGTGCTCTGCTCGTCGAATGTTTCCTGGTACACTTTCATTCAAAACATCTGGAGCCAATGCATTCTAGAGACAAAAGTGTAAGCTTTCAGCAACATAATGAGCAACATAATGTCGACGCATGCGGACTTACACTAGCCAAGGAGCGGTCATTTGTCGGGGCATCCAGAAGACCTTGGTCGATTAGGCCGTTGACAAGATTTTGATATTCCTCTTGCAATCGTTGGCTATCAGAGTTCTTTATGTTCTTCACCTCAGTTGATAGCCGACCAAGTGATCTCGTAGCCTGCTCTAGCCCACGATCGTTGATTGTAACCGACAACGCTTCAATACAAACACTATCAATATTGTGAGCTTCATCGAATACAATGATACTCTCTGCCTCAAGTTCTTTCGAAACCATCTTTGCAACCTTTGGATCAAGCATGTATTGGTAGTTGAAGACAAGAATGTTGGCTGTGTGCACAAGTCAGAAGTGAGCTCCATTCACAAGTTGTAATAACGAAAGATCAAGATATTGCCTACCATGGTTGATTGCTTGTCTGGTGAGATAGTATGGACACCACCCTCGCTTTTGTCCCCATTTTTTCAACTCCTCAAGATCATAAACACCACTTGGCATAGTGGTAGCTTCACCAGCCTCTTGAAAGTTGTTATAGTATGAGCAAGTCTCCATGGTCCCTGGATTATTTTTGGCTTGTTCGACAACCCAAGATGCTGTCATACTTCGACATGCGGCATCGACAGCTTCGCGATCACTTTCAGCCATGACGCGTTCGTGGATGCACATATTACGACGACTCGACAAACACAATGCAAGGACGCCACTTCCACCAGCCCCTTTTGAGGTCGCAATCGGACCGAGTGTATGTTCCCGCCCTCGTTTTGGTTTCCCCACTATCCGTTTTGGTCTCTTCTTCGGCCTAGCCGCTCCATCGGAAGTCGTCTCAGACGGTCCACTCTCTCCATTCTCAGCAGAAATATCCTCCATCTCGACATCCCCAATTTGTTGTTCGGCAAGAGCCAGTTGCTCGGCGCGATATGCCAACACGGTACCCAATTCCTCTACCACGTGATTCATCTCTGGAACTGTACGAGTGCAGTAGACAAGTTTTCCAGCCGATGGATTTGCGAATTGATATGATGTAATTAAGGAAAGTAAACAAACTGTCTTTCCTGTCCCTGTAGGCATCTCCAGAAGGCAGTGGCCACCTGCATCTAACGACTGCTTGAGCGATCGCATGTATTGATGCTGTTCGAGATAAATCCTGTCATAGGGGAAGAATACATCTAGCCCATCGAGGTCAAACCTCATTTTGGCAAGCGAAGCTCTCGGTATTGATTATGGTGCGAAACTAATCAGCAGTAAGCTTCTAATCTTCCTTGAGGACAGTGGTATCTGTTGGCAAAGTTTGGCACCGACGATGAACGATTTGGGATGATGCCAATTCCACTGCCTGTCCGTCATACCCTCTATATACTTTATGAACGCAAAATTTGGGCTCTGGGATAACTGGGCTTTTCAAGCCCATATTCTTTGTAATATTTCTCGATCCCACAACCCTTTTTTGCATGTGGCAATGCAGAGGTTCTTTTTATATAGCTTGCAGTAGTTCTTGATAGTAATGATTAGGTATTATCACGGGGTGCAAAGGTTGCATTACTATAGTTATTTTGGTTCTCGCTGTATGAGTATTCCCATCGTGAGGCCTGAGGATCGAAACTAACGAGGGTCGCCTCACAGCCCTTCCAATGCAGCTTCAACATCATCCATCAAAGCATCGGCGATTGGTCCATCTTCAACAGGGCCATTTGTTATCTCTAGAAGATCCTGTGCCGGAGGGGATTGCTTCTCAAACACAAATACCTGTTCAAGCTCCTCTCGATTCCGACTGATCTGAGATCGCATACCATCTTTCCAGACAACTTTTTTCCCATTCTTCTTCTTCTTGCCATTGGTGCTAGGTACTGATGCCACCTCTGTATCGCCTCCACGTTTTAGGAACTTTTCTCTGAGCTTTGCCAGACGTTCACGGTGCTCAGTCTGCGCTGCATGGAGCTGCTGTTTCAAATTCTCCCGTTCCGCTAATCGCTCCTTAGCAGCGAGTTCTTTGGTGCTGGAGGTTTTGGACTTCGGTGGCTTCTTGGCGTTGCCCTTTCCAGTCTCTGTATCATCGAACCAATCTGGCTTGGGAGCTTCACCAACTTCGTATTGCACCAGCGCATCTAGCCGCTCCTTCATTTTTGCCTTGAGTGATTCAAAGGGATCATCAAATTCGCTTGGATCATGCTTGGCCATTTGTTCCCATGATGATTTCAGATCCTTGATTGCTTGATGAACGTCATCGAGCGCATCTTTAGCATCAACGGTTGGGTCGAGGCTCCAATTTTGTAAATCCACCGGTTCGTGTGTGTTTTGTTCCCTAGCTTTGCGAATAGCGGTAACTTGCTTCCCTAACTTTCGAATCTGTTTGTTGATTTTAGCATCAATTACGACCTTCTTGTCAAATGGGATATGTTCCAAGAAACGGAGCATGGGGAGAATCAGAGGTCTCGTAGCGGGTGGTTTTGGTTTTGGGGCAGCCTGCTGCCCTTTCCCATTGGCAGGCTGTTTTGGTGGTAGCTCCATCTCTTCTGTACAAGCATCTATTAGCCATCGGTTCAATATCTTGAGTCCACCAGCAGCAAGGAAGCCTTCCAGTCTCTCTGGTTTCCCGTCGTCCTCTTCTTCTTCTTCTTCCTCCTCCTCCTCGTCTTCTTCGTCCTGTGTCGGCATGCTTGCAACTTTTCCAGCTTCAGGTTCCGGTTCAATGTCTTCTAGCTTTTGTTTCTTCTGAGGTTGCTCCGAGGCGCTTTCATCATTCCTAGTGGAAGCTCGTTTGCTTCTTGGAGATTCCAGGGCCTCGGTTTCCTCATTTTCGGCATTTGCGGTTCCCCCTTTTGCAGCTTTCGAGTCTGTTGTCGCATCTTCCTCTTCCATTTCGTCGTCATCGTCCTCTTCTTCGTCGTCGTCATCCACATTTTCCAACAAGTGCAATTGCAATGTCCGTTCCAAAATAGAAAGGGCTAATGATTTGGCCGATAAGGTATGACAATCCCGTGCCAAAATACCAACAAACTGAACTTCCTTTTGAATTTGCAACGCGCCGTCCTGGGCCGATTTTTGTAGCCCTCCCTCGTCATCATCATCATCATCATCGTCATGAGCATCCGAGGAAGCGGAATAGCCTTCCAAATAAGACGATGATGATGACGACGACGACGACGACAATATGGATTCACAGCAATTCACCAGCTCTCGTTCGACCTGAGAGACTCCATCCCAAACACTTGTTGGAGACTTACACTTGCTTTGGTTGTTCAACGCAAGCTTGCCCTGTTTGGATTTTGCTTTGGGTTGCTGTGGCGATGGTGTTTTCGGTTTCTCATCCTTTCCAACTTCCCCCGCTTTGGGCATGCACCGTTGGTAGGCTTTCAGCCGTTTGGTAACATAGTCCCCTTGCAAGACTGGATCGAGGAGCAATTGTTGCATTCGTTCTCGTTTGGTAGGTTTCGAACGTGGTTTTCCATTGTCCATTATTCTTCCACCACCAAATCTTGCGGCGCTCGTTCTAGAAGAAGAAGATGAGGAAGATTTGGAGGAGGGCATTGTCATCAACACGTGTATAGGTCCTTTTAGTTGCATTGGTTCGCATTCGTGTTGTTGTTGCTGTTGCTGTTGTTGATTGGAAGGCGGTGGTTGTTTTAACTGCGCTGACGGTTGCGGTGGTGGTTTCAGACTTCCATTTTGCGGTTGTGATTGTTGTTTTGGTGCTACTGGTTCTATTGAATTTTGCTGTTGTTGTTGTTGTTGCTGCTGCTGTTGTTGCTGCTGTTGTTGTTGTACATGCTGTGGCTGTTTCGGCTCGGAAGTCAAAGTCACATTAGTTGTTGCATTCGTAGCTACAGTGTTGTCTACGTCCATCATTACTGGATGTCCTTATGCTGCCTGGTGAAACGACGAGGTTATCCACTCGATGCTGCTACTCGTGTTCGAGGAACCAACACTGCAGCCTTATACCGGCTTTTGAAGCGTGCTTTCTTTTGGTGTTGGTGTTTGGTTGTCTCTCGATGATCGATTGTTTCGTTCCTCGCCTGTCATTGATCCATCATTGACATCGTCTGTCTGTTTGTGGTGGGGGAGCAATGTTTAATGGAGAAATAGAGAGGAGGAATTATTTCAAAAAGGTACTGGTATAGTCTCCTCGTGAAACCCTTTGGTCCGGTGGTATTTTTTGTCTTCGATGAAACTACTGTATGATACCGGTATGCTACAGTAGGACTATGCTACTGTATGCTACGGTGCGGTGCATTGAGTTAATACTCCAGTGACTATTCCAACGATGATGTTGGGGGCAAGACCGCTAAAGTCTTATAATGATATAGAATAGATTGGTGGTATTGGTTACCTACATAGGCCTAGTAAATTTGGCTCATTTATTGTTGTTTGCACTGGAGCTCTCGTCCTCAGTATTGCTGTTGTCTAGGCAATTGGCAAAATCACCCTGGTTAGAAAGAGAAGTTGGAGCACCAGTGGCAGTGGACTGTGGGACCATCATTGCGTTGGAAGCAGCATTCGCATCACTTGTGGTCGTCACTGGTGGCTGATATTGCTGCTGCTGCTGCTGCTGCTGTTGAGATTGTGGTTGCGACTGCTGTTGTTGATGATTGGATGATGATGATGGTTCTTCAACCATTGCTGGCGGCGCCTTTACATAAAAGACGGAACCTTCCTTCATTCCTGGAGGAACCACAACTTCCACCAATCCATTGGCTCCATCGGGACGTCGAACATGGATCTCTTGTCCAGGCAAGACTCCTGGAGGAACCGTCACGGACATCAATTCATTAGTATCATTGTTGGTGTTGTAGTTGAGGGCACCATTGTTAAGAATATTATGATTTAAACGATTGTTGTTGCCAATCATTTCATTGAGGATTGGATGATCCGGTGGTGGTCCATGGGGGGTTCGTCGCATGCCAGGATACAACAACCTTTGTTCTTTGTGGCTGTCTTTGTCCACCATTTTTATTTCATCTGTCGCCACTTGGGCGTAGTAGGATGATTCAGCATCGTTGCAGGGAGATTCAAGACAGCAAATCATGATTTTATGATGGTGCAGTGAGTGAGTGGTGTCAGTCAAATCGGCGATTACGGTATTCGTTTCTTGTCAGGAAAGTGTCAGCGAATGAATGATATCAATCTTTGTTGACTTGAGTCTGTTTGTTTGTGAATGCTTTTCGAATGAATCTGTTCAAGCAAGTAATATATATTATTGGTACACAATCAGTTCATACAACAAACCATTCGATGATCCGTGTGAAACAAGAGTGATAGGTGTCAGTTGATAGAATGGAAGGAAGACTTCGAAACAAAATACCAAAGTTCCCCCAACCGAAAACAGCACTTCCATGATGTTTTCTGCGAAAACAAAGCGATAAAAAAACCGAGGGTGCGCGCGCCGGCCAGCCATCAGACCAACCGTGCGTATCTACCGGTACTCTCGTCGGCATCAATCATCAACACTTTGAACTTCAAACTTTGAACTTGCACTTTGGATCTCTTCGTTCTCCTCGTTCTCCTCTTGCAATATTGTTATACAATATATATCTTTGTAAGATAAGTGTGCAGCATTCGAGAAAGATTATTACACAATAACAGAGACTTCTTTGATAGCTACAGTCGTTGCAACAGCTTTTCTGAACATGGATTTCCGGTCTCAACTATCCGCTTTCAAAAGCGGAGGTGGCAACAGTGGAAGCAACAACAACAACAACAACAACAATGGTGGTGGTGGTGGTCGAGGATATCCCAGTTCCAATTCTAGTCAACGAGGCTACGGTAACACTAACAGTTCATCTTCTAGCTACTATGGCCGAGGCGGTGGTGGTGGTGGTGGTGGTGGTGGAAGAGGAGACAATTCTCATCATCGTGATCGTGATCATCATCGTGACAGCCATTCTCACCGTGATCATCATCGTGATGATCATGGCAAGCGTCGAAATCGACCTTGGGGAAATAATGATGGTGGTGGTCCTCCACAACGTCGGCGGTACCATTCTCCTGACAGAGACGGACTAGGTGAATTGCGACAATTTGGGTATATCATTCCCAAGGGAAATCCAGCCTTGCCCTCGGTGGCCCTCCAAAAGAAGAAAACAAAGCACATTGCTCTTTTGGCCATTACGATTGATGATTTGCCATATGAACACATTTGGAAGGCATGGATTGATACTTTGAATAATTCAGCGTCGACAAAAGATGAGTACTATATTTCCTTGGTCTGTCACGCCAAATTTCCACACAAAGTCACCACTCCCTGGTTGAAAGATCGTCTGTTACTGCGACATCCTAAACTTGGACGAGGGAATTCGTACCTAGACCCAGAATACTTGTCTCGCAAACCCGAATGGGGGTCTGTGGAAATCACGAGGGCCATGTTGGACTTGCTGCAAGAATCGGCCAAGATTGGACAAGACGATCAAAAGGATCCTCGGTTTTCCTCCAATCGATACGTCGTCCGAATGCCAGGACAAACTGTGGATACTACAGTGCCTCCTACTCCCGAAGCTACTGCAGAGTCTACTGCCTTACTTCCATCCGTGGATCAGTTTTTGTTTATATCCGAAACCTGTCTGCCGATTCGCACGGCTCCCGAACTGTTTCGATTGTTGCCGGGACCCACAGTTTCGTGGATCAATGGTCGTCACCGCAAGGACCCCAAGACGCCCAAGAACAAATACGAAGATGATCAATTTGGTTTGATTTCCCGCAAGATTCCAGGACAATTTCGATGGAAGGCAGATCAATGGGTCTTGCTGGGACGATTGCACGCGACTGCGATTTTGGCCATGGACCGACCTCATTTTCATCCGAGACATCAATTCTGGCAACATTTTCGGAATATCAATGCCAGTGATGAAATGTACATTCCAACGGCCCTGGCAATTTTGGGATATTTGCGATATACTCTCGAGGGAGAAGATACTCAACGGGCACGAAACAACCTGACTGCTGGTGAAACTGAAGCTACTGCTACGAGTCCCAAAAATGCTGCTGCCAAGAAAGAGAAGGAGGACGACAAAGCAAAGATTGCACCTATTCCCATTTTGCCGCCTCCACCAGAAATGGTCCTCAAACGTGCCGTCACTTACACGGATTGGACCGAAGGCATGCGCAATCCAGCCTGTTTTACGAAAGGCATTTTGGAGTTTGGCAAGGTGGCTCAATTGGCGCGAAAAGAGGGATGCTTGGTGGCCCGTAAATTTGCGCCCAAGGTGGTCATTCCAGGAGAAGAGGCCTCGAAAGATATCACTCAAGAAAAGGGTTACATCACTGCAGAAGATTGGTTAGAGGCTGTTCAAAAGATGGAACAAGAAGATGCGGAAAAGGCCAAACTAGAGGAACCAGTAGCAGTAGAGAGCAAGGAAGCAGTGGAAGAAGATAATTCTGCCAAGCCAGAGGAAGAAACAAAAGAAGCACTAGGCGCAGAGGACGAGCCTACGCAAGAGCCAAAGGTTGCTTCTATAAAGCCAAATAACACAACGAATAACGATTCTGACGAAGAGGGTGAAGAAGAAGATGATGACGATGATGATCAACAAGAAAATGAACTAGAGTAAAAAGTGGCAGCATTGAAAATAAAGTTAATTCGGGTGCCGCTCATCCTTTCAATTCATTCTACCAGATCACAAACAGACTCAAATACAGGTAGCCTTTGTTGAGCAGAACAACCAAATAGAACATGTTAAAAAAATACATCAACGATCAGAAGTTAATAATAATCAATCTCAATATATCTCTTGTTTTATTTGTATTAGTTCAGGATATTCTTGATTCTTGTTGCAATTGCTTTTGTAGCTCATCTTGTTCCATGCGTCGAAGATTCTCTTCAACATCTTCCATGGCAGCCTTGAGTTGTTGGATGGTCTTCACACTGTTTTGATTGTATTTGTACAAACCGTAGAACAAATCAAAAGAATCGGCAGTTGTGGACTTGACCAGAGTCAAGACGGATTCGAATCCCTTGGTATCAATGGGTGTCATTTGCAATCCTTGGGCACCGAGAATACGCCCCATGAGATGTGTAATGAACTGCGAGTTGGCCGCATAAGCGTCATGGGCCTGGCAACTCATCGGGACCATTCGACAACCCTCTTCTTCCCAAATACTCAAAAATCGTTCAATACGGTCAATGGCTTCGACATGGGACTCGCTGGATTCGTGAACCGAGTGGTAGGCTCCAGAAGAGTCTACAAAGGTATTACTATCTACAACGGAGAGGGACGAGTCGGGATGAAAGACGACCTTGTCGACGCGAGTCTTTTCGTAGACATAGGTCAATCCATGCCAACCATTCTTTCCAGAGTCGGGACCAAACATAGGATGCGAACATAGAATATCACAAGCTTCTGGCAAATGCTGCAACAAGACTTCGCGTGGATGCTCCTTCACACTGAGCACATCCACAAGCAGTGGTCCCCTGTTGTTCTTTTGAATGTATTTCTGAAGCGATGGTGCCAAACTCTTGATGGTGCCTTCAAAACTGAGAATCGACACTGCTAGAATAATGACATCCAAGTCCTGGTCCAAAAAGGCATCTGGGTCTGAAAGGGGCACATAGGTGACCCCCATTTCATCAGCAATATCTGTGTAGTCACTTCGTGATGTAACCACGATGTTGCCGTGCTTGGCAAAGGTGCGTGCAATGAATTGACCAAATCGTCCAAAACCAATGACTCCAATCGTCAAAGGTTTTGATTGGAGTTCGGCGAGCTTTTCCATTCGAATGGCTGCTAATTTGCGTGATAGTTCTGCTTCCTGTTGCTTTAATTCTTCCAGTCGCCCTGCTTGTGCCGATCTGTTTGTTGGGTTCTCCTCAGGAAGCCCATTGACTCTATCGGATGAGGAAGCTGACATTTTGGTAAGACAAGCTTGTCGATATTGATCCAGCTTGTCAAAGTTCCGGGAGGAGTTTTCTTTTGCTAGCCCACTGCAAGATTCAGAAATGATCAGGAATACCAACAAGCACTGAATGGATCGTCTTAGCATCCTGGCTTGAACAAGTTCGTGTGTTGCGATTGGTTTCTCCTTGGATTGTGAACTGGAGAGAAAAAGTTGTACACCTCCAATCTAATTTTACTGTGACTTTCTCTTTGATGAGAACAAAAACAATGAGGTATCCAGAACGACACAAGTTAGTTGAAGTTGAGCTTCATTCATGTTTCTGATGTTTCACGTTTCAAATCCGACGGTGAGAAATTACACGCGCGTCGTTCGAATTCTCCAAACCCGGTGTCAAATGAAATGGAGAAGCGAGTGAGTGAAGGAAGGACGACCAAAAGCTTGACTGTCTGACGACTCCTTCGACTATCATTGCGGGAACAACAACTCAATATCAAATACAGCTGACACAAACACTTTTCGTTCCATTAACCATGTCCTATGTGGAGCCAGAATGGGCTCACAAACCTTCCCATGAATGGGTCTTGACCGAGATTAAGGGTGGAATCGAAGTTTCCAAGTTCAACTTGCAGGAGCGGGCCACAACGATACTAGGAAGAGCATTGGATATGGTCCACATTCCATTGAACCACGAGAGTGCCAGTCGACAACATGCTCGAATATCCTTTGATTCCCAAGGGATTCCTTGGCTGCGCGACTTGAAATCAACGCATGGAACTAAAGTCAACAAACGGCAATTGCCACCTCAGGTTTGTGGAAAGACCGAGTCCAACTCCAACAAACCAGGATCCAGAGGGATCATGGTCTACCCAGGAGATATCTTTCAGTTTGGTGCGTCGACAAGACTATTCACGCTAGATGGACCAAGAGAATTTGAAAGAGGAGCCATGAAAGCCAAACGAGAGCAAGCAATTGCAAATAGTGCAACTGGCAGCACCGGCAATGGAGAAAGTGTTGCACAACCAAAAGAGTCGAAACAAGAAGATGAGGGAATCTCATGGGGCATGTCAATGGATGACGATATAGAAAGTGGCGATGGCGACAAAGGACCTGAAAGTATTTCCAAGACTTTGCCCATGGATATGCAAGTTCCAGAAAAGCATCGCAAGGCATTTGATCGTCTCAACACTATGAAGTACAAGTTGTCCAATCTAGAGACGGAAGATGAAAGGATCAAGCGGAAACATGAGCTCACGCAAGGTCAAGAGAAGCAGTTACAACGAAACGCAGAAAGAGAAGAAGCTTTGAAAAGATCCATCAACCAATTGGAAGAAGAATTATACAATAAGATTTATCCCGAAAAGGCAAACATTCCCAAATCAAAACAAAGGGAGTATATACAAGACGACGAAGTGGATGACTTTTTCGATCGTACAAAGGAAGAAAAAGAAGATGTGATAGGAGAGGAAGAATCCGAAGAGTCGCTGATTGCAAAGTGGAGCAAACTCTGGAATCTGAATTCAGAGGAACGAACCAGCAGCCTTGTTCCGGCGGAGAAAAAGGTGCAGGAAATCCAAACAAGGCTCGCCATGCTCGAAGCCCAAAACGATGAGGACGCATTCTTTGTACAGAACGACTTGACGCTGGCAAAAGATGCGCGGGATAAGGCACTTGCCAAGCAAGAAAGTACTTTTGAACAGATGAAAGAGATTGAGAACCTTCTTAAACTTGTTAATTCAAAGATAACAGTGGATTTGGAGTCTGGGTACATCGGAGAAGGACCGCCGCCACCAAAAGAGGAGACTTCATTCATAGCGCCGGCTCCAGTAAAGCCCATGCTGCCCCCTCCACCCAGACAACTGCCTGCCAAGGCTAGTCCCAGTAAAAGCAACGTTGACTCGGATTTAATGGCAATGCCTCCACCAGTCTTGCCACCTCCAAGAATACGTGGGCCCACTTCACCAAGTCCGGAGAAGAAAAGGAAGGAACCCAGCGACATGGATATGCCTGCACCGATAATCCCTGCGCCAATAATACCGGCACCGATAATGCCTGCACCAGTTATGCCACCGCCAAAACGAGCGCGAGTTGTTGGACCAGCAATGAAACCACCACCAACCTCTCCAGTCGATGATGATTCCCGGGAAACAAAAAAGGCGAGCTCGAAAAAGCCCATGGGTACGCTTGCATTCCTTTCTTCCATGACAGGTGATACCAACAACAACAACAACAGTGAGTCAAACAACCAAAGTGGAGATAAGGATGGAAAACAAAATGCGAAAAAGAAGGCCGTGTTAGATCCAAAGAAGGATGTTTGGCGTGCTCCAGAAGGGCAGGATGGAAGTGGCTATACCAAGTTAAATGCCAAATTCGCTGGCCGCTATTAGTACTAGAGAGCAACGATTTTGAGAACTATAGATTACATTCTTTACATTTGTGTCATTCCTGGTCCCATACCGGCGGCCATGTTTTGTTGATCGAACATTGCTTGTTTTTGTTCTTCTGTCATCTCGACCTTGATTTCTGTGACCAAGCATTCTGTTGTTAGAACAAGACCTGCAACGGAAGCAGAGTTATCAATGGCATTGATTGTGACCTTGGCTGGATCAAGAATACCTCGCTCCATCAAGTCACAGTATTCCATGGTACCAGCATCCCATCCCCATCCGAATCCATGCTCTTCACAAAGGGCTTGGGTCTTGGCCAAAACGACAGCACCCTCAACACCAGCATTGGCAGCAACTTGCATGATTGGAGCTGCCATTGCTTTGAAAAGAATTGCTGCTCCTTGCCTCTCATCCTCTCCGTCCATGGCGGCCAAAACCTCGTCAAGATAAGTGGCTTGAATGTAAGCCAAGCAAGCACCTCCACCTGGAACGATTCCGAGCTCTCGGGCGCTGTCAACAGAGTTGAGTGCATCCTCGTATCTGAGCTTCTTATCCTTCAATTCAGTCTCGGTTGCGGCTCCAACCTTGATTCTGGCAATACCTCCACCCAAGGCGGCAATACGCTCTAGGCATTTATCCTTATCGAAATCAGTGTCAGCTTCGTCGGCTTGATTCCGGAGTTGGACGATTCGAGAGTCAATGGCCTGTTGTTGCTTGCCGTCAGTAACAATGGTGGTCATTTCCTTGGCAATGACAATTCGGTCAGCAGTTCCAAGCATGTCCAAAGTGACAGAGTCGAGAGTGATACCCAACTCCTCGGCGACGAAGGAAGCACCGGTGGCAATGGCAATATCTTGGGTGTATTCCCGACGTCTGTTTCCGAAACCGGGGGCCTTGATGGCAACAACATCAAGAACTCCACGCATCTTGTTGACAACAAGAGCGGAAAGAGCTTCACCAGTGACGTCTTCGGCAATGATGAGAAGAGGATCCTTGGACTTGACAAGTTGTTCCAGGAGTGGGACAATCTCGTTGACATCATCAATCTTGGCGTCAGTCACCAACACCTTTGGGTTGACAAGTTCCGCAATTTGACGTTCTTGGTCCTTGACAAAGTAGGGTGAGATGTAACCACGATCAATGGTCAAGCCCTCAGTGAATTCAATTTCATCGAAAAGAGTTTGAGATTCTTCCACAACTGTGGATCCGGTGTCTCCGACCTTATCGGCAGCTTGGGCGATGATGCGTCCCATGTCCACGGATCCAGAGGCAATCGTGGCGACGTTGCGAAGATCGTCAATGCCAGTGACGGGCTGAAGGAGCGAACAGAAAAAGAAAGTGAGAAAAATCAATCTCCAAAAGAGAAATCCTACAAACTCGCTCTCTTCACAATGCTAAAGAAGTATAGTACTCACAATGGCAAGCTCCTTAATCCTTTCGGAAACCATGTTGGAAGCCTTACGAAGTCCACGGTTTATGGCGACAGGGTTAAGTCCTGAAGTGACGGACCGCATACCCAGATTGGTGATAGCCTGTGTCATGATGGTAGAAGTGGTGGTACCATCTCCAGCCTTGGAGTCACTCTTGGCAGCGACTTCTTGGATCAGACGAGCGCCCACATTCTCTTCGGGATCGCGCAAATCAATTTCACGGGCGATGGTGACACCATCATTGACAATCTCGGGAGCACCATATTCACGTTCCAAAACAACATTTCTTCCCTTTGGTCCTAGCGTAACCTTGACAGCATTCGCGACTTTGTTGATACCTGCCACGAGGGCACGTCGGGAATCTTCCTTGAAGCTAACTTTCTTGGCGTTCAAGGCCAAAGAAGTCCTCTCCAAAGGCTGTTGCTGGGGAGGTGTGAATGCCGAAGCAGTGGTGACAAGTAGTGCGGTTGCCACAAAGTTTGCGATCTTCATTTTGTTTTGGTGGTGGTGGCTTAGAGGTGCAGGATGATTTTGAAAAGATCGATTGGAATATCAAAATCAAACATCAACTGCAGCAACCACGCAACCACCCATCGATCCATCAAAAGATCGACGCACAAACGTCACAACAATAATTTGCGATGGATTTCCAAAATAATATTTTTTGGTCAGATTCCGTAACGTTAGATTCCGTAAAGTTGGATTCCGTGGCAATTCTGTTTCGCAGTAGTCCATGTAGGTAAAGTAGGGCATTTTACAAATTCGCGCTAAACATCGTCATATGGTGAGCGAACGATCGATAGATACCGTAATGTTCGTGGAGCACACGTGGAGGTGCCTTTTTCCCAAAAGCTGGAGGTGAAAAGGCGGACGGAAGCAACTCCGAAAAATCATCATCCAAGACGGTTCATGGGTTTGAAAAAGACCGACACCAACAAACATTTTCGTTATTATTCATAGTGTACAACCAATCCCATTTCGTGTTGTCAAACAAGTTTCCTCACACTAAAACCGAATCAAGCAAGCAAATAAACAAATAAACAAACAGAGAAGAACAAAATGCCGTCCGCGAAAAAGTCAAAATCGAAAAACCTGACAGCCGAAGAAGCTGGCGTTCCCAATGATTCCACAGCCTATTTGAAATCGTTAGAGAATGAAAACGTGGTGGAGCGGGTCCGCTGTGTCATTCGAGATGCGCACGTCTTCAAATTGCCGCCCAGACCATCCGCTGGAGGATGGAGAGGCGCAGATTGGACGGAAGAAGTGTGGCAAGGGACTGTCAAGGTGACCGAGCGAGACGATGTCACCATGGTCCTGCTGGTAGACCAGACCAATGGAAAGATCTTTGCGGTATGTCCCGTCAAGGAGGGAGCTGTCGATCGCTGTGTGGACTCGAGTCGATACTTTGTGTTGAGAATAGAGAATCAGAATGGAAGGCACATGTTTATTGGACTGGCGTTCAACGAGCGCAACGATGCCTTTGATTTCAATACTTCGCTGGAAGATTCAGCGAGAGAACGGGCCAAGGCCAACGAACCAGTCGTCCAACTGCCGGGTTTGGACAAGGATTACAGCATGAAGGAGGGAGAAAAGATTACAGTGAAGATTGGAAAATTGGGAAGCGGAAACAAAGAAAAGAAGAAGAGTGCCGCAGGAAAGAAGGGTGGATTTGCACTGAAACCATCCTCCAAAGATACAGCTCGGAGAGCTGGATAAGAATGAATGAACGAATACATAATTCATGAATCATTTGACACAGCATTAACACTTCAACCGTTTGTCTGGATATCATTGAAAGTTATTACTCGATTTGTGTTGGGGCGCACTAGTGTGCTAGCCAGGGTTTTTGTTTCACACTTTGAAACCTAGGATATTATTATAGATTATTTTATATTTACTACTTCAACTCGTTTAGTACTATTACTATTATTATAAGCCAGTGAGAACTTCAATAGCAAGCCCAGCAGCGCCTTCGTCACTAGTCTCTTCCAAGACAATATCTGCGGCATCCTTTGCCAGTTTGGATCCATTTCCAACGCAGACTCCTACGGCTGCCAATTGAAGCATCTCCACGTCGTTTTCGGCGTCGCCCAACGCCATCAAGTCGGTGGTGGGATCGAGTCCCAGCACTTCGCAGACCTTCTGTACCCCCAAGGCTTTGGAGCATCCTTCCGGTAAAAGCTCCAACATGGTTGGAATGGCCTGGGTGACAGTAGCACCATGCTCCTTGGCCAGAGCTTCCAATTCAATTCGAACCTCGGCAATCTTGTCCAAATCGTCATCGTAGATCAGTAGTTTGTGAATGCCTGGTGCGTGGCCTGCAATGCTAGGAATTTCTTCCGACATTGGTTCGCCGTATATCTGGTGCAGTTCTCGGACCTGTGGGGTAATCTTGGTGGTATACAAATGGTCACCATCGTAGGCAATGATGGACGTTTGGGTTTTTGCGACAAGGTTTTCGGCAGCTTCAATGGCAGATTTTGGGAGCTTTCTCTCAAATACGACCGTGTTTCCCACCATGCAATACAAACCCTGAATGAAAACACCAGGGCATTGCTGCAGTAATCCTGCGAGTTCGGGACCAAGGCTGTTCATGGCTCCCCACCTTGTCTTGCCCGTTGCGGGAAAGAACCATTTCAGCTTGCCAAGTGGAGAGAAGGAATCTTGGACGGCCTTTGACACTGCATCTTTGGTTCGAGGGTGTACCGTTTGTGATGCGGAACCAATCAAAGTGCCATCCACATCGGATGCAATGGCTTTCACTCCATTCATTTTTTCTCGAATGGCCTCGGTCAACCATGTGTACTCTGGATCGGTGGTCGACGACGACGACGACGACGAAGATGATTCCTCTTTTGGTTCTTCCTTGGACGATACGACTTCCAATGGTGGTGGTGCTGTGTCACCACCCGCTCCCAGGACCAAATCATGGATAGAAGATCTCACCGCCGTCTCTGCTTGACCAGCATCATCCGTGCTATCCTTTTGAATGTCTTGCGTCTGAGCGGAAACACCCGTATGCAGCTCTAACAAATTATTGATCGTGTCAGCATCGTAAAAATCCGCCAGCCGGTTACCTCCTTTCTCACCATCGTCTTTTGATAGTCCAGCACCAGGATTGGATCCGAGATATTGCTTCGTAAGACGTTCTACAACTTCATCGTTATTGTTATTGTTGTCATTTTCGTCAGTGCTGCTTGGATCTGGCGTTTCACCGACAGCTTCCATGACCAAATCATGAATCGATGGTATCGCCATCTCGTCACTCGGCTCCTCCTCCTCTTGAATCTCTTGAGCCCGCGAGGAAATATCCTTGTGGACATTCAGCAGGTTACTCAATTCTTCAGGATCATACAAATCACCAAGTCGTTTGCTTCCTTTTCCTTCCGGCAATTGATGATTCGATCCGAGGTATTGTTGGGTCAAACGCTCTAAAAATTCATCGTTCTTCTCGTCGTCGTCATCATCATCATCACCTGTAGCTCCTGCTGACAAGGACGATGAGGATATGTGGAGTGCATGGTGTGTGGTTTGCTTGGCAGGCGCAAAAGAGGAAGCAGAACAAATCCTTGATAGAATTAGCAATGTGAAAGACTGTAGTATCCAAAGACCATGCATGCTGAAATGTATGTGTCGTTCCCAAGAAGATGATTCGTGAGAAGTAAGTATGTAGTATGTGTCTATTAAAAACGGATTGGGAATTTTGGGTTGACGTTGGCATTCTTTCTTCCATTGTCCGTGCGCCGTACGGAATGATAATCTTGGATTTGGATCTTTCTTCGACAGTGTCACTTTCTCATTTTTGATCCCAACAAGCAACAACACAATGGCCACTTCTCCAAGTGACAGTAACATTACCTGGCATGAACAAAAGGTCAAGAAAGAACAAAGGTGGAAACTTAATGGTCATCAGGGGGCAGTGCTCTGGTTTACTGGAATGTCAGGTGCCGGAAAATCGAGCATTGCCAATCAAGTGGATGTGGCGCTGAACGAAAAGGGCATTCGGACCTATTTGTTGGATGGAGATAACATTCGACACGGCCTCTGCAAGGATCTTGGGTTCTCCCTTGAAGATCGGGCAGATAACATTCGTCGTGTTGGAGAAGTCTGCAAGCTAATGGCTGACAGTGGTGTCGTCGTACTGGCAGCTTTGATCTCGCCGTATGCTTCAGACCGAGATGGTGTTCGCGAAAGAGTAAATGGAACGGCCTCGTTTTGTGAAGTCTATGTAAAGGCAAGCCTTGAAACATGCGAAAATAGGGATCCCAAAGGTCTATACAAATTGGCGAGAGAAGGAAAGATAAAGAACTTTACCGGAATTGACGACCCCTATGAAAAGCCAACAAAACCAGACTTGGTCCTGGATTCTGACACGAAATCAGTTCCTGAACTGACAAACGAAACCATGCAGTGGGTGGAGTCGAGAATAAAGCTTACAGGAAACTAGGCGGAAGATGATAGCACCTAGAAGGCAGTTTGTCTCTTCATTCATTCAATCAATCACCTGCCTGCCTGCCTTCCTGTCAACGATTCATTGATTGCGAAGACAGATTTGCAAACGGAGTGGATGCTAGTGCTCTTGACTGTTCATGGATTAGAAGGCTCGTACAGTCTCCTATCTATCCAACCAGGGGATTGGAAGCGTGATGCTAAGACTCAAGACATACTATCATTGTTGGAGACTGATGGTCTTGAACCAAAAACTGTCTGGCTAACATGTGGTAGCAACTGCTCGATTGTCAAGATTTTTTCCCTGGAGAACATCAATCAGCATTATGATATTTATGTGTGGAAAGCATGTAAATCTATATTTCGCTGATAATATCTTATATAACTCTAGTTTACAGGCTTGGCTGCAGAGAGGTTTGCGCCAGTACTTTAAAATCGGCCCCATTGGATGAGGTCCACCATACAATCTTTTGGCAACGCACTAGCTTGCTTGACCATAATACATACTGATCATAGCTCAGCTTCCAACTCGTTGGCGGATACCCGCTTTGCAGTTGCCACTGGTTCCACAAACTCATTGTTCTTGAAGATACCTCTAAATGTCGACAGCTTTCCGTTGCAGCGGCTGAGCAAGCTTCCTTCTCCGTGCATTCTGCCTCCAGAGAACTCGCCAATGTACAAATCTCTGTTGGCAAATCTTAATACACCGGATCCATGTGGAAGACCACTCTTGATGGTTCCACTGTATTCACCTTCCACAAAGACTCCCTTCTTTTCAAAGTGAAGTTGATACTTTACTCCGCGTGCTCGTCCTTCTTGTACCTCGCCCTTTACCATGTCAGTATAGGTGTAAGTGCGTTGATTCTGTTTACCGCTTGTAGCAGTGACAACCAACTGCATTGTTTCCATATTTTCTTCTTTGCATTCTTCATCATTGGAAACGTCAATGATGGATGCCGTGATATGCATTGGATAGGATGGCTTTTGTGAAGCACCTTTCTGCAAACCGGTAAACTTGTTTTGCAAAGCAAGAGCAGAGACTGGAGGAATTGGCGCTGGGCTGATTTGGGCGATTGGCATGTCTTTTCCAAGTGCTTTCATTGTTTGGGTAAGATTTTTGAGAACAATCACGCTAGGAGATTGCAGTTCAGACATTTGCTCCGAGTAATCGTCAGATTCCTCAAAATTCATTGGGATCTCGATGATGCTCGGAAACTTGTTAACGGCTGGAAGCTGCTCCAAAAGATCTCGATCTTGCACAGTCGGTGCTTGAATCATCGGCAGTTTCTCCAAAAGATCGCGATCTTGGATGCCAAGTGGTTGAACCACATTCCTTGGATTTCGAGACTCTTTCTCTGATCGATGCATTGGCTGAATCGGTTGCTCATCTCCCAGATCATCTACGTCCTCCATGGACGAAATCAAATGTCTCATGGCAGCTCGTAGAAAGTCTAGCTCGTCTTGTTGACGTTTCATTTGGTCTTTCAAGAAGTCAATCTCCCAAGTTGATGACTGATCTGGCACGGTTAATAAGTCAGGTGTGTCATCGTCGTCGACTTCGACTAGAGGGTCATTTTGACGTCTCAGGACTTTCTTAAAGATGGAAGCATGAAGGGAGTGTCGCAGCTTTGTACCTGCTCGCTGCCCTTTTACAGCCTCGTCGCTGGCCATGTTCATTGCCTTGGCAATCGAGGCAGCTTGCATATCTGATAGAAGCTCTTGTCGCATCAACGAAATACATCGCTGCTCGAATTCATTGGTTCGTTTCCTCCCTCCAGTATATGGCAGAAATAGGTGTGGAGTACTGTTGCTATTTCTTCGCTCGACCACTCGACGACTGGAAGAACTGGATTCTAACAAATTGTGTGATCGAGTGTCTTGATTGCTGTAAGATAGATACATTTTCCTCTCGTTACTCTCGTCTCCGCTAATCGAGTCTACAAATATATCAGGCTTGGAAGTTGTGCTGCTATCTGCGATCCGACACAAATGCAAAGCCATTGGATGTGGAATGAAGATGGTTTGTGATGATGTCGCGAAAAACGAAACCAATTCATTCTTCCCACCAGTATTTAGCCGAATTTGTCCCTAAGTAATTTCAGCCCATTATAAGCCGGCATCGCCTCCACGAGTGGAAACAAAATGTTTGATCACTCAAGTTCCGAGTGGAGCATCTCAAACAATCGAATGAATCGTTGTCGATGTAGTCGGAGATCATATCAAATTTGGCTGGACGTCATGCGTCATGCAACCCTCCAATTCAAACATCATCCAACTGGAAAGTGTGAACTCTTGGATCTCGCAGACTTTTTCAGTTCACCATGAGAATTGTTCTCACCGCCTCTGTTCTGGTATCACTACTCCTTCAACACACGGATGCTCTAATATCACAGAGCCCTATTTCGCGTTCTTCGCCTGGGATAGCTCGCTTTGCAGAGGTTTCGGGAGCTGATATTGAACAAGATGTCGGCACTGCAAGGGTCCAAACCTCGGGATATTCAGTCCAATACCGGGGGAAGGTGAATGAAATCGATTATTGTATCGCGCCAGCTGATGTTTCACTGTCGCGAGCATATGATCTCAGCAATAGCAAAGACAACACGATTGCCAATGAAAATACTCTGTCGCTTACACAAGCGTTGAACAATGCATCGAACCGGGCTGTTCGAAGAATCATTCTTGCCCAGTGTTGGCCTTCAGAGGAAGCATTAAACAAAAGTTTGCGACTAGCTGCTGCAGCTGAAATGCAAGCTGAAGATGAAAGAATAGCATCAGGAACAACGTCGAAGTGTCCTGTTCCTCGACCAATTTTGAATCTACTCATGCGAAGGGACACGGCGACGCCTTCATCCATCCCAAATCCAAAAGGGCGAACCAACGAGCAATATGTCACTGACCAAATCAAATCTTTCGATGAACGATATGGTTCCCTTCCAGGATATCGGTATGCAGAAGCGTATCTCGAATCAATACTGTCCCTTGCAACAACAGGGCAGGAGTCTCCTCGAGTTTCCGAAGTCTTGGGGTCTGGAGTTTATGATGAATCATACAAAAGAGTCTTATCAGTTCTAAAGAGTGTGGGGGTGACGTTTGAAGAGCTCTCCGGAACCGATCGCTCCAAAATCTCAAACGATTTAAAGAATCAAGACATTTGCTTGTCCATGCTGGACAAGTTGGGACAGACCAGCCCAAAGCCAATCAAAGTTGAGGAACCAGAACCAGTTGAGGCGAACTCTGAGCAAGAGGAAGTCGTCGAAGAGGAGGCACCTGCTCCAAAGAAGAAGAAGAAGAAGATACGATTCAGGTTTTGGATGAAACAAGAAGATGAAAATGATTCAAAGAAGGAGCCTGAGCCAACGAATCCTGAAGAGGAAAAGCCAAGCAAGGAGTCTAAAAAGGCTGATACGGGGGTTGTGTTGCTGAGCTACGAAGAACCAACCATGACAAGACAATTAAACTCGCTATCCAACATTGTCCAAAGAGCTCTGTTGTTTGGTGGGGATCAGGAACTTTTGATCTTGTCAGAAACTCTCGATACCAACAAAGCACCATTCATCGAGCGTTGGTATCCTGGTACTGAAGGATCATCTGCTAATTTCGATGAGGAAACCCGTCCTGGAGTTCAATACTTGAATGCCCTAATTTCGCTATTGCGAACGGCATACGATGTCGGCTTGGTTACAGATCTAGAGCCAGCTGTAGCTTTGATTCCAAGCTACAGTAATGCATATGAGCGCATTATGGCCAATCTTGTCGAGTTGGGGAGTGGATACATTCGTCCAATGACTCCAACTGACAGCACTTTGCCCAAGCCGCGCACCCCCACCGAAGAATTGGGTCGTTTTGCCGTATGGGAGTCACGATTCCGTGGTGAAAGTGACGGATCTTATCCTGAGGATTTGGAAGGATCATGGGAAGTCAAAGACGAAGTTGGAGGAGAACTCATCGGTAGTTCGACTGTGGTTTTTGAGCCTCAAGGAGAGGTTTCTGTTGCTCCACCATTGCAGGGTCTACGGTGGCGTCTCGATCCTGGCCCTACACACCTTGACACATGTACATTCCAAGTTCTAAGCGAAGATGGCACAGTACTCCAATACCGTGGCTTCATTGATCGAGGTGCAAGGCTAGAAGCTCGGTTTTCAAAACGATCGATCGGAATTCGAGGTTCTGTGATGTTTCAAATGCGAGACGGTGATATCGCGGGGACTGGAGCTGACTACTGGAAGGATATGCTCCCAATCAACTATAGAACAGGAACAACGAAGTTCGTAATGAATAAAAGTATTGATTAGAGGTCTACAGGAGTTGTCAACCGTTTCGAAAAGAGTGAACGTCTAGGACCATTGCTTTTTCGATGCTGCTCGGGTTCGTTGTCCTTGCTGCTTTTCCTTCACGAATTGCAGGCGCGAGCGGTGTGGTTTAGATTTCAGGTGTTCCTTCATTTGAGCCGGGCTCGTGAGCTGCTTTCGGCACAGTTTGCAATACGTTGCCTTTTGTTCCATCGCAACTGCTGTTTTGTGAAACTGTGTTCGCTTGTGCTGGAAAAATTCGTCTTCATTAGTGAGTTGTACTTGGCATACTCGACAATAGAATGGTAGTTTCTCAGAGGAGCGAGCTTTATATCCATTGAGAACCTCTTTCACTGCTTCTCTCAACCCATCAGGTACTTCAACTTGCTTGGGCTTCTTCTCTGATCGCCGCTCACCATTCGTTTTGTAGCGTCCTGGCTGAGGCAGAGCTGAAGCGGGCAGACTAGAGATTCGATTCTCTGAAAACTTGGACAGTGAGAGGACACCACTGGTCTCCGCACCGTCGATATCCTCATTTTCTGACTCGTCGTCAGATGAGCTCGATGCTTGCAATTCTGCTTCAAGTCGAGCAATTTCGTCGTCAAGATCCACTTCTGGCTCCACAATTCGAACTGACTTTTTCAATATAGTTTCTTTTCTAAGCCTTTCCGCAATTGGAAGTACGGCTGCTTGGGGCAACGCAGCAGTCTGCAATTTAACTGATTCCTTCTGTTCTTGTTCTTTCGATGTTGTCACTCGCAGAAACAGCTTCCCATCTTTCAGGACTTCTCCACGTTCACAAAGAGCTTTGAGCGCTGATCTAATTCCTTTCTTTTCTGTAATTTTCTTCAAATCGCGTCTGGACTTCGGGGTTTTGTCCAGTGCTTTCAGCACAGCCTTTTCAGTTGACGCTTTTCCCATGGTTTCGTTCCAGAATTTTGAGTTTTGTTGGTTCGCAAAATTTTGTCGTTGACGTCTGTCTATCTGTCCGTCAACGGCATTTGATCCAGTGGAACCAAGGAACCAGTAACATACTCGGGACCAAGGATTGATTGCCGGGACAGGACTGACTCGGCATCTTACGTCATCATCTGAATCACATGATTGGAACGTCAGGACAGAAGGAATCATCATCAAAGACATGACATCTTGTCACAAAGCACAGAAGCGATGACATCGATTGTTCAACAAGTCCCAACAAGAGCTCTCATACCTGCATCACTGATCGAAAATGCAGGAGCTGTGGGTGCATCATGGATCCTTTCATCAGTATTCTTCACCACTTATTCGACGACGAAATATCTAAGATACCCACCATCAAGTCAATCGGATTCTAACCGATCGATCCTACCACGTCCGACACTGTTGACATTCTATCGCTTTTTGGGCTCGTTGTGTCTGGGTCTACTTATACATCCTGACCTTCGGATCTTGGAACGAATCCAAGAAACGCTTCATCTTCTGCCAAGTTTCTCGATACCGGCAGTGTTCTTGTTCATCGCCAACTACGCAAACTCCATCAGTCTCAATCGAATCGGGATATCTCTGACATATACCTCCAAGTGTGCAATTCCAGTAATCACAGTGATCTTAACTCTACTCATGGATGGGAAAGATGCACTTCCACGACTTCCAGCCATCCTAGCTCTAGTTCCGATAGCCATTGGAATTGCAGCGGCATCTTGGGACCATCCGACTTTCGAACCCCTTGGCCTAATCGCTGCATTTATTTCTTGCACGGCCCAGAGCCTTCTAAACATATTGTCAAAGAAAGTCATGACGAAGAGTAATATTCCTGGAGCAGTGGCGCAGCGAGCCATGATATCAGTCGGCCTGGTAATTGTCGGGCTTGTCTCTGCCTTTCAATTTGCGGCAGCTGCGAATGCAAAGGATCCAGTGAAAGGACAGGAGCACCCACCATCATTGCTCGCTGGAGCAGCGGCGACCGCGTACCATGTAGAGTATCTCTTGTCATTTACATTTGTAAAGCTGGTAGCTCCCATCACCTACAGCACCTGTGATGCTATTCGACGACTTGGCATCATCGTTGCAGGCCACTACATGTTTGGTGGGCATCCATTCTCAACAATGAACATCTTGGGAATGTTCATGGCCTTATCTGGCGCTGCTACATATGCTATATTAAACCATTAGAAATGAATCAGTATCCCCTTTGCGGTCCTTGCATTGGATAGGATCCTACCATGTCATACCATGTCATACATAGTCTAAAAGCAGATGATCTCTATCAGCGACAAAACTCGAGCACGACACTTCTCATTTCACCTGTTTCAAACCACGCCTTTAGCGACTCTTCACATTCTAGGTTCGCATTGAATACTGTCAGCAACCAAGCGCTGTGCGAAGCAACTCCAATGTGCTTTTCGGGACGGGATTCCAGCCATTCGAAAAACTTGTATGCTCGAGTGGCAACTTCTACCTTAGTCTCTCTCCGGTCAGACAAGAACAAGACATCTTCTTCGGTTTCAATCATCGAAAAGTCAACCGCTCGGAACTCTTTTTCTTGACGACTCTTGGGTCTTCGCTTGTCGCAGACGTGGACTCCAAACTGTTCTCGAACCATTTCGTGGGCAAGGTAAGGAATATTTCCCTCCAATTCCTCAAAGACTAACAGTCCAGTTTGAAGCGCACGGCAGTGGGGAGAAAACACAATCAACTCGGGTTTGTCCTTCATTTGGTTGACGGTTTCCTGAAGAGAAATGGCCTCTTGACGACCCCTTTCTGTTAGTGGAGCATCCAAAATCTCTGGCATGATATATGGGTTATTTTCATCCAAAGTATGTGGTATCCATGTTTTTCCATTTTTTCTTGCAATATCAGCTGCGAGGTTATGGAAGCCTTGGCCATGTCGGACAAAGTGCACCGTCTTTGTGGATTTATTAGTCGGCGCATTTGGATTCGTGGACCAGCATGCCTTGATCTTGAGTGGAAGTGATTGCATCTTGGCGAGTGCGTCCTCCATACCTTCCATGTGTTCAGCAACCTCGCTCTTTGCAGTCGCCATGGTTGTAGAGGTAAAGGTGTAGGTAGTCGCTGTTCAAAATACAGTGCGTGTTGGTTTCTTGTCGGAACCAGACGGGACTGACCGACTGTGGACTCAATCACCATGGACAAAGATGACTGTAAAATGGAAATTCAATCTCTACGGTACAAGTAGATTTTAAAAATATGTGCCAACAACAGCAATCAATGACACTTTTTGTTCAGGATTTTATATGGTATATATGTGTTGTCAATTTACAATTCAGATCGGATTTGTGCTCCCAACTTTTCGAATTGTGCTCTCTTGCTAGGGTCCTTCATCATGTCTTGCAACTGGTGTGGTGATGAGGAGAAAAAAGGCGGACGCGCGTGTAGTGTTAGAATACTACTGTATGTGGATCGTGTCAAGAATCGAATATGCAATGGTCAATGGTCAATAGTCAACTTACTGAATCAATGTATTGCTTGAATGTGGGGTCCTTTGCCATTTGTGCCAAGTTGGCTTGGAAGCTTGGGTCCTTGATCATTTGTGTCATCTGTGACAAAACTGCAGGGTCTGCCATGGCGGCCATGGCATCTTCCATGGTCTTTCCAGAGTTTGCCTTGAGTTGATCGGCTCCAACCTTCATCATGTGCTCCATCTTTGCTTCCATTTCGGCTGCCTTTGCGGGGTCCTTCATAAAGTCTGTGGCCTGCTTTGCAGCGTCCTTGAAATCGGCCGAGTTGGCCCATTGCTTCATTTGCTTTTGGTATTCTGGACTTTCCATCATTTTCTTTGCTTCCGCCATCAATTCAGGGTTCTGATTTTATCATAAAATGTACACATGAGCTTTCCATTTTCATTTCTATCATCCTATTTCCATTCATATCACACTTACTTGTAGATCTTGCATCAATTGTGCTAGAAGTTCAGGGTTGTTGGCCGCTTCTTTGATTCCGGCCATGCCAAGCTTGAGGTCCTTGATGGCTTGTCCGGTAGGATCCTCCTCCTCCTTCTTTGCAACAGCAATGGCCACGAAACAGGCCAGTAGCGTAAAAATCTTGAATAGTTGCTTGATAGAGATCATCTTCTTGTTGTTGTTGTGAATTATAATTCGTATCTTTTTTCTGGTTGTGACGAAAACGTTGTGGTTGAAACTTGTGAGAGGAATTCGACCAAATCAATCAACTACCAAATTCGCCGTAGAAAGCTCGTAGAAGTTGAAGTTTTTCTTGGACCAAACCTCTGTGACAGGTGGAACTTTTCGTCGTGTCAAATGGAGAAAAGAGAAAAGGAAAAGAAGTATTAGGAATTTGGAATCGTTAGCCATATTTTGATTTTTCGAAATTGGAAGATCATCGATTTTCGAGGACGGAATCTATTCGCATTGCCACGTCCTGAAAATAGTGGGAAAGCAAGCGTAAGGTGTTCCATCACCAGGTTTCAGACAATCCTACAATAACGACAGACTGTGTCATTGGTAAAAGATGGCAAGGTTTTCAAATTTCTTTGTATTGCTGCAGGTATGGCTATCGATCTTTGCCACAGTGTGTGCCGCTGACTTTTACAAGCTGCTTGGAATCTCCCGAAACGCGTCACCCAAGGAGATCAAGAAAGCCTACCGTCAAATGTCCTTAAAGTTCCACCCAGACAAGAACAAGGAGGAGGGAGCAGCAGAAAAGTTTTCGGAGATTTCTAGAGCCTATGAAGTTCTAATGGATGAGGAAAAGAAAGGAATCTATGACCGACATGGGGAGGAAGGTCTGAAGCAACACGAACAACGCGGAGGAGGCGGCGGAGGAGGAGGAGGTTTTGATGACTTTTTCTCTGGCTTTGGCTTTGATCCCTTTGGACAGGGTCGTGGACGACGACAACAGGATAATCGCACTCCTTCTGTCGAACTGCCACTTGAAGTTACATTGGAGGAGCTATACAAGGGCACTACCTATGATGTTCAATACGTTCGACAAGTACTCTGTCTCCGATGGGAAATGTGTATGAAATCAATGCAAGAATGTCAGGGTCCAGGAATCAGACTTCGAAGACAGCAAATTGCTCCAGGATTCGTCCAACAAGTTCAGCAGCACGATGAACGTTGTGTTGCTCCTGGAAAGATGTGGCTCAACAATTGTGCCGAATGTCCTTCTAAAACAGAAACGGAAAAGATTGAATTGACCATTGATGTTACCAAGGGTATGCGGCCAAACGAACAGATTACATTTGAAGGGGTTACAGATGAAAAGCCAGGATACAAACCAGGTGATTTGAGTTTCGTCATTATGGAGAAGGAGCATCCTGAATACCATCGTGATGGGGACAACCTTTACAAGACGGTCGAAATTCCATTGGTACAAGCACTGGTAAGTCCAAGTTGAACAAACAGTGGTATTAATTATGCACTTGGGAAATGTTTTGTTTTCACACTGCCACTTTGGCTAATCCTTCTCTTTGTTTTCTTTTCATTCCATTAATATCTGCAGACTGGATTTTCAATGACGTTGAAGAAATTGGATGGAGAACCCTTTGATGTATCCATTAATGATGTGATCGAATCAGACCAAGTGGTTCGTGTCCCTGGAAAGGGTATGCCACGACGCAGTGGAAGAGGATTCGGTGATCTTTACATTACATTTGAGGTGGACTTTCCTGACAATCTATCAGACGATCAAAAGGCAGCCATCAAGAAGGCCCTGGATCCCGAGGGCAAGCACACTATTGAAGGCGGTCACAGTGAACTGTAAGAGTCGATTTTTTAAAAATATAGCCAACATTCAATATGCCGCTTTCACACGTGATCTTAGCCCAAAGCAAATATTTATAATATGGTGGATGTATTTTCTGATTTTCATCATGCCTAGTCTAAACTGCTGCAGCTTGCTTTGCCTTTTGTTCTTCAAGATAGTTCTTCAAAAAGAACTCGCCCGCCTTGTAACTAGAACGAACGAGTGGACCAGACGCTACGTATGTGAATCCCATAGCATCAGCCTTGAGTTTCAATTCCTCAAACTTTTCAGGAGTCACATATTCTTTGACAGGCAAGTGCTGCTTGGTTGGTTGCAGATATTGTCCAAATGTTACAACATCGACTCCTGCCGCTCGTAGATCCTCCAACGTCGTCTGAATTTCTTCGTCTGTCTCTCCAAGCCCAAGCATAATCGAGGTCTTTGTCAAGGAACCACCCAATGACTTGGCATATCGCAGAACTTCCAAGGATTGTTGATACTCCGCACGTCGATCCCGAACAAAAGGTGTAAGCCTTTCTACTGTTTCCACGTTATGAGCAAAGACATCCAATCCAGAGGTGGCCACTGCATGAATCAGATCCTTGTTACCCTGGAAATCGGGCGTCAATGCTTCTACCAACAAATCTGGTTTCTTCTCCTTCAACTTTTGAACGACCTCGCGGAAATGATTGGCACCTTGGTCTTCCAAATCATCCCGATCAACACTGGTCAATACAACATAATCAAGTCCCCATTTGGCGATTGCTGTTGACACCTTTTCTGGTTCCTCTGGATCCAATGGCGGTGGTGCTTTGGATGTTTTGACAGAACAAAAGCGACATCCTCTGGTACACTGTTGTTCACAAACGTAAATCGTTTAGCCTCCCAAATAGATAGCACTTAGAAAATCAAACTGTTTGCCAAAAATAAATACTCACCGTGTCACCCATGATCATAATCGTGGCAGTGGCTGTCTCATTTTCGCCTCCACCCCAACATTCACCAATATTCGGACAACGCGCTTCCTCACAAACCGTGGCCAAACCTAAATCACGCACTGTGCTGCGAAGCTTTTGGTAGTTCTCTGAGTCTGCAGGCTTGGCTTTGAGCCACCTGGGCTTGGGAAGAATCTTCTTGGATCGCTTTGGTGCCTTGCGTCGGACGGGCTTGGCTCCGGCAGCAAAATCATCAAGTTCATTGGAGGCTTCGGCGGCAAGCTGCTCGCGCAAGGACTCCAGCCGGGATGCGGACCCTGAGGACTTTGTGACAGCCACCTGAGACGAAAAGAAACGTCTGGTGTGGTTGGATCTTTGTAGGACAGTCCTCATATTACTGTAGTTGAGTTGTGGGAATCGTAAATGATGTGACCAAATTCGGTTTGCTTCGTCTCTTCGCCTCTTTGTGGATGAGGTGGAGAACGCGGACTTCTTCTACGGACATTAATTACTCGAACACTCATTTTTTAAATAAAAGTATTGTCCGTTTCGCCAGAATTCCAAAAATCGCTGAAAATGTGATGTTGGCGATTTCAATGAAACATCCTGAATTCACAAACCAACTTGAAAAAAGATCGACCATGAAAGTTAGTTTCAGTGGAAATATTATTGCCATCCTCTTGATGACACAGAGTGTGGGTGCCTCCTTCTTTCGGGATGTTGCCGGAGACCAGCCTTCAAGAGAAGACATGATCGAGAATGCGCTCTTGGACAAAGCCGTTCCACTGAAGGAATACAGAGCCAAGCTTAGGGCCAATGGCATGGACATTGCAGACAGTACGCGCCGAAAATTGAATGAAAATAACAACAATGGCAACAATGCAAATGACGCCACTGGAGACGACTGGTATCTATATGGAAACGGAGATGATTGGTACAGATATGGAAACGGAAATGAAAATAATTACGGCAATAATGCTGCCAACGACAACTACGCAAACAATAACAACAACAACAACAACAATGCCTATGGTAACTACAACAACGCCAACAATGGACAAAACAACAACGGCGATGATTACTACGTGATGTATGGAAGAAACTTCAACTCATATGCTCTGAAGTATTCTCAGTGTCAACCTGTGCAACGCTTTTCCGCTGAAGCAGTTCAAGCTGGAGAGGCTTCTCCTATGTTGGTGGATGACATTGTCATCTTGCGTCTATGCCCAACCAAATCATGTTCCACAACCCGAAAATACGGATGCAGCTCAAGCTTTGCCGAATATGCCGTCGGTCTGACAGATTATGTTGAAATCATGCTCTACTATCGTCAAGATCGCATGAATCAAATGTGTGATTGGTGCAACATATGCTACACCCAACGAAGGCTCGACGAAAATAACAACAACAACAACAACAATGGCGATGACAATGCAGGAGATGACTATTCTTGGAACGGATACAACCGTTACAACTACGATCATGACTGTACCGACTACAAGTCATATTGTTACGATAGTGACACTGGATATTCCGTGTGCGAGGCATACAGCGCCAATGATGACATCAAAACAGCCAAATATTTGAGTTGCGTCGGAGTCCAGGATTCCAACAATAACAACTACTACACTCGCCCTCGTTGTGATGGAGAAAATCAAGTTATTCACATGGGTGTTTACTATGACAACTTCTGTTCCAGCTATGCCGGTGATGAAGTAGGCATTGACGATCTCAATCTCGGTCTTCAGAACACAAACTTTGATGAGTTCTACGAGGATGTCAATTGTTTAGACTGTACCAAGGGTGTAAGTTTGAACCTCTTCCATTGTAGTTTTGTTCCTGGCGAAAAATGAATCAATCACTAATCCTTTTCTCTACACCTCAACTTTTCACAGGAAGACCCTCCGAACTTCCTTGCGACACACAGCTTGTGTAGCCGTCTCCATAGTGGAGGAGCAGCATGTACCGAACGCCTCGATGACTACTACCTTACTCAAGGAGACAGTTCCGACAGTCAATCGTGCAAGTACATCCAGAGTATGAGAGATGGAAATTACGATATCAAGGATGGTCAAATCTATCAAGGTTCGAAGGGCTTGACGGTGCCCGAAGTGACCGACGAAGAAAAGATATGGCTTGTGGCTTCTGTCATGGTGATGGTTCTACTCGGTGCAGCTGCTACGTATTTGCACAGTTCAATCACTGATATTCAGGTCGAATCCATGGCTCACTCGGAACTGTTACCAACCAAGGTCCACAAGATTCGAAATCAGAGAAAAAGTCGAAGCAGAAGCCGAGGAAAGAGATAGGAGGGCGGGCAACAACCAGATGTAAATTCTTCCTCAAGGAACAAAAAAGCAGAAGAACCATTGAAGCTTTGTATGGGTCTGCCCAAGAAGGTGGAACAAAGTGTCCGCACTGACAAATGACACCGTACCGTAATATTTAATAATTGTACATTGTAAATTTCAATGCCACTGCCTTTGTCGTATTGGGAATTGCAGTAACTATGCTACTATAAGAAATTAGTTAGTTAGCGCGCCAAAAATATATATTGGATTAGTTCGATCAATTCACAGGCAACAACTACGAAGACAAAAACTACGAGCATACTGCAACAGCTCGACTTCAAGAGACCAGTCAACCAAATGATGAGAATGCACGATGATTCTGACGAAGAAGAAGATGACGATCTCATTGTTTTCAAGGAGAAACAGGCTCCCGGTTTCTCGTTGTCGCAATTGACGCAGAAGAATAGCCAGCACAGCCAAAGTCAAGAATCATTGCCAAGTAGACGTCCAGCATCTCGAATGATTTCCCGCCAAGAACGAAGAAAAAGGCGAAACGAGTGGAAAGAAAGACAGCTTCTAGACCAGCAGGAACTCGATTCGCCAGAATTCACTGCCCCTGAGACAGAAGACGCGTTTGAATCATTGAAATCGTTGCTTACAGATAGCCAGACGATTACTACGCCAGGGCCGAAAACAGTCGAGAAGCAAAAGGTAGTGAATGAAAAGGAAAACAATGTCATGAAGCAGAAACCAAGAAATATAAATTTAAATGACTCAAAGAGAAAGGAATGTTCCAGACTGGATGGTGGTATGAATACTCGAAATCCATCAAGCACAGCCAATGACCATGGCGCGACAAAGGAAAGGCACTCTATCGACAAATCAATTTCCAACGAAGCCAACGAGACAACAGAATTCGATTCCAACGATCTGGATCAAGAAGAGGCCGTTAAGCATGATGAAATTTTACCGGAGACACCCAGACTGAGATCCAACACGCAAAGATCACGAAGTCCAGAGAAAAGCGGATTTGGTTCAGACTTTGAAACTTTGTCCCCAGTAAAACCTTCCAAGAAACAAAGAAAGAGTCGTCACAGCACTTCGAAACACCCAAAGTCTACTAGCCAACGCCAACACTCGTCACAGTCTAAGCGGAAGACTTTGAGACACATGACTCCATGGGGCTCCTCCAATGGTCAAAACCAAACCATCACTCAGACACGAAGAGTCAAATCTATTATTGGATCACGGTAAGATTCCATCAGCGCTTCGATTACCTACAATTCGAAACTTAATATCTGTTGCATGTTTTCCTTCACAGTCCAAGCAGTTGGAAAAAAGAACCGGAAAGGGCACTCGAATGGAAACAACCACGAGTTTCCAAGAAGCGTTCGTCACCAACCTCTTCCAAGTCGACACAACTTGCATCACAAAAGGCTGCTACCATGTCCCAAATCAGAGCCAAGTATATGCCGCAACCGTTTCGTACAAGAACAACTTCATTATCAGCAACAAAGCGAACAACAACTAGTACTCCGAGTGCTGCCTCCAGCCGCTCCAAAGGTAGCCTTGACCGTTCCATGTCACCGGTAACCTTCGCTCCCTCCTTCTTGCCCACAAGTATGCGGCGACATGATGATGACGATGACGTGGAAGAAGTGCGCGAGAAATCCCCTAGAAGAGTCATCAGCGCAAGCTCTCCACTTCAGTCAACTTCCCCCCTTCTACGAGATGCACAACTAGGAAGTCCCATTCCTCGAAACAGTCGGCGTGGCAAAAAGACGATCGGCCCGTGGCAGCGGAGATTGGAAGCTTTGCAGAGCTCCCGCTCGAATGATGCTATTCGATTGCAGAATGAGGCCTTTCGCCGCCAAGCGTCGTTTGAAATGAACGACTACCGAAAAAAGTCTCGGTCCCACACGGACATTACGATCCTAGGAGATTGTGGTACTAATTTGCGGCAAAATGGAAAAGCTGCACAAGATTCTTCCAAAATATGCGTCATAGCATATATCCACGCGCATGTACATCATCATGTTCATCAGGAGCAGCAACAACCACAACAAAAGCCAACGCTGCAACATCAATTGGCATGGGCCACCTTTACCTTCTTGACTGCCCGAAGTATCAACTTGCAAAAGGGAAAGCAATTGCGTCTTTACGATTCTATTATTTTACCCTGTCTACAGCCAACGCCTATTGAAGGAATGACAGTCGACACTCTTGAGAGTAACGTTTGCGAGCGCATCATTGTGTCTACCTGGCTGTGCGAAAATCATCCCAAAGGGCTTCCCAAGCTGTCGTTTGGATGATCATACGTGAAAGTTGCCGAGCCAGGTGCTCCTGGAATCGAAATTTCCTAGTAGTGACATATGCTGATCATGATCATAACATACATAATATTGCTTTGCTCAATAGTTGGATCAGAAACTCTTTGGAAATTGCTGTAGGAAATCAATCTTCAACTTTGGATCGACATTATCTGATCCCCGACCTTCCAATTCACCCGTTTTCATTTCAGCGGGAGGTCCCAGTGCGGCACTTCCCGGTCCAAATGAGTCTAGATCCGACTCCACAAAGAAGAGAGATCGTTTTCGATTGCGTAATACTGGTACCTTGAGATATTTGAGTTCCTTTCGAATGAGTTCGGATCGTTCCAAATTCCGGAAGGATCGGCTGAGTAGTCCACCCACTTGGCTTCCAAGACTAGCGATTCGAAACTGAACCGTCGTGTCGTCAGGTGTAAAGTAGAATTCTCCCATGGACTTTTCTCCCGTCTTGCCATCGGTAAACAACACTCGTAGATATCGTTCCTGCTGCACAAGGATTTGGGCATCATCTCCTCGACGAGCCGAAACAAGTTGGATGGTTGGTACCAACAGTCTCATTTGCACCTGCCAGTCGAGGGTATTATTGGGTGCCTCGGCATAGTCCCAAGGTTCCGCAAATATTCCAGGTGTATCATCTTGCGACGATGTACAACCAGAACCAGACGACATTGCGTGTGGACAATCCGCCAAGAGTCCATCCCATACTCCAATGCAAAACTGATCATTACAGTCTTTGTCCTTTCCAACAGTCTCGGCCGCGAACGATGGTGATACTGAGGATGCAGCTGCAATTATACTTCCAAGTCCACCACCAATAAGAAAAGATCTTCGACTCCTAGAGCTATTGGATCTTCTGCATTCGTTTGGAGCGAGTGCTGCACATACACACACATGAAAAAACAGCAAAATGACGCAATATACAAGCAATGGTAGATTTGTCATGGACTTTCCTCTTTGTCACACTTTCAATGCACTCGTACACTGTTCAAAGCTGTAAGACGAGGCACTACTGTAGCTGTAAGAATACAGGTACAATGGTTGAGTTTGATGTTATGATTCATTCAGTCCCGTGGGGCACTGAGTCATTCAGTCATTCACGAAACGCGCGTACTCCGCGCACCAAAAACTTGGAAGTTCGAAAAGTTGATGTGATGATTGGATGGTAAACGAACAGATCTCGTCATTACACATCAATCACATCACACAAAAGGCACATCAGCATTAAACACTTCGTATACCATGGCTACTATCTTTCAAATAGCAGTGGTTTCATCCCTCGCCGTCATCTCGAGACAAGTGCATGCCTTTTCTGTTCTTCCAGCAGCTCCTTCGTCCATTCTTCGTCAATCATCGAATCATCATCATCATCCAAACGTGAATACCGCCCATGGAACCATGCAACGGCAATCTCAACTCTTTGCCGAAAAGAAAAACCCAGTCGATGAACTGAGCGAAGAACGCAAGGAAAACTTGTTTCAGTTTTTGCTTCGTGATATGGAAGTGGAGGGAACTCCAGTCCTTGCCTGTGATGCCGATCAAGCTCACACCTTTCAAGGGACCGTTTGGACGGTGATGGCCCAACTGAGCGAAAACGACATTGAAAGTAAGGCATGCATGGTCCTACAAGAAATGTCCATTGACTCCTTGCAAAGTTTTGTCGATGATTTTCTTGCCATCAAGGCCAACGAGCGCCTGATGGAATATCTTCCGGAATTGGCCAGGTTCAATGTCACCTTGTTGGGACGAGGTGTTGGACCTGCTCTCGTAGTGGAAACTTCCAATCGAACGACAGCTGAACTAGAGGCTGTTGCTAAACTTGAATCAACGTTCTCTGATCCCAATGAATTGACATGGACGGCAGCCATGAAGGCCTTTGTGGCTCGTCTTGGAGGGTGGAGCGAGGACAAGGATGATCTACCCAATCCTCATGCCTATCGATTGGCTGGAAGCTGGGATGTTTGTGATACTCTAGCCACCTTTTGGGTGTCGGTATGTGAGCTACTGGCGCAGCCTGAAGATGTCTTGGGCTCGACCATTTTGTGCTTGCCTGCTTCCAAAGTTGACTCGGATGACAGTGACAGTGTGCAACAAGCACGAGCTAGATTTGCTGCTACGACCGAACTTGTCACAGAAAGTCTGTTCATGGCCAGAGGACAAGATTTGTTTGATGTCTCTTATTTGCACCCATTATATGATCGTGACAATATTCACTTGGTGGACAACCTTTACGGGCACCTCCCGCTACTGAAGTCGGTACCAGCACTCTTGAAAGATAGCAGTGCTTACGATGGCAATGTTGATGCGCTGACAGACAATGATCTGAAACTGCAAAATTATCAACGACGCTCTCCACTTCCGGCGATATTCGTTCGACGACAATCCAAGAAGGCAAAAGAAGACTCGACTGCTGCAGTTTTTGCAAACCTATCCAAAGAAGGCAAGGAAGCCTTGCAAGAAGCATTGGAGAAGGAAATGGAATTGGTATGATGGTCGGGATAGCCCCAGGAAAACTATAGAGCGTTATACTTAGACTTTATGTATTCCAAATTAGCCATAGATGAGTTGGATTGGCGAATCTTTGCATTGCAGCGAAGAGACAGGCAAACAGGATGTGATTGCATTATTCGTCACCAAATCACAATCGGGATAGATGCTTGACAGGGAAACCCTTTTGGGCGGTCGTTTGTCTTCGGGATTGGCCAAATACTCAGTCCAGAAGGAGTAATCGTAGTCATCCTTTTCGTCATAATCAATATAGGCCATCTCTTGGCACAAACGTCCCCAATCTCTGGAATGACCTTTGGTGTTGACCGAAAATGGACCCGCTCTCACATGTCGCATCCTTCTGTTTAGGGCTAGCGAGTTGGACCAGGCTCTCAGAGATGTCATATCAACCACTTTTCTACCTTGTACCCAATCCAGTTCTTGTATGGTTCCGGAAAACAAGTCTGCTCTAACAAAGACTCCCAGTGATCCAGGTTTTCCTCCACCTCGCAAAAATACAATGACAAGGTCAGCAACCCTACCACCAAAGGCAATCGAAATGAGGTTGTAGTAAAACTGTGGGTGACTCTCGGACACCTTTTTCTTTCGTCGACTCAAAATTTCCCCTAGCATAATATCAACGTGCAGAAACGCTTCACAAGAGACTGTGCTTCCAGAGGTTACATTCAATGGCGTTTCTGCTGTTGGGTCTAGTGGAACCCGTTTCCCACTAGAAGTTTCATAGCAAATCTCTTCCCAAGTATCTTGTCGGGAGATAATATTGGATTCTGGAGTGAACCCATTCTCAAGGACAGAGCCCCCGGTCTGTGTCTTGAGTCCTTTTTCTAGAACATTCCAGCACTCCATTACCCATGTCAGACGGAAGCCATCTTCTTCGTCATTCAATACCAAGTACCCCGGAAGCTGAATAATGGAATTGAAATGGCCCAAGAACGGCTCCGCTTGGTTTGGATCTAAGCACGGAAGCTTATCCACTCGCCACATCAAATTTCGAAGTGTAACGAATGCAGTTCCACCCATTCGTACATTCTTGCAAACAAATGCTCTAGCGTATCTCACATCCGAACGACTTCGAGGTAGAGAAAACAAGACGAGATTGCCAACTGGTCCTTCCTCCTGTTTGTGTTGTAGTGGTACCGTTTTAGACGGACTACATTCATTTGGAAAACACAATAACACATAGGACTTACCCTCCAAACATTGGATGGTTGAAACATGGCCATGCCAATGTTCCAATCGTTCGACACTAATATGGACACGGGAGTGGATGCTGGCGAAATGTTGCGTCGAAAATTAAAAATACTATCTTCCATGGATTCATTGGATGGAATGTCATTGTAGAGCAGCGGAACGGTTTGTAGCAAGGGCGTAATCCCCCTGGCCTTTCCAGCAATTTTCTTTTGTCGTTCCATGCCAGACGGACTAGGTACCCCATAGAATCTCAGTGCCAATAGGAGAGGAACCTCACTTCCAGGGTGCTGGGCACCCAAGCTGAGCACAAAGGATCCTTTTCGTTCTGGTGCAAGTACAGCATCCAGGACTGGTGTTCCCAGCTGGGTGAATGGAATGCAGCGTTTGACAAATGGCCGCCATTCTCGTCGTTGTGGAGGCGCATTGGACATGTTATTTTCGTGCCGCAAAGCAGTTGCTGGTTTGACTCTTGGACGTTTGGTAAATTGGAAGAGTGTTTGTTGTTGCCAAGTCCGAACATTGGATCTCCGATTGTTTGTATTGTTTCCGCCGGTTTGTCGTTTGTGCAACAGTTTCAAAAGACTGACTTGCATCGCCTTGTGATCGGATAGTGCAGCTCCATTGGAATCCAAGAATGCCAAGGATGAGTCATCTTCGAAGTTTTTAAGACTTTTAGCGGTTGCCGTTGGCTTGCGACGGACAGCGGCGGAGGAATCCTTGTTTGTAGCAGCATTGTGGTTGGCATTGGACCCACGAGTTCTCTCTTGCGGCCGGCGCCGCTTCCGTCGTCGTTGACGACGAACTGCTTCTTCTGGCATTCTAGATAGCTTCTACTACTGTGACTACAGTTGTGTTACGGATGCAACAGGTGTTGTTCTTCCTGTGTGCCATGCAAGTGTCCAACATAGAATAGAACGACCACTTGACGGTTTTGGTTGTTTGTCAAGATTTTGAGCACTTGGAGAAAGAGAGAAAAGGACGTTGGACGGAGAGATTGAATCACAGACGAAGTGCTACCTGGGCATGGAAACAGCTGTTTACTACAGACTATCTGCTGTAGCTGCAAAGAAGTGATTTGTGTGTGAATGATACAATTTGTTTTTTATATTTGTATAAGTGCGTCGCTATGATTTTAAAACGTTGCCCTTTCCGAAGACAGAATTTGCTGAATGAATGGAAAGAAAATCTAAGGTGATTTTTATTCATCAGAGCATTTAGAGCCATTCAACGGCATCCAAAAGGAATTCGCCAAGGTCGTCTTCGGTCTCCTCATCGCTGAGAAGGTTGGGCAATCGTTGCTGCTTGAGTGGGGGAAGTGTGTCCTCGATGGTTGGTTCGAGTCTCGTCACACCCGTAGACAGGCATGTATCTGGTTCAATAAAAGTATCCTCATTGACCGTGGTTGGCAAGAGTGGAAAGGTTGGAGCTTCAGTGATCTTCACTGCTGGAATGGTGATCTTAGTGGCCACTTTTCTCTCAGGCTACTGTAGTAGTTCGAGAGAAGTGATCGAATAAATTTCAATCGTGGCCGTCGGCACTTTTGATTGGAAAGTTGGCTGGGACTTTGTTGCGCTGGCGTGAGGAACCTCAACAGACTGTGCTTGATGGTCAGATCAAGCACAGAATAGGGTTGAGACATCATCAAAGGATGTCTGCATTAGGACAGACAAGAGGGCAATTGCAATAATTGCCATTGTGCTGTTATAATGTTGAGGGTTTCCAATGCCAGTGCTTGAGAGTCTTGTACCTACTTGTCAATTTCTCTGATGAGGAGAAATCAATCAAAATTGTCGAAAATTAGGTTGTGAATGATTCTGGACGCTGCTGGTCGAGAGATCAAATTATCTGAAGGCTCACAGAATTCCATCTTGATAACCTCGGATGAGGAGGATCCTTGAGGAGATACAATGGATGGCGGGAGGAGAGAGGTAGAGGCAACGGGGGACGCCACGGGTTCACTCATTGTTTCTTCGTAGCTTGAAGAGTGCCCAGGGGAGGCGGGAGGAGAGACAAACTTGGAACAAGAAGTGTCCGGGAGAGGTGGTAGATGTGTTAGGACAGCGTCGGCAGTGCCTTCCGCTTTTTGCTGTTCCAGCCTTGCAATTGCTGCCATGGTGGCTTCGTACTTGGACTTCCAGGCATCCACTTCATCTTCGAGTACGTTGATTCGATCGCGTTGTCGTTGACGAGAGGCAGCGGCGCTTTCACGATTTCGTTTGCGGCGTTGCTCACGTCTCCAAGCGGTAGCTTCTTCCTTGGTCATGGGGACGTCTGGGTCGTATTTCATTTGAGGCTTCTTTCCTGCTTTCCTTGACTTCCCGCCTTCTGTTTTTTGCTTTTTCGTTGGTGGAGCTGCCATGGCGGATTCGATTGCCGGAAGAATCGCACAAGCCATTTCGTGTGCGTTGGAGAGCTCTAGGTCGGTTGGGGTCATCGTCTGACTTCGTTGGGACGATAGGATTTCCCGACGCCGTTTGCGAGCTTCGGCTTGAGATCCAACAGGCAATTCAGAGCAAGGCAAAATAACAGGGGCAACGACGGCAGTCATGATGGGATAAGCAGGTTAATGAAGGAAACGTAGGAAGCCACAAAGTATAGATAGCTATGACAAGAAGGGAAGGAGAGTACCGCGTCGAACGCTTTCGATGGATGTCTCGAAAGATTTGTGCGACCCTATAGAAAATCGATTGAGATTTTGCGTCTCTTTTCTTCCATCAACTTCGAAGTTGAGCAAAGAAGATACGCGATTCTTACTCGATTTCACGTGGAATCCTACGTAGAGGTTTCAACAAGTTCAATGACGTATTTGTTGAATTCACATTTGTCAACTTTTTTGCGGCTGTGAAGGAAAGTCTGAATGGCCGACATGGATTGCTGCAGCTGGTCCGAGCAGGCAAGGTCGAGTTGAGTCGCACAGCCAATCAACGGACCATATTGAAAAACCACGATGTTTCTACGGAATGCAAAGAAGCCTTCCTCGTAGAAAACCCGTAGATTTCTACTGAGCTTGCGAATCATGTGCGTCATTTTGCTTCATTCCTTGACACTCAGTCGGATGAGTCGACTAATAGCTTAGTGTTTTTGGAAAATAAAACACTAAGCTAGCTCAGCTCAAGAGCCGAGCCAAGATAGATGTTGTAGCCTACTGTAGGGTAGGTACCGCACTTATATTTCGCTTGATATCAACATTAGCATTTCCGATTTAATTGCATTGCAATCATATCGGTACTAATATAAAGGAATTAATTTGAAAGGCATATTTCCTGATGATTCGTAACTCGAACTATGATGGTGTGTGGTGGTGGTGATGAGGAGGTGGGCGTTCGTGTGTGGTTTGATTTGCGATCTACAACAATAGTCATGGCAACTAACTTAGAATTATCCAAAGGTGGATGGATGGATTGATTTGCAAGTGCATATTTTCCGCTTCGAGGAATCTCACAGAACGATGCTTAGGGCGTATGGCACGTCCATTTTTCGTTACCGCGTCTTGGTTTTATTTGAGGCCTAGCTACATGATGCATCATAGCATTGTAAGGACTTGGTTCTTGCATGCACCAAGGCAGGGCGACCAATTTCAGAATCAGGTCCATAGCCAATCGGGACAGCCGTCGTCATATCCACTTGTGCAGGATCAGGTTGAATTGCGTGGCTTCGTCTTGACGAAAAAAAAGCTTTCTAGTTTGCCACGACGAGCTCCGTCGTTCGAATATTGTAGATCATTCCGCATTCTGATGTCACTCATTCCCATTTTTTACAGAAATTTGACTTTTTGATTCTCTTGCATGCTTCATTGTCTTGTAATCGGCAAGTGGGCCATAATTCATGCCAAGGTTGAAACAACAGAGGCTAGCCGCAAGCCCGATGAATAGGATGGGGAGTGTGAGAACCAGAAGAGCAATACGTAGAATAATGGATGAAGGAGGGGCAGAGCCATGCTGTGAGCGAGCACAGTGGGTTACGCCAGCTTCCTCTCCTTTATCACCATTGGCTCCCATGGGTGCGGCGATATCTTCTGGACTTTTGTTGTGCTGGATCGAAGTTGAGACTAAACAACGACTTCCACGATTTGGAGTGAGAGGTGAGAGATACTGATAACCGTATCTTATTTACTGAAACGCGTACCCATAATTCGATTCGGACAAGTCGAAGACTCCTCCGCGTATCTTTCAAGTCATGCATGACGTCACAATTCAGTACAGTTGTTTTTGCAAAATGGTACAAGGCAGCTGAAACAAAATGTACGAGGCAGCAGACTACATTACCAGATACTGGGTACCTGGAGGTGGACCAGATGTGCATGGATCCCGAGGCCAATACAAATCGACCTAATCCCGTCCGATGTAGTAGTATATGAGATAAATATGTGTACATTAGGCCTGCTGCAACTTTTTACACCCATCAAGTATTTTGCGGACTTCATAGTAGCCGCATGATATTTCTCACAGCACTATGCAATAGTACTAGCAGCTTCTCAATCTCAAAATACAATTCCCTCCAGCTTTCTAATCAAGCTTATACCAATTCTAAGTTCTGTTTGTCTCCCCCTTCCATGTCCTGAGCGACTGAAAGTTCCTTCAACTTTTCGTATTCCTTGACATATCCTGAAGAGAAAAACACAGAAGAAAAAATATGAGTATGGAAGCTTCAGGCAGGTACACAAAGCAAATTGTAATGACGCACCGTACATGGGCATAAACAAACACGAAAACTGAATCAAGAACATGACGAAACCTCGAACCAAAAAGAATGCGCTCCCAGTATTGAAAACGACAATGAACGAGGTTATCGCGGTAATTATCATGTTGACAGTTGTCCAACCCAGACTCAACATCACAGGCCAGCCGCGATAGCTGCAAGCTCCCCAAATTGCGAGGGCGGCGATGATAATAAACAGGGCTGTAATAACTTCCATGATTTCGAGATAGATTCGCTCTGCGTCATTTGGTTTTGTCTTTTCGTTGGTATCATTGAGACCGGCCAAGCCCACCGCAAAGTAAAGACAGGAAAATACCAACATGAAGATGTTCGCGTTGAGGGTAGCGATACGGCTGTCGCAGCCGCAACAGTACTTTGGCATAGTTTCAGTGCTCGTTGACATCTTGTGGATCCGGACTTGGGAAGATGACTGCGTGTTCAGTGCAGTTTTGATTTTTCGTTGGATCGACTGACTCAACCGAATCAATCCGTCATACTTGGAATACCACTATCCAGCCATCGTCTATACTTCGTCCGTCTCGTCTTTCATTTGTAGGTATTTCGTATTTCTGTCGCAGTTTTCCCCTTTATGTCCTTTTAATACCAAAGGCGAGAAATCGCTGTGCGACAATCCAAATAAAATAAAGGTGATATATTGCAGGTTTCGTATAGAAGTCTCCACTTGGCAATTGTGCTTGTGCAAGAGCAGCAAACCCATAGTAGTCTAGGTTTTGTAAGGAGATGGTGCTTGTGCAAGAGCTATAAACCCATAGTTTTGCAGCGATGTTCCTAGTTCTTCTTTGCAGAAGAACTTGAGCAGACTCTTGTAAATTCCGCAGAGCCTTGGTGATTTCGATGTCATCGTCTTCAGTTCTTGAGTTGCAGCTATTTCCTTAAGCTGGTCACATAATGGAAAGAAACGTAGGTCCACAACTAGAACAATATGATCCTAGAACAGCCATTATGATTTGGGCGATAAAGAAGACCGTGAACAAGAACTTCCAGGCAATGGAACAAGATGGGACAATGAGGATGCAACCGAAAGTGTGACTGCCGAACAAGTAATCCAAGCGAGGCCGAAGACAAAAGACCTTTTGCGATACGTCCACAAGCTCCAAATGGTAAAACCTATTCCAAACAAAGGAACATCGCTACAAACTGTCCCAAATTGGGAATGAAGCCGGTCGGATCGTCACTACCCATCCACAACACGCCTGCAATGTTGATCATCAAAATCTAAACATCAGAATATTGGCACAAATAGGAAATTTCGACGACCTATGCCGAGGGAAGGTGATGCCGCGATATCATGGTCATCCTTGGCGGGTTCATCACCGTCACTGTTGATGAATTGATGTCATTGAATTTGGAAGATTTCATATTTCCGGAAATAGTTGAAGTCGAACGAGTCGAGTCTGTTATTTTTGAGAGAGCGGAGCGGAGAGCGAGGAGGGAGCCCTTCTCAGCCCCCTGTTCTCTCATCCCCTTGGTATCGTATCTATTGCGTTCCGGTATCTACCGTAAATTCAAGGAAGATAAGAACAACAAGTTATACTGGCAATTGAATGTAATTCTCTGAGACCATTCAAAAAATGAAACACGGCGTTACCCCTTTTCCTAGCTAAAACTAGACCGTTTCAAGGTTTTGCTTGATTTCCTTTTCCACTTCCTGGCCGACTGCTATTTCCTTCAACTTGTCATATTCTTCAATGTACTCATACATTGGCCAAAGCATAAAGGAAAATTGGATCAGCACAATAACGGTGCCTTTAATGATAACCGCAAGACCGCCAGTCCCGTACACAGCAGCAAAGATCGAACCCAATATGAGGAGAATCATGTTTACAGCAATCCATGCCAAGCTTAACATGATCGGCCAGCCGCGATAAGTATGGGCGCCCCAGATTGCAAGGGAATTGACAATGATCTGTATCGTTGTGACACTTAGCGAAAGTTTAATATGAATTCTTTCGTCTTCACTTGGAGCTGTGTTTATATCCGTGTCGTTGAGGCTGACTAAATCCATAATGAAGTAAAGACTTGCCACCACCAACATGAAAATGTTTGCGCTTCGAGACGCAATCCGACTGTCATAGCCGCAGCAGTTAGGCATCGTTTCAGTATCATTCTCCATTGTATTATATCGGTTGATGCTTGATTTTCTTTTGTTTGTCGAGATGTGGTACTCAACATGGTCTTGGAAGTATGAAACCAGAACCCAAACATGACAGAGAACATACCAAATAGAAGTGATGTTTCCGTTCAGGTCATTTCCGAACTCTGAACAGAAAGTTTCACACCGACAAATCGAATGAATCAAATCGTCCATCCTCCATCGGGCCGGGCAAATCCAACCAATTGACAACCATCACCATTGCAGCTTCAAACCCTCCCATTGGACACCATAAACCGCCAAAAACCAAATCAACAAATACTTGAAAGCGAAAACTAATATATCTAGTTGATCTGCTGCTTAAACCTTGTCTAAAATCAACTAAAAATGCCTCCTCCACCGTCACAACAAGGAAAGTTCAAGCCGAAAAAGCCCAAACCGAAAAAGAAGATTAAGGCTGGAGCTGCCACTGCGGCTGCTGCCACTGAAGCTGCGGCCGAGCCCAAGGCGACTGTTTCCTTTGCTCCGTCACCGTATGCGGGTCGCGGTGGAAGAGGTCGAGGCCGTGGTGGACGAGGCAGGGGTCGAATGCCCATGCCGACTGGAAAGGTTTACTTTACAGGAGGTGAAAAGAAAAAGGCACCACCATCAGCATCGAGGAGTAGTAGATCAAGCTCTGCAACAAGATCAGCAACGACGACGAACAACGGAGGAGCAACAGCAACAGTAGCTTCGGCGGCGCAAGCGAAAAAGGATAGTGCGAGTACGGAGGAAGTCGTTGGTCAGTTGGAAGTTGCCATTGGATCATCGAAAGGTGGAGCTGGATCAGGGAGTGGTGGCAAAGATAATATTCTTGACTCTATGGATTTCGAGGATCAAGAAGGGGAGCTCTTTCGTCCAGCAACAGCAGCCCAAGGAAATTTGAGTCTAGAGGGATTTATGTATGATACTGATTCAAGTGAGGAGGAAGAATCGAGGAAAAAGAACAAAGCGAAAGATTTCATAATGCCACCTTTGGAACTTCCATTGAAAGATACATATACTCAATCATCACAGATCGAAGAACCCAAGGCACGGCAAGCTGTAAACTATCCAGAACCGGTCACATCATCGACAACAGAGGCTGACGGTACTACGAGGCCATCGCCGTTTGTACATTCATCAGCAGGTGAATCATTATCACAGAAAGATGATTGGTTTTTGGTGCAGCTTCCCACGCGACTGCCGCCACTACGGAAAAAAGTTGATGAAACTGTCGTAGCGATGGATGTGGATGGGGAGGAAGAGGAGCGAAAGCAAGTCAAGCCCACAGTGGAACCTACTTCAGCATACTCCGAAGTCGTCACGCATCCCGTGACTCCTGGTGGCTTTGATAACGCTTTATTGAGTGCAGCACCAGGAAGAATTGGAAAAATGGTGGTGTACAAGAGTGGAAGGACGGTGCTAGTAATGGAGGGCGCAGATGGCTCTACGGTACGTTGTCGGATCTCAATACTGTCTTTGTAGTGCTCCACCGCGATATTTCATGATCTCATTATCTACCTACAGCTTCAATTCAATGTTGCAGAGGGTTTAAGTTGTAGCTTCTTACAACAACCAGTTGCAATTGATTCAGCGAAAAACACATACATCGAGCTTGGGCAGGTGAAAAAATCCTTGGTCGTATCACCAATTTTAGATCACACGTATCATTAATAAAACACAATGCACGCCAACTGCGATAGATCTAAACTAAGGTGTCTTCCGGAACACCTACAGTATTACAGTACTGTGACACATAATTTTAAAACTGTGCAGTTTCAAAGCAGTTTCCTGTGTTTTAGCAACACGAGTCCCGTCACGTTTCAAAGAGCGTGAAGTCGCGCACAAGAATTTTGGCAGACAAACAAACAAGAGAAGTTTTCGACACCACACAACATTCCACTACAGGAACGTCACCTTTCCATTGAGACCCTTACCATGTCGTCCTCTCAGGAAGCTGCTTCCCGTGCAGCTCTTCGCACAGCCCGTCGTGTTTGTGTCAAGGCTGGAACAGCTGTAGTTGCCAACGAGAATGGAAGCCCTTCTTTGACGAGGCTTGGAGCCATTGTGGAGCAAATTTCCGAGTTGAAGAGCAAAGGAATTCAAGTGATCTTTGTCAGTTCTGGTGCAGTTGGTATGGGAAAGAGAGTTTTGAAGAACCAAAGAAAATTACAAATGTCATTCATCGATATGCAAGAGAAAAACGATGATCCTGAGGGGTCATCCTCGTTTGACGAAGAGAAATCACACCTGCTGTCGAATGACGTCAACCCCACAGGTCGAAACTCGAGTTTCAACACTCTTCTTGACCACCACGCCCGTCCCCACACACCTGCTGAAAAGAAGAAATTTTATGATTCTGCGTGTGCTGCTGCTGGGCAGTTCGAAATGATGAATTTGTACTCGGCTCTTTTCAATCAATGCAACATTACCGCGTCGCAAGTTCTTGTCACTCAAGCTGATTTTGTTGATCCCCAACGTCTTCAAAATCTACGATACACTGTCGAACGCTTATTGGCCCTTGGAGTCTTACCAATCATCAATGAGAACGATGCCGTGTCCGGCAATATGGGATACACCGCAGAAGATGTCTTTTCCGACAACGATTCTCTTGCCGCTATCTGTGCGAGAAACTTTGATGCAGAAGTCCTATTGCTATTAACTGATGTCGAAGGCGTTTTCGATCAACCTCCTTCCACTCCAGGCGCAAAGCTGCTCGGGGTCTTTGTCGATGATTCTCAAGTAGAAATCGGCGCAAAGAGTTCTCAAGGTACGAGTTTTGACAACTAGTGATGTGAAAAGCAGATTGTCCCTCATATACTCACGATCTTGCATAGGACGAGGAGGCATGGGGTCAAAAATTGATGCTGCAGCAAGTGCAGTTGTCCCAGGCTCCAAATGTACAGCTTGCGTCGTTGCATCAGGAAAAGACCTCAATTCTATCAGATCTATCCTTGGTGATGACAAGTCACATAAGCAGAAGGGTACTCTTTTCTGCTCTCCTGGAAGCTCACTAGAGCAAACAGCTTTGTTAGAGTTAAAGGCATCACAGGTAAGAATCACCATGGTTGGATTGACTGTGTGTGAGAAAGTTGACTGACTTTCTCCTATCATATCATTATCTAGGCTTCAGACGCAAATGTGTCGATGGAAGCTCGTCAGCAGGCGGTCGCTGCACGGACGGAAGCCCGCAAATTGCAAGCAATGCCATACAAGACGCGACAAGATATCCTCAATGCTGTTGCCGATGCCTTGATTGCAAGAAAGGCAGATCTAATTTCCGCCAATCAAATTGATTTGGAAGCTGCCGAGATGGACGGTGTTGATCTGGTGCTGAAGAAACGTCTGAAACTTACCGAGGAAAAAATCGCGACCCTCGCTTCAGGTCTTCGTCAGATTTCTGGGCTTAAAGATCCCTTGGGTGTTGTAAAGAGCAAACGAGAGCTTGCCGATGGAATGGAGCTCTCGCAAATCACTGTACCAATCGGCGTATTGATGATCGTCTTTGAGTCCCGTCCAGACTCCATGCCACAAATTTCAGCTCTTTCGCTTGCTAGTGGAAACGGATTATTGCTGAAAGGTGGCAAGGAGGCTGTCAATTCTAATGCTGCTATCCACAAAGTTATCGGAGACGCAATTGAAGCCGGAAGTAGTGGCAAAATCAGGAGAGATATCATCGGCCTTGTTACTAGTCGTGGCCAGGTAAGACACGTTTGCATACTCTTGGTTTTTGCATGCAATTTCTGTCTGACGTTGTAGACAGGTATCGGACATGTTGGCATTGGACGACGTTATCGACCTCGTGATTCCTCGTGGAGGCAATGCGCTCGTCTCCTACATCAAAGCAAACACAAGGATCCCAGTTCTCGGGCATGCCGACGGTGTTTGTCATGTGTACTTGGACTCCAGCGCTGACTCTGATGCGGCTTGCAAGATTGCGGTCGATGCAAAGATCGACTATCCATCTGCATGCAATGCCATGGAAACATTGTTGGTCCACAAAGATACAGTTGATAATGGTGTGACACCTAAAGTCCTAATGGCTTTGAGAAAGGCTGGTGTAAAGTGTCTTGGCGGACCCAAAGCAATGACACTTGGGCTCTGTGACACAGCTGCAGAACAAATGAAGTGTGAATATGGTAACTTGACCTGTATGGTCGAAGTTGTGGAAAATATGGACGAGGCAATCGGTTGGATCCACCAATATGGTAGCGGACACACTGAGGCAATTGTATGCAGTGAAGGAAATGAAATAGGTGAAGAGTTTCTCCGTCGTGTTGATGCCGCATGCGTCTTCAAGAATGCATCAACGCGTTTCGCAGATGGGTTCCGCTTTGGATTGGGTGCGGAAGTTGGCATCTCGACCGGCCGTATCCATGCTCGTGGTCCAGTAGGTGTCGAAGGGCTGCTGACCACCAAGTGGCAATTGCGCTCTCAAGGTATCAACATTGTTGGCGAGTTTGGGGGTGACAATCCAACTAAGAAATACACCCACAAGGAGATGTAGATAAGACCAGGCTATAGTATTCTGTTTACTATTGTCTTCGACGTTTTAGTAATGGTTCTACCGCACGAAAACAACGCGCATCACATACGTGTTTGACTTCAAGAACAAATCCTTGAAGCTTGAAAATACCAAGTCGGTGACAAGCCATCCAGTCGACGCTCCCAAAAGCTTTAACCTTTCCGCCGACACAGACGAAAGATGCGGCTTCACTCATTAGTTGCAGCTGCTGTCGCTATCCTTCCTTCGGCTACGTCGACAGGTGCTTTCTCTCCGCAACCATTCGTCGTACGAAAACATGTTTCCGATACATGCCTGTCATCAGCAGTTGCAGAGATCACTACCAGTCCTATTGCTGGTATGAAGCCCGGCACTTCTGGTCTACGAAAGAAAGTTGAAGTATGGCAAGGGGTCGATGATGCAAATAAATACTACGTTGAGAACTTTATCCAGAGTCTTATCGACACTGCAGCCGAAAACAATGGAGGAAAGATGATTGACACGTGAGTTTCACAAAAAAATTAAGGCATCTATTCTTTGGTCCACTATCCTCATTTATTGGTTGTCCTTCAGTGTCATTGTAGCTGGAGATGGTCGTTACTTCAACAATGAGGCAATTCAAATCATATGCAAAGTGTTGGCAGCAAATGGGGTAAAGAGCATTTGGGTACCACAAGGAGGGATTATGTCAACTCCAGCCGTTTCTGCTGCCATTCGCATGCGTGAAGGTGGAGCCGCTCAGGGGGGAATCATTCTTACAGCGAGTCACAACCCTGGTGGCCCAGGTGAAGATTTTGGAATCAAGTACAATGAGGAATATGGACAGCCTGCTGGCGAAGATTTCACTGATGCTGTAAGTATCTCACTGGTGTGAATTACTCATCATCTACTGCTCATAAACTAACCTTCGAAATGTAGCTCTACGAGAAGACAACTACGATTTCGAGCTTCAAGTCGCTTGAAGGAGGTGATGATATCGACATTGGAGCCGAGGTCAATACATCGTTCCAACTCACAGAAGAGTCAGCCGTAACAATCATTGATCCATTTGCTGAGTATGTTGAAGTTTTGAAATCCTGCTTTGACTTTGATGCAATGCGTGCGTTCGCACAGCGCCCTGGCTTCACCATCTTGTTCGATGGTATGCATGGAGCTGGTGGCCCGTTTGCAAAACGTATTCTTGTCGAAGAGCTTGGTTTCCCCGAGTCCTCGCTGATGCGCTGTGACCCAAAACCAGATTTTGGAAAGTGTCACCCTGATCCAAATCTAACGTATGCGGCGGAGCTTGTGAAAAAAATGGGATTGGACTCAGACGGAAGCTCTCTCGGCTGCACAGATGCGACGCCAGCACTTGGAGCCGCGAATGACGGTGATGGAGACCGCAACCTTATTGCTGGTGCCGGATGTTTCGTTACCCCATCGGACAGTCTCGCTATCATCTGCGATAATTGGAAGGCAATTCCCCATTTCTCAAAGGCTGGTGGTCCAAAGGGTGTTGCAAGATCAATGCCGTCCTCAGCTGCGTTGGATGTTGTTGCTGAAGCTCTTGATATTCCTTTTTTCAGTACCCCAACCGGATGGAAGTTCTTCGGAAATCTGATGGGATCAAAGGAACAATTCGATCAGAGAGATTATACTCCTTTCCTCTGTGGCGAGGAATCATTTGGAACTGGAAGTGATCACATTCGGGAAAAGGATGGTCTTTGGGCTATGCTTGCTTGGGTTTCTATCCTCATGGACGCCAACAAGGATGTTGCTGAGGGGGAACCACTCGTCAGCGTGCAGGATGTCGTTTCAAATCACTGGTCGAAATATGGACGTCACTTCTACTGCCGTTACGATTATGAAGGTAAGAATAAGAAGCAACCCGTGAAAGTTGAGTTGGATTACATAAAAAATTAATGGTCTTACATTCTGTGCCAATCTCAGCTGTTGACAGTGATGCGGCGAACAAAATGATGGACCTAATAAGGACAGAATTGGTTGCTGGAGATGTGTCTTCAATTGGAGCTGACGACTCAGGTATCAAGATTGTCAGCGGCGAAGAATTCTCGTATATTGATCCTGTCGATGGATCCACAACGTCAAAGCAGGGTCTGATTCTACAGTTTGAATTTGAAAACGGAGACCCAGCACGTGCTGTCTTCCGTTTGAGTGGGACCGGTTCGGCAGGAGCAACCATCCGAATGTACCTTGAGAAGTTTGAGAAAGACGAGTCGAAGCATGGAGAAGCAGCACCAGTTGCTTTGAGGAGTCTCGCTGATAGAGCAATTGGATTGGTTCAGCTGAAACAAATCACAGGCAGAGATGCCCCCACCGTGATTACGTAAAGTGCTCATCATAGATTCTCCTTTGATCTGTTATTTGTCGTTCTGTGGAATTCAAAAGTGTGCCACATCACTTCTTAAGCTGACACTTCAATTCCCAGAGTACCTCGTTGGGTAACTCCCATGTCGTTAGATATCCAAGTTGGATGCTGAATATTTTTGTACATTAGATGGTGACAGCGACCTTTCATCGCTCCATCGTGAAGGCCTAGTGACCGGGTAAACTCCGCATACATTCGATCGTCGTTCGTCAATCGTGCAAAGCCAGCCTTTTCGTAAAGCTTCAATGCTTGGGTATTCGTTACTTCCACGTGCAAATACAAAGTCTCTACGCCCCGAATCTTGGCCAATTCTTCAATGGACTATAGAAAAAAGGTTGGTGAGCGTCGTAGAAAATTGCAAATCATTCAACAAGCACGAATTCTTCTCGTACCTCCATAAGTTTAGCTCCAATTCCCTTTCTCCGAGCTGTAGGACTGACAGCTACTTCGGTGATGTACAAAATGGAGTTCTGTTGTCGACGGCTTCCAAGCCTTGTTCCAAAGAATTCATGAATGGAGCATTCTGCAGTGCCCAGAATAATGCCTTTCTCATCGGACAAAATGGAACCATAACGCGGAACAGTCGCTACAATGCAGGTGGCACCTTGGTTCCGTCTCATGGCCAAGACATGACATGACCGCGAGCAAAAGGACTGACGCATATTTGGTGAAAAGTTGGAAAACACCGACAGCCGAAGGTTGGCAATGTCCAAATCATCAGCTTGAGTGGCCACTCGGACGGATACCCGATCCGAAGGCTTCCACCGGCAATTCTTGGGACAATCAACAAGGATGGTACCTGGAGGTGGAGTGGTTTGGATTTTGGCAAGGTCCAAATGGGGCGCGGATGCCTCTCCCAAGACTTCTATATTGGGTTGTTGTCCCGAACTCAAAAGGTCTCCCACGGCGCTATGGATCGCAGATTGCGTCAACCTTGCTGACAGGTTATTTTCATCTTGATCATCATTCTGCTTCTTCATTCCCTTCGCGACAGCAGCACTGCGCCGGACAGCGTCCGTGAGTCGAGACAGGGTCCCACCTCCGCCCAGTGCTTTGCTGGCAGCTCCTATTCGCCGGGCTCCTACGCTCGTTCCTTTGGAAGTTGTGTTTCCCTTGACTCTGGATTTCCGATTTCCTAGAAGCGCAGCTGCCCTTGAGGCTGCACCTAACCTGGCTTGCTTTTCATTTTCAGATTCTTCCGAGTCCTCATCGTTTTCTGCTCTCGTTTCTGAAGGCTCCTGTTGGTCTGCTGCTTCGCCAGTGCAATCGTCATCTGAAGGCTTCCTTTCTTCTCTCGAATCTTGTTCACAAACAATCGAGTGCTCTGGTATTGACGGCTGAAAAGCCACGGGTCTCTCTTCTGTAGTTGGTGCCTCGGCTTCGATAACTCTCAAAAGTGTAGATTGAGGTTTGGAAGAGACTGAAAGGACTCTAGGGCTTTGAGTACAAGCGAAACTTTCACAGGCCTGAATAGACAGCATCAATACAAATACTACACCCCAAGCGCCACTAAAACGTCTTGTTGCAAAATTCCGCCTTGGACTTGGAAGAATGTTCCCATCATCATTATGAGCACAGAATTCTTCAACCGAAACGTTTTCAGTCTGTGCTCGCTGTCTTTTCCTAATCCTTCTGCTACACGTAACGTCAGACATCATTGCATATATACCGTATATTACAAGCTTTTTAACTTTGATGGCACAACAACACAACAAATGAATGTTGTCCCGAATCACAAAAGAAGAATTTATTGTGGGTGGATTGCTTCAAGCGGCACACAACATCGTGGTTTTATCATGGTCGCGCGTCTTGTTGGAGAAGACTTGCGTCATCAGCATGCATTTCATTCGTTCGTTTTGGGGACTGCGTACGTGTACCGGTACGTTTAAACTTGGCAAATAGTGCAGTACCAGGGGCGGGGTACCGGTACACGTGTACCAGTCATGCCTGGCACGAGCGTTAGGTCAGCGGTCAGACCACAATAATTTTGATTCGTCTGACTGGAAAAGCACAAGAAACACCAACAGAGTACAGTACTCGTACCTACCGGTACGTATCACCTGCGATGTATTAGCATACAGTATATAGGCATCATCGTCGTGCATGTATCAGCTAGCATCAGCCATTCAACAGAAAGCGACCGTGATAATGTAGACTGTACTTCTCGGAAAGGGGTTCAACGTCTTCATCGTGGAAAGTGATTCATTCGAAAGGCATCGATTACATCATAGGTGAATGAGTCGCTGAACGAAAGTTGGTGAAGCAATCGATAGATAAGGACGTTGCATCGAACCGACCTTTTGGGAACTTATTAAGATTGTGGATCGCAATTGACCTGTCCCCCATAGTTGAAAAGAAACATAGCTTTTTCTCGACTCATTTTCAGAGCATCAGTCTTTGATCGTGTCAAGTGTACGTTCCATGAGTGGCTGAAAAAAATGATGACCTTCGTCGCAGCTGAGGAAATCAGGTTTCTCTAATGGCGGTGACCCTTCAAGATTATGGCGGGCTGGTGCAATCTTGAAGACGGGTGGAGATTGTATTGTAGGAATGGTACCTTCGCTGTTCTGCACGAAGTCAAGTTGTACGATCCTAATTAGATCGTCTTGATCACTAGGTCCAATAGGTGATTGTTCACCAAACTGAAGAGAATTCCAACTGCAATATTGGTAACTCAAGGCTAATTGGAAAATTCACATGGAATAATGTGAACCAGCTACAAAAGAGAGCAACGAAAGCGGTATATGCTCAGACTCGGACTCGTTCAATAAAGTAAATGCGTGGCCAAGCAAACTCACCTTTGGACATTCCTTCGAGCAATAAGCGATATCGTTGTATGGCCACACCTCATGATGGACTTTTGAAAAGCTTCAGACCTGTCTGAATTTTCGAAGTGCTCACTTGTCAATATCGAGTACGGATGGGGCCCACTCATCGCTACGAGCAGAGAGTAAACCCCCTTAAGCCTTTTGATGTATTGTTCTTTCAGACTACCGTAATTGTCATTTAGTATCGAAAGTACAACATCTGATTTCATAACACACTCGCTTTGCTAGAAGGGCTTCACTTCCTTTGAGAAAGTCCTCGTTGTCACAGGAGGGCCATGGCAGCTTCTGCAAGTATCCTACGATATTGAAGTATTGCACTACTTGTAGAAAAGAAACCCAGTGATCTATCATAGGACTGAAAACTCTTGAAACAGAGGATCTACAGCTCTCTCTTCTTCTGGGAGAAGAACGCTTCGTAGTAACGTATCCTCTGCTTCCAATTTGAACTGCCGTTGGTATTCTGGGTCACCTCGACGGATTACACTGTCAAATACCGGGGCAATTCGTTGTAAATGACTGTGACCTGTCAAAAACTTGCCATTCTGCAATTTCCAACTCTTGTTCCCCATCTTTCGTTGCCGTTGAAGTCGTCGGGTAGCTACATCCATTCTTCCGAAGTCTGTGGCAGCCCGACCCATTGCACCCTTTCGAGTGCAGTACTCGGCTACTTCTACAAACCCAACGAGTACAGTTCTCTCCCCTTTAGTCACAACATCAGCCCCATGGAGAATCTTGCCACAATGAAGAACGGCATCGCCTTGGTTCGGTCGAATCACACCACCTTTTTGCAAAATGCCATTGGTCTCCACATCTCTCAAGCCATCGTAAAAGGTACCCCCACCAGTGAAATCATTCTCCGAGTTGAGAAGTAACGAAAACGAGAGTAGCGTACCGTCTCGATGTAGGTCCAAACGATCCATAACTGAACTATCATCATCACCATCAGGTCCCTTGGCTTTGTAATGCGCGACAAACAAGTCGAGAAAACTCAAATCTCCTTTTTTCAAAGTGTACAATTCCCCCAGCTTGGAAAAAAGTTTGTCTTGAAATCCAATGTCATGCAAAAAGCCTTCCAATTTTTCACTGTCCTCCACGGGAAAATCACAAGTGGCATAGGATTCGTGCCTTTCGCTGTCGGGAGCATTCCACTTGCCCGTTTGTTGCGCAAACTCTTGGGATATACTGCAGCAGGTGCTAGCTTCTTCTCTGGTCATCAGCGTTTCAACATGAATCTTGTGCAATGGGGAGGGATAGTCGGCGCTGCAAGTGTGGTTAAAGGCTGGGAGGACAAAGGTGGTCGTCCCCAAACTCGTAGAACCTACATGGTCGAGTTCGGATTTTAGGATGATACTGATGCGTGTTGTCGATATTATGGAAGACGACTTTATAGATGGGGCAAGAGGACTGAAACTTTCCAATACATCTAGAAAGAGTCCAAACCAGAGTATGATTTCGAGAAGCATTGTTGTGTGCTTTTGCGGTTGTCGGTTTTGATTTGTGACATCTTCTCTGTTGAGAGGTTTGTCCGGTTTTTGGTTGGTTTTGAATTGCATTGATTGGTCGAAGGGGTCAAAGGACGATGACGTCATATTTATTATTTATAAATGAACAACAATAATGAACATGCTTGATTAGATCCATGCACAAGAGCTTGAGAAATAATATTCATCGTAGTTGAAAATAAAGGATAACACTAGATGAAGGTACCACAGGTAGCACTACCACGACTTGGCCTTGGAATGGCGGCATTAGGTACGTTAGTCTCGAACAAATATGATGGAGTGTGATCGATTGTTTGGAGACATTTCTAACATCAAAATGAATTCTCTACCTCAATTCTGAATATTTCACCTCACCAATCAAAGGCCGCCCCGGCTACATCAATCTTGGACGGGATTCAACCTTTGGAAAAGAGGGCCGTGATATCGAAACGATGCAAAGTCAAGCAAACTTGGTCTTGGACACTTTGTTTGAGAAGAAGGAGATACCTTGGATTGACTGTGCGAGATCATATGGATTAAGTGAGAAATTTGTTGGCGAGTACCTCAAGAGCAACAAAATCAGTCCTGAAAAAGTTTATGTGAGCTCAAAATGGGGCTACACCTATGTGGCAGATTGGCAAGTCAGTTTGGAAAAAGGAGCGCCTCATGAGGTGAAGGATCACTCTGTGGCCAACTTTTTGAAGCAATTGGAAGAGACTGATGAGCTGATTGGTGACTATGTAAACTTGTATCAAATCCACTCGGCTACCTTTGAATCTGGAGTCATGGACAATGTTGATATTCACAAGGCGCTGCACGAATGCCGCGAAATGCGAGGATGGAAAATTGGATTGTCGGTTTCATCACCCAAACAGGATCAGATTTTACGACGGGCGATGGAGATTGAAGTGAACGGCAAAAAGCTGTTTGATTCTGTTCAATGTACCTACAACCTTCTGGAGCAACGTCCTGGTCCAGCGTTGTTGGAAGCTTACAATGCCGGAATGGATATCATCATCAAAGAAGGTCTGGCGAATGGCCGTACGCTCCGACATGATCGTGTTGAAGTATATGCGAAAATGCTTGACTGCGCTCCAGACAGCCTAGCTTTGGGATGTATCTTGGCACAACCATTTCATCCACGAGTCTTGTCAGGTGCTGTAACCCCTGAACAACTCGAATCGAACTTGAAAGCCAACGAGGTGTGCGAAACTCTCAAATCGGATCCAGCACTACTAGAGGCCATTATGAAGGATTGTTTGATGGATTCAGAGACATATTGGACGGATCGCTCTAATCTAGCGTGGAACTAGTTGTGTCCTGCACAATGTGCACTAATTACATGGAGATTATTTAGTCTCGAAAAGCGTCCGACCACTGCGACCACACACACTACAGTAGACAACAACACAACTCTGGCTTATTGTTGCCTCTAGCAAAGACCTCCATAGCTCTGTTGAAACAACTACGTCCTTCATCTACGAAATAATAGATTGTTTCAAATGGGATTTTCTCTGTGGAACCTTTTCAAGGTAAGCATATTATTGCAACACTTCCTTGATTCATCCCTTCGTGCAACAGTACCCTTTCGTGAATTCATGTTTCTCTGTTTTCATTTTTGTTGACAGGTCGGTCTCCTCCTTCTCAATTCAGTACTAATTTTGAATCGAAAACGTTTTCTTGCAAAACACGGATTGGATGACATTACAGTCATGGGTGGAGGTAGTCCTCTGAGAACACAAGCAGTGGGGATACTTCATGCGGTGCAATATCTGAAGATGCCTGTCATTGCTGCGAATTCAATAACAATCCTCTTTGAAATATTCTTTGGTGGGTGAGGGATCCAAGAAACACATAAGATGAAAACGAGGGAAGTCATGTACTAACTAGAGAGCAGTCAAGAGATCTCGATGCATTTCTGCATGCTCTAGAGTGACAGGCATTCATGAACGGATTGAAATGGCTGCTTATCAGTAAGCAGATACAACAATGTTAGGAATATATCACAATTTATGGTTCACGTCAATTGTTCATCCATTGACTCTATTCTATGTTATGAATTCACCTCATTTTCGGAGCTACAAATTCTTTTGCCAATCGTCATTTGTAGTATACTGCCAAAACGATACCAATTGATATTGCGACCGCAATCCCAGCATAACCACGGCACTTTTTCCATGCATTCAAAAAGACTTCGGTATCTGTCGCTGTTGCTACCAATGCATTGTTCCGTATGAATACTTTTGGAGCTTCCTCGAGGATAAGGACCTCTTCTTCTGCTGTCAATTCCATTTCATCCTCCAATTTGGATTTCATGTCATTCCGGAATTCCTTGACATTCTTGTAGTCGGACCCCTCTAAAGGGATTCCAAACATTTCGACACCTCCATCTGTCTTGAGTGAAAATGCACGCTTCACCATGCGCTTAATGGCAGTTCCACCCGCCATAATGGCACCATACATGGAGTAGATGTACGGAATCAAAAGAATCGGTTGTTCCTCGGACAGTTTGCGGAGATGATTAATATAAGTCTGCAGTTCTGGTGGTGAGAAGGTCTCTTTTCCATTTTCGTCGGTGCGAATCCGCCGTGCCTTTAGAAGCTCAGCTGCCTTCTCATCGTTTTCCAGCAAGGAGATCATGTCTTTTTCAAACAGTGCTGCTCTCTGCAAGATAGGGAGGAGCGGATAAATAGCGCTTAATCGAGAGTCATCCTTATGTTTTTCAATGAGGGTCTCCAGTTCCCGATAGATTGGCCAGAACAAAGAAATGGCCTCCGCATAGAGTGGCTTCGAAGTGATGACCATCGCCAACTTTAGATTCACAAGTTTGTCGCTAGTTTCATGAACATCATGCGTTGCCTTTCGCATTCGTTCTGTTATTGGAGTAGTTTCATTGGTAGCACTCATGGTAGTTTTGTTGGTCTGATTGCAAGATTGGTACAACTGTAGGGGTCAATGTCAATTGTTGTGCGAGGTCTACCCAGATACACGTACGACGAACAGACTGACACGTCGATAGATTGATTTCCTCGAAATCCTTCACTGCAGACAATAGGATAAACTAGCTCACTATTTCTCATTCATCTACATTTGCATTGCATTAGGATTTAGTCATATCTGCTAGTACGACACCAATGTTGGAAGGATGACAGAATATTGTGCATCTGTTTGAATTTCAAAATGGGAGCAAAAACAATAATGATATCGATTTCGATTGCCATTCCGAATATCCATCAAATTGTGGCATGCAATCATCAAATGACATTTGGAAGTTGTCTCGCTACTAAACCTTCGATACCTATTGCTGGTGGGAAGACCAAAAGACGACTGCTCCAGAAATTGGTACCTGAATGGTGCCCAGCAATTAGTATACTACTCCTTATATTTGGAAATATTTCATACAGTATAGCAATGAATGCTTCTTTTTTTTCATTTATCAATCCTCCGATTGACTCCAGTGTCTCGTCCTGGTTGTGGTTGTGGTTGTGGTTGTGCTGGAGGACGAGTAGGAAAATCGCAACGTGCCGATGCTTGTGGTGGTGATTGTGAAACTCGGGTGGGTAACGTCGGCATAGCATAGGCTAGTCCAAAATGAGGCTATCCTCATCCTCGTCGCCAAGCTGAATGATTTCTTCTGGTTGTGCTTTACGTTTCTTGCTCGTGGAAGTGGATTGCTATGGCATGATATGTTGTATACCAACAATAGTACATAATTATTTCAATATTGTTGTGTCACTACCAGTATTATGATGCATTGGTGAACCATCTGACATACGCTGTGATGGGCTTTCGATTTGTCGCGAAGTTTTTGCAAACGGCCTTTCGGACCTTTGCATGCGGATAATATCGTCGGACACAGCGTTATTCGCCGTTTCTGTTTGATCGACGACGACGATCTTTTTCGCAGAATAAGTTGAGGCCAAAAAATAATAATCATCTCCTAATTTTATATTATTATTTCCTTCTGTACCTCCCAAAATGGAAGTTAAAATTAAAAACATGCTTTTGACTTTGGTCTGGATTGCCCTTTTGGTATTCATCGCTTGGCCATTGGCCCTGTTCCTCTATGCGTTCTACGTTTTCCTGCAACCTTTTGCAGGAATTCCTGGTGGACTGGGAGATCTCATCAGGGAATGTACTAGGTTTTTGGCGAGGTAAGTCTTATTATCCATAGTAGCCCCTTTTGTTTGTCATTGTGAGTGCAGACGGAATGCCTTGGTACTATTCTCATAATTGTTGGTTTGCATTGCATTGCATTGTGTGTATATATATGATTCCTACAGATTCTGCACTTGGCCAGAGACGATTGGAGAGGCAATCTTTACTTGCAGCGACACTTTTCCAGCACCTCGCAGTCCAACGTATACTACCATCCTATGATGAGGCTTCCCGCGCTAAGAAGATAATCTAGTCTCCTCATCTTGACAAACGTGCACTATATGTTTTGTGTTCCGACCATTCGCAACAACAATAGGCACACACAGAGTGAACAGTCATAGTTGGACGAGTGGCAACCTTAAATAATAGTGAATGATTTTCAAAGTCTGCGGTATACTATAAATAATACGAATGGATGCATATCCGCACTAGCGTAGTAATTTATTCCCGGTGTGCTTTCTCGTGGATTGGCATGGTGCATGGTGTCATAGTATGAACCATGCACCTATTCAGACGAAGCAGCATATGCTTTTTCATCGATCATTATTTAGCAACCGAATCTCTCCGAGCTCTTCGTCTACAATTGCTACTCTCGAGGCCAATACATCCTCGCCAAGTAGCATGTCTTTAGTCTGTATCCTTGTTTCTGGGCCTCCAGCAGAAATGTTTTTATCATCCTCCTTCTTGGTGGTGGCTTGCATATGGACATTCTTAATGTCACCACCAGCTTTTTCATCCTCATTTTTATCAATTACTAGTGATGTCACACCACCGCTATCGACTGGTATTGTCTCTGGTATTGTCACGTCCTTACTGTCATCGTCAAATCGCTCCACAGCTTGTTCGGCTGCCCGCTCCGTCTCCAATCGATCCATCTCCTTGGCGGTGTCCAATGCGACCTGACATTCTTCCAAATTCCACCGCAATTTCAACTTGTGTTTTTTCCATTTCGTCAATCTTCTCTTGCAAGGCAATTATATTCGCGCACATGGTAGTGTTGAATCTCGACCAATGCTTTTTTGTGTTCAGCTTGCTTGATCATACTGATTCTCCTTGCATTATTGGTCATACATGCCGTAGATATACGGAATCAAAAGAATCGGTTGTTCCTCGGACAGTTTGCGAAGATGATCAATGTAAGACTGCAGTTCTGGTGGCGACAAGATTTCTTTTCCGCCGTCGTCGGTGCAGATGATCCGCCGGTCCTCCAGGAGGCCAACTTCCTTTCGTAATCGAGCATGGTAACACAATATCTTTTTCAAATCATGCTTTTCTCTTCAAGATTGGGAGAAGCGGAAAAATGGCGCCTAGTCGAGAGTCATCCTTATGTTTCTCAATAAGGGTCTCCAGTTCCCAATATATTGGCCAGAACAAAGATAATGCCTCCGCAAAAAGAGGCCCACAACCCATCACCAATGCTACGTTTGGATTCACAACCTGGTCGTCGTCAACATTGAACGTCGCCCACCGCATTCGTTGTGACATTGGAGTATTTTCATCAGTAGTAGTCATGGCAAGTCTGTTGATCTCATTGGAATGCAAGGGAGGGATTACTGATGGATGGATATACACGTCGGTATGGGTATCGAAGAATGACGACAGTAGTGACAAAGTTCCAGTTAGTCGGACTAGTCAAAAAAAGGAGTTGTTTTAAAAATTCAATGAACGAGTATTGATGATGCCGTGATCGTGATGAGTTGACGTGATGTACCATTGACACGGTTTGATTCATTTTCACAAATGGCTCAAGTGTGAATCATTATATCTATTTTCCTACTTTCCTTGCCTTGGCATACCCCATTCCTTTCAAAAGTTCCACCACTTTCTCAGTATGCGTCCCTTGTATTTCTAAAACTCCGTCTACCAAAGTACCACCAACGCCCAGCTTGCCTTTTAGAGTTTTTAGGATTTTTTTCTTGTCATCAATCGCGGTAGCATTCATTCCTTGAACGATTGTCACAGTTTTGTTGCCTCGGTTTCCTCGAACGACTTGAACCCCCTGCTGAGACGGATGCAAAGTGGTGGCATTTACTCCTGCTCCACTATCAACTTTTCCATTTCCAGTTCGTTGACGTTCTTTTTTGGATAAAGTCTTGGTTTCCTCCGAGATCTGTTTCTTTTTGTTCTTCTTTGGCTTTCCCAAGCTGCCAGTGGGCCGTTTGACATTCATGTTGCCATCCGAAGAGATCGACGCCCATTCCTTGTTGTTGTTGTTGGCATCATAAAGCGGAATGACGCTGCCTTGGTGGTGTCTGACATTTGGCTGCGGAAGAAATGCGTACACAAACGAGCAGGAGCACAGGAGTAGAGCAATTGAACAGTATAGTCTTGCAATCGGGGACATTCTACGGCTTCTCCATTGGATGTTCTGTGGTGTTAGTGTGTGGTTGAGGTGGTCGTCACTCAATTTTTACACACTAGTGACTGGTCGGAACTGAGAACGTCAGTGGGTCACGAATGTCTGGTCTGTCCTCCATCCAGCCTCTTCTTTGAATGACGGTTGATGGATGATGACGATCAACAGAATGATTCATTCTCCTTCTGCTTATTTGGAACATCTTCGCTGGTTTGAAGACCTTTTGGAGTGCCTTTTAGCTAAGAACAAACACCACAGCACCAGTATGATTTTCCGACAGCTTTTCCTGTCACTTGCGGCGCTGCAATGTGCTAGTGCCTTTGTCACAAATAACTGCTACAAATTCGAAACTAGAACGCTATCGGCTTCCACAGCAGATGTTGGAGTCCAGAGTACAACCCAAGGGGATGCGCCCTTTGACGTTGATTTCGAAGCTTATTCGAAGGGATACAAGACCGTCTTCACTGAGGTGCCTGCTGCCGAGTGCACCGCTCTGCCTGGAGGAAAGATACCTAGCGATTTGAAAGGAACCTACTACCGTGCTGGACCTGCCATGTTTAGTGCCGGATCCATTGCTCCTCCCAAAACCTCGATTATCCAACCGCGAGATGGACCACCAATTCCCGATGGACAAAACCCAAAGAGAATGGTTCAACATCCATTCGATGCTGATGGCGGTGTACTCGGAGTTACATTCCAGGGCAATGGGGAAACAGCGACGGCTCGATACCGATACGTTCGAACCGTTGCATTCACCAACGAACGACGAAAGGGCCAACGGCTTTACAAGGCTATGGATTCCACCAGAGAACTGGGTCCAAATATCGGGGAAGGTATCGGAAATGACTTGCACACTCCACTGTTTCGGCATCACCTCTTGCCAGGTCTGAACAAGCTTCGAAAGAACACCTCGAATACGCGCACAATCTTTTGGGGAAAGAGGTTACTGTCCATGTGGGAAGGTGGACAACCTTTCAAGTTGGATGGTTTGGCGCTTTCCACAGAAGGTAGGTCTCAACTGGGTGGCGTTCTAAAGGAAGCGGATCCTATGGGGTCCAAAATGATTATTGATCCAGTTAAGAACCGTGCCCTATTGTATGGAGTCAGACAAGATGCCAAGAGTTCTGAGGTCACCGTATATGAATTCGACGATTCCTTCCGACTCATTGAACAGGAAGAGGGAAAGACTTCTCAGAATTTTCCAGGTTTTGCAATGATTTCCGACATGGCCGCGACCGAAAACTACTCCCTGTTTGTCCAACCACAAGTGTCGGCTGCCATGCAATTCTTGTTGGTCAAGGAGCCAGGCAAGGTCCTTACTGTGGAAAAGGCTCCAGCTACCCTTCATCTGGTCCCAAGAATTGGAAGTGGAAAGGAAGCCAAGAGCATATCGATCCCTTTCGATGGAGTTGTAGAAGCCGAAATGCAACTGATCAATGCCTACGAAGATGGCGACTCTATTACTTTCGATGCCATTCGTATGGATGGAAGTCACAAAACATCTAGCACCAAGGGAACACAATGGCCATTTGCCACAACTCGCGAAGAATACGTCAACACTGCAGCCAAGAGATCCTTGTGGAGATATACTGTCGACCTGAGATCCAACTCTGTCTCGAAAGAAATGTTGACCGATACCCAGTGTTTCTTTGGTGTAGTAAATCCAAAGCAAAGTACCCTGCCGCACGGTCCAATTTACATGGCCATTGGAGCTATGGGAAATGAAGTATCACCACCCCAAGGTGTTGCAAGATTTGACCCAGTTACCAAGACTATGGATTCATGGATGCCAGAGGGATTTGAATTTTGCGGTGAACCAATGTTTGCACCAAAGGAAAATGCAGCATCAGACGATGACGGGTACATCTTGACTGTCTTATTTAACGGAAAGACGGAACAAAGCGAAATGGTCATCCTTCAGTCTACAGATATCTCGGCTGGTCCTGTTGGCCGCATACCTCTTGGTGTTGGCATCCCGCACGGATTGTACGGTTGCTTTGCAGCGGATGCCGAGGCAACATGGGATGGAGAGGAAATCCTAAGAAGAGCTAAGTTGGCAGACAAGATGGAGAGCCGTGGGAACAGGTGGAACGAAGTAAAGAGTGACTTCTCCGGTTTGGGTCTTCGTCTTGATGATATGGAGGAATATTTTGGTGATTCATTCCTTTCATAAACCAATAGCTAGCAACATTGAGCTATATATACTAATGGAATTGTATTGATTATTGTGAACATTTTTAGTACTCCTAGCCGTTCCATCATAGTATTATTATTGGCAGAAAGTACAGAATGGGGCCATCATATTTTCAATTGCTTCATAATGAATTCTTTCAGAGCCGATGGATCTTTTGCTTCACGGAATGCCTTTAGTAACTCCAGCATTTGGTGAAGATTATGTGCAAAGAGCAAGATTTCCGCCAGAATTTCCTGGGCTACTACCAAGTGATGTATGTACGCTCTGCTAAACATGGAATCAGCACAGGCAAGGCTAGTGCTCCTCCCTGGAACCAATGGTCTAGCGTCCCTTGCAAACACCTTACTGCTCATATCAATGCAACCATCGCTGTTGAGATCCAGTTGATCTTTTTTGTCACTCTTTACTCGTTTCGAAGATTCATCAAACGAAAAGTCAATGGCCAATGCATGTTTCTTCTTTGCCCACTGTTGTGGCAAGTTTGTTCCAATCATGTTGACAGCAGATCCAGACGCAATCTCCAAAACTTCCACCAAAGAATCAGTAGACAACATTGTCACATTTTCATATTCCAAACTTTCCAGAAGCTTCTCCAATTTGCTGTGCCACTTGCCGATAAGTGCTATTCCCGATGCCTTTTTATTGTCGGACTGGGCAATTGCCAAGGATGCAGATGGGTTGTTTATCAGATTTGGAATGAGGGCAGGTGCCCACAACTTTCTATCCGTTTGACCAGAGCATGCTTTTCCTAGATCCTCGAACCATTCCTTGTTTCGTTGTTCTGCCTTTTCTTGTCGCTTGGCATTTCCTTCCTCATCATCAATGTCAAAGAGCGACAGAGTATACTCCGCATCCAAAGCGAGGCTTGCCTCGTTATAGGCCCCGGGCGTTAGTTTTTGTCGACCATGTGGTGTCCAAACAGATACGCCCTTGTTCGTACAAGTATAAGATCCCTTCTTGTTATCTGCAATGGGATCAAAGGTCGGGACTGTAATTCGATTGTAAGGTTCCAGCCAGGAATCCGGTTTGGTCGGCAAAAAGCCATAACCACTTGGCTTTTTGGCCACTGATGCTTTGGTACTCGATGAGGTCTCCAAATTTCTGTTCTTGTTCTTTTTATGGACTTTTTTCTTTTCTTGAAAGACGGGCATGACACAAGTGTCACGGACTGCCAATCCAATCCACAAGTTGTCATCACTTGCCGGAAAGTATTTCTCGAGTGTCGATGGTGTCATGTACGGGACACATCCATCAATTCCATGAAGTAGAAGCCGTAGCTTTCTACCATTCTTTGCCTCGCTGTCTATTGGTCGATCTCTTTTCATAATGATGGATGTTGCTGGGTTGATAGGTTTGATTTTTGGTGTGGGTATAGTTGGATCGATTTTGGTTGTTGGTCTCTCGCAATCTTCACTTCTCTGTTTCTCCACACATGACACGGACAATTGCAAGACTGAGACCATATCTACAGTACTCGTACAACTACTGTCGGTACATTCATCACATTACCGTGGTCAATCCACAAGAAGCCGTGAATGCCATCTTCAGAGAGTAATCACTGTTTCCATGACTATAGGTGCGTTATTATTTAAGAAATCTAATTTACACACTGTTCCATGTAAAACTAGTTGTTTTCTTTCCAAATGACAGCCACTCTCACCTCTATACTCCTCCGCGGTCTCGCCGTTGGCAGTGAGCTGGGATCAGCAAAGGCCGAGTGAATGGCAAAACAAGAAATGTTTTCGTCACTACCGGTATCAATCACTCCCAAGGAATCCCACTGTTTGATCAACATGGCTTCGTCATGGGTCATTTCTGGAAAGTACGCCCATTTATGGCTAGGATTGTGGGCTACAAAGTAATTTTCTCCCACTCGATCTGGATAATGAATGGAAAGAGTTCGTAAATCGTCCATGACGACATTTTGGGCATCGGCACAGGCCAAAGGCAATTCCTGAACTGGGTTTTCGGGGTCAATGTTCCTCCAAACATTGATCAATGCAAATCGGCGTTTGCCCTCGAGTGCTTCTTGGACCATTGTTGGATCTAATAGGGACTCTTGGCCTGCTTGCAACAATCGATCTTTCATGACATCGTTGGCCTTTGGTCGCTGTGCTAGGTCGTGCAATCGCTTGGGTCCGGATACTTTAGTGTAATCTCCATGCACCATACCTATGGGCACTTGTGCCTTGCTACCACCACCACCTTTTAATTCCTCTTGCCTCTCTTCTCGACTGATACGAATGTTATGATCAAAGGCCTTTGCGACTTGGACATCAGGACCCAGTATCTTGTGCAAGAGTTGTTCACATGTTGGATAAAAGTTATCAATCACTTGATCTGTATCCAAAAAGTCGCTAACAGGTACCGTGTTCTCTTCTTGTACTGTTGTTGTCAAATCGACCAGTTGATATCCATGTTGGTGCAGTTTTTTCTGTATCAAACGCCCATTGGCGATTGGAATATCGACTGGATGCCATGTCGCACCTTGCATGCCCGAATCGGTTCCATCCTTGTGACGATGAATATCAATTTGTTTCGTATCAGGTGTGACGTAGTTCATGCGACCTGTCACGGATATTAAAACACCATTGTCGCCATCATTCGATCTCTCCACAATGGGGTTTTTCGATGGCAAGATTTGGGGATAGGCAGAGGAAGTTGTTGTTATTGGTGCACCGGACGATGTCGTGACAGATGATGACGACGAGGTAGGATTAGTCATGGCCACGGCGAGTTGATTATGCAGATAGAAGGTATTGAGAATAGTAAGGATAAGGAATATTAGATGCATGAGGAACTATAATCTGTGTGTCCTTGTCGTGTTTTGCTGTGGATTTTAGAGATTGCTTCTTTCGAATTCCCAAGAAAGTTCCACCATCGGAAGAGGAAGCATTCCCGCGAATTCATTCCCGAGTTAGAAGTCGAATGAGTCGTTTCAAGTCATGACACCTGAAATGAACCGCAAAGCAAAAATAAACTATTAATACGGAGGGGACGACACATCTCTCATACCCAAAGATTTAACTCCAAACTATCACCATCTTCATCAGCATCATTCCATTATGGATCTCTCATCGTATTCCATTCCCGACAAGGCTGTCGTGACTCATCTAGACTGGACAGCCAGCGTTGACTTTGACGCCAAGATCATTCAAGCCAAAGCCACTTATTCGGTCGTGGCGCAAGAAAGTTGCCAGGAGTTGTGTTTGGATACTTCCAAATTAAGGATTCAAAATATCACAAACCTCGAGGGAGAACCTCTGGATTATACAATGAGTCCTCCTGTTCCAGGAAAGCTCTATTTGGGACAAAAACTGACTGTATCTTTGCCACCGCACAAGAATAAGGATTGCAGTATCACCATTGTCTATCAAACGACCAACGAATGCAGCGCCGCCCAGTGGCTACCGCCCTCTCAAACAGCTGGCAAGAAATACCCTTACTTGTTTACCCAATGCCAAGCCATTCATGCTCGTTCCCTACTTCCGTGTCAAGATCGCTGCGGGGTCAAAATGACTTACAATGCGACCGTCACGGTTCCGTCCTGGGCCACGTGCGTCATGTCCGCCTTGCTGGAAAGCAGCAAAAATGATGGGAAGGATACAAAAGTATACACGTGGAAGCAACCCGTTCCCATTTCGTCCTATCTCTTTGCCTTGGCGGTCGGCGAGTTGGAAAAGATTGACTTGTCCAAACGATGCGCCATTTGGTCCGAACCAGGTACCATCAAGGCGGCCGCCTATGAATTTTCCGAGACGGAAGAATTCTTGGCACTGGCGGAAAAGATTGCGGGAAAGGAATATGTTTGGCAGCGATACGACCTCTTGTGTTTGCCACCATCCTTTCCCTATGGCGGAATGGAGAATCCTTGCTTGACCTTTGTGACTCCAACACTGTACGTTTTGCTTGCAAACAAAAAGAACTGGAAGGACCTCGCCATTCATTTTCACTTGACTCACTCACTCATCCTTTCCTTTCTTATGCTTCTGTATCCATCAAAATCAATAATATTAGACTCGCGGGAGACAAGTCGCTCGCCGATGTTGTGGCCCACGAGATTGCCCATTCTTGGACGGGCAATCTGGTCACCAATGCAACCTGGGACCACTTTTGGTTGAATGAAGGGTGGACCACTTGGTTTCAACGTAAGTTAGTCAAATAGATTGCAAAATGGGCAGTGCTGCAGGTAATCGGGTGATTTCAGGATCTGAAGAAAGTTTACTGACGTGATCATTCTCGTCATGACCTCTTATTTACAGGCAAGATTATGGTGGCGATTAAAAAGAACCCAAAGTTCCTCGATTTTGATGCCATTGATGGCCGAAAACACTTGGGAGATGCCATAGAGGAAATGGAATCAAAGAATACCAAATTGGTCTTGGACATTGGCGATGGGGATCCAGATGATTCCTATTCGGCTGTGGCCTACGAGAAAGGATTCACCTTTTTGCTCTATCTAGAACGATTGATGGGAACAGCACAATTTGAAAAGTTCTTTCAGGCCTATATTGGACGATTTGCTTCTCAGACACTTACATCCGAAGATTTCAAGGCCTTCTTCTGCGAGTTCTTCGAGCACAAGGAAGAAGCACTCAAGAGCATTGATTGGGACTTGTGGTTTTATGGGGAGGGAATGCCGCCTGTCTTGCCGGAATTGGACCAAAGCATGGCAGCAGCTTCGCAATCATTGGCAGACCAATGGTTGGCCGTTGATCGAGAGGCCAAGGCACCACCCGCCAAAAATGAAATGGAGTATTGGTCCTCTCTTCAAATTACTTGTTTCTTGGATGATCTAGCTCTAAAAATTGGTGACCAGCCGCTCAAGCTCCCCACATTGAATGCTATGGATGCACTGTACAAGTTTTCGGAAAGCCGCAATTCGGAGATCTTGTATCGCTACTGTGAACTAGCCATACCAGCTGAAGATGAGTCGGTCATTCCAGTGGCAATCCGCTTCATTACAACACAAGGTAGAATGAAGTTTGTCCGACCACTCTACCGGGCTCTCTTCAAAACCAAGATGGGCAAAAAGCTGGCTGTTGACACCTTTTTGAAGAACAAGGATTTCTACCACCCCATTGGTGTCAAGATGGTTGCTGCTGATTTGTCAAGTGACTACAAGAAAAGTTCGACAACAACTCTGTCGGCTTCTTTGGACAAGTGGCTCATTCCAGGCGCACTTGTGGCAGCAACCTTTGCAGTGGTGGCCTTTCGCACTCGTCGTTGATCAAAGTACATCAGTTTAAAATTACCTATATACCGTATCAATAATACTCGTAAGACAAAAGATAATTCAATGTGATGATGTACAGCACAGGATGCTATTAATTCCTCCCTACAGTACTTGTACCATACGACAGAGTAAAGATACCGGTACTACCGCACACGTGCGAACTGTATCATTTCTTTTTACATGTATTCAGTTGGCATCTGTCCAAAATGAGTCTTTCGAAATAAATACTTATGGCAATGTTTATTTCGAGTCACGAATTCCATAAATGGATAACCAAAGGTTTCACTTCTAAAGCATGTCCAACAGGTCATTCTCAGAATGGAATTTGGATATCTTTTTTAATCTCTGCTGTGGACAAAAGCAGGTAGCGCCGTCAATACGATTTCTACAAGCTCAGATCGGCTCAGCTTTCAGAATGGAAGGCGACGATAACAAAGCACCAGCAGCAGCGCGCAACGATGTTCCTCCTCCAAAGGATGCCAACGATAGTGATCCGGCCGCCAGCAGCCTGTCAAACAATCAAGAAGGCGAGTCTGCAGCTTCCACCAACGACTCTCCTCCTCTAAACAATGTCACCACCAGTGATCCAGTTACTGAGGAGCAAAACATTCAAGAAGGTGATACTGAAAATTCCGTAATCAACACTTCTCCAAATGAGGGCGGCGTCAGTGTTCCTAATACTGTTGCTTCTCGTGACACCATGATTGAGCCAACCAGTGATAACGCAATCGGAGATAAAGATATTCGCAAGGTTCTTGATGCTAAAGAAGGTAAAGTGGCTAAAGGAAGTGGTGCGGATGTCAAACCTTCGACTTCCACACCAGGGGCATTTAGTGCATCCGGCACTAATGCCACCAAACCAGACAGAGCTCTTCGCAAAAAGAGTGATGGTACCACAGACGCACAAGATGCATCGAATTCAGAAGAAGCTACTGTCGGAGTTGAGTCTGTCAATTCAATGCCCTTGCGGGAAGAACGCAAAAAGGCTCGCAATCAAGCTCGAGACCATGACCCATCTGACAAACTCGTAGGTGACGTTTCCGAACAGTGTGAAACAGTCGGTTCGGAGACGGATGGAGTAGAACTAGAAGCCGAGTTGGTGGGCGAAGTGGATACTCGAGCTGCGATCCAGGAAGAAGTTCAGCAGCAAACAGAAGCGATGCGACAAGAACTTCAAGCCGAGAATGAACGCATTCGCAAGCAAATGAAAACGGAAAATCAAGAAGTCGTCCAAGCAACCCAAGTCGTCCAGGGAATTTCCAAGTCAACCAAAGGGATTGTGATCGCTCTGGTTGTGGTTGTAGCGGGAGTGGTGGGTGCCTATTTTGGGACAAATGGATTTCAATCCTCTTCAAAGGCCGCTGCAATCCCCGAAACAACCTCACAACTGTTCTACGCCGCTCCAACAACTGACGATTGTCTGGCGATTGCCGCCGGCAACCCAGTTTCTGGACAGGATGAAATGTTTGTGAACGGATATTTGGTGATTCTCGAAATGATATATTCTGGTGAGATTGCCTTCGAGAACCTTTCGGCAGATCTTCGACAAAAGATACAAGAAATCCTAATGCCAATTATGGCAGGGTGTGCCGACGGTTCAGATGACCAAACAAGTACTGCAAATGTTGATCGATACTTGAGGAATCAACAGCCAATCAGGCATGTAATGAAAGAGAAGCCAAATCTTCGGAAGCTGAACACGAACCCCAACCGATACGCAATTGGAAATGGTCTCGCTTTTCTGCCCAGTATAGTCGATGATGCGATTTGTGAAGATGCTCTCGATACAAATGAATCATGTTCCGTCATTCATGCAGCAATGGACCTTTACTTGAAGGATGACACTGTGGCTTTCGTTGCCGCGATATCTCTGCTTCAAGATGCGTTCCAAGGTAATTTGGCTACAATTCTTGGTCTTCAGGATGCATACCCTAATCTTGTGGAACTGAAGCTGAAAGAAATCGACATTAGGGACCAGGCACAATCCCCTACTATGGCGCCCTCTGGCCTTCCAGGTTCCAACGCTTCGGTTGCACCAGTCGTGGAATCGGCGGGTCCAAGCGACCTTCCATCTGCAGGGCCGAGTGATCTTCCATCTGCAGCTCCAAGTGATCTTCCATCGGAAGCTCCAACTCTAGCGCCAATTCCAGGTCCGACGCCCAACCCGACTCCAGGCCCAACACCGCCTCCAACCCCAAATCCGACGCCAGAGCCAACGCCAGGACCAACACCAATTCCTACGCCTAGAGCTACTCCAGGTCCTACACCAGGGCCTACGCCTAGTCCTACCCCAGGTCCGACTCCAATTCCAACACCGGCGCCCGTTCCAGGATTGACTCCAGATCCCACTATTGCCTCAACCCCTCCTCTAACGCCTGGTCCGACATTGGACCCGACTCTATTTCCAGTGGCACCTCCAACACTGGAACCATCAGCTGGTCTCACTCCAGTGCCCACACCACCTCCTACGCCTGGACCATCATTACCCCCCACTCCATCTCCCACACCTGGTCCATCACTACCACCTACGCCATCTCCCACACCTGGCCCATCACTACCACCTACTCCATCTCCCACACCTGGTCCAACACTACCCCCCACTCCATCTCCCACACCTGGTCCATCACGACCACCTACTCCATCTCCCACACCTGGTCCATCACTACCCCCCACTCCATCTCCCACACCTGGTCCAACACTACCCCCAACCCCACCCCCGACTCCAGCGACTCCAAACCCAACCCAAAATCCGACTTCAAACCCAACGCCAGGCATTACATCATCACCAACCTCCAAATGGGAACGAATTTTGGCGGGTCACGAGCCCTATCACCCTCAAGCCTATAATTGGGTATCGACTATAGACACATGGGAACCCGATCCTGCTGCAAGTAACACAGATGAACAATGCCTTGAAAGATATGCTTTGACAGTTATGTATTATTCATTCCTTGATACAGCCTATTGGGCCAGCCGTTGGCTGCAACCTACGCATCACTGCAATTGGAGCGGAGGGGGGCTAAATTGCGGTTCTTCAAACACAGTTAACATGATGAATTTTCATGACTATGATGTAACCGGGTACGTTTCGCTGATCAATCTATGGACTTTGTATTTCACGTTTCTAATTATATCTTGCATCTTTTCCTTCTTCTCGATCCTTAGCCCCATCCCCACCGAACTGGTAAGTAACTGCAAATATTAGTCTATTGCGGCGATCATCCAGAGCTCATTTTTATGTTTTTTTCCTCATCGCTGGAACACAGGGAATATTAACAAATTTGGCAAGCTTGGATTTGTGTAAGTGGGGGAAATGACTGCACTGGGTGCGATTGAAGTTTGGCTGCTCACCTAATTGCGATTTGCTTTCATCTATAATAGGGGTCAATAGCCTGGAAGGTACGATTCCAAGGTCCATTGGGGTACGTAATATCATTACTGAACTTGTTCCAACATCGCTGCAAGTCAAATGCTGACCTCTTCATATTTGTATCAACAATAGTCGTTGACGCAATTGACATATTTGGATTTAGCGGAAAATTCGTTGAATGGTAAGCATTGGAACCAAAGGCATTCTCGCGCTGGATCTTCTTGAAACTCACTAGTCCATTGTAAAGGCCCCATTCCCTCGGAGATTTTCGCTTTGACGCGATTGGTAGAGTTGTATCTATTAGATAACTTATTGACAGGTGAGAATTCGGAAGTTGCTCGGTCAAGCGTCGGATTTATTTCTGGTTCTATCGTAGCACTCATTCTTTATTGACACCAGGAACACTGCCTACACGGATTGGGAATATGTCGCAGTTGCAGACATTTGAGATGCGTAAGTCCGCCACAAAATTGCAACACAATCAGCTGCAGAATACATCTGTGCTCAACTTTGCCATTTCTATTGAACAGGAATAAATTACATTGGAGGGACAATTCCTACAGAGATTGCTTTGACACCTCTGAAAGTTTTGGATTTGAGTGAGTCCATCGCCAATTTGATCGTTTCAATAGGACTGCTGTTTCAATGTTCGCGCTCAACTATTCTTGTCGTTGTCACCACCAGCTATAAATCAAATGACTGGCACACTTCCATCACTCCCATCTACTCTGACTGCTAACAACTGCTACTTGGGTAAGTTTTGAGTTTTCGCTGCAGTTCACTCTACCGTCTTTCTAATTTCCATTTTTATGTTTCTGGTGGAATCGCAGCACAAAACTTTGTCGGTAGACCGCCGGAGCGAAACTGCTTTATAGACCCGTGGTATGGATTCCCAATCTCTAGCGCTGGCGTATGCAATGTAGATGACAACTGCCCCACCAGCTAGCTGTTCCCTCTACCGTACCGTTATACTGGCACTTGTCACAAAAGCACTGGTGACTTCTTTACACAATTGGCCGAATCCAGACGAAGTTGTGGCACCAACCAATTGCAGTGGCGGCCTTCCATATTCGCACTGATTAACGCATACTTGATTTCATATTCTTTTCAAATGCCGCTTCCAAAATCTCTCCGCATCAGCTAGCTGTTCCCTCTACACTGGCACTCGTCAGAAAGAAATCCTGATCCTCCAGTTTCCTCCAATGTGCCGTTTGACCGGCTATTCTAGTCTGCATACCAGATTCTAACATCCATTTGCAAGTAGCTGATCCATCTGGATGAGGTGTAACCTCTGCTTCTTTGAATCCAACGTATTGGCACAACAGCGGGTGTGCTGCCTTGTAGATGGCTTCTTTTAGGCTGGTGATAAATGCATTTTGTTGTTAGAACACCTTCGCATGGAATCATTCTGTGAGACACAACCCTATCATATGTGCGTACCTAAAGCGCAAAAGAACTTCTTCTTCGGCCGAGATGCCTGGAAGCTTTCCCAAGTCCATCATTTCATCGTCGGTTAACACTCTTTTGCCAATGTTCTTTTTCCCTGCTCTGGAAGTGTATTCCAGATCTACACCGACACCAGCTAAGGTTTGATCACGAGAGACCAAAGCAGCTCCATAACCCCCCTTGTGCGAGATGGAACCAAAGGTACCCAAAGGAAGTTGTGGCCTACCATGCGTATCCCTAAGAATTGGTGCGTGGTCCTTGTAACTACTACCATCCAATGCCAACCGCATGGACAAACGCCCCAACCAAAACGATTCTTGTCTTGCCAAAGGAAGCGTCATTCCGTGTACCAGCTCGTCGGGATGATAATATTCATGCGCCCAATTCGTTGGGTCGGCAAGAGATTTGGCAGAAATGATGATTTCCTTGGCATCATCACCCTCCAACCCAACACCGACACAACGCCCTTCTGGTAACTCGATATCCAGCCATCGCGCCAATCCACTTGACTGAGACAATGATTCCATTTGTTGCGAGAAGACTGCCTGAAGAGAAGTTTTCGGTCGAGGTCGACGCAGACTTCCAACATGATGATGATTCGACAGTAGGATTCTCGAAGAACTGCCGATTGAAAGAGCTCGGGCTTCTCGAGCCAGCAGGAATGCCATAATATAGAGCTTCAACAATGCAAGTATATTGTTCGAGATGAATAGCGCAGTAGAAGCAATTTGTAGCATTTCTGCTTTAACTTTTGCTGCCGTTGCTGTGTTTCGTGCTTTTATTGGTTTCAGTTATCGTCCTTTGTATTGTGTACAGGCTATTTTCGATTGATTCAACCGACTACAAAACACCCTCCCACACCTTTCAATACCTCAAACTCAACCTGCCCATTTTGTCTATTCAGGTTGTCCTTCGAATAGACAATTAACCACCAGAGGTTGAAAGGTTTCCAAAATGAGCTCCACCAGTGCCTTTGTTGCAATCCTTCATTGCGAAGCAAAGAACTGCGAAGAACGAGCGAAAAATCTCCGAGCGACAGCAAATGCTATCGAAGCAAAAGCTCCAGTAGCCGGTAAGTCATAAGTCTGACATGTGAATGATATCCTTGCTAATGGATCTTCATCTGATGCCAATGACATGGAATGATATCCTTTTTTATCAATTCAATCTAACGGCTAATCCTAATCTCAAACTATGAAAGGACCCGCACCCGCGGCGAAGAAACGCAAGCGTGATGAAAAGTCAAAGCGAGTCCATCTGGCTTATTCCGAATTTATCAAGGTTAACATTGAGCAGTTCAAAAAAACCCACCCTGATGTTCCTGCGCGCGAGGTCGTATCCATAATCTCACGACAATGGACCAATACCAGTGAGGAAGAGAAGAATATCTGGAGATTTCGTGCGGAACAGCTGGACATGGAACAAACGGAGAACGGGGATGATGATGATGATGATGATGATTCGGACAACGAGCATGATATAGGAGGCGGTGAGGATGAGAATGCCGACAAACCCCCCAGCCTAAAAGATCCACCACCAGATTCGGACGGGATATTGGCAGAAGTTTAAGAGGTTCCAGATTGAAAGATGTCGAAAGTGGTTTCAATCAAATCAATCCAACATGTACAATACTATTGTAAGACTACTCATATGCACAAAAATGAACAGGGTATGGTTAACAATGCCGAGCTACATAGGTTCTCGACTTAGTCCGAACTTGTGCCGTATGTTGTAGATAGTCTTTGGGACAGGATTTCTTTGATTTTCTGTTCTCTCTGCCTCTTTTCTCTGTCGTCAAGAAAAGGTACTACCCACAAGACTAACAATATCAATGTTTGAATCACGTTAAGCTCCGCCCAATACCCATTACTGCATTCCTCTGCTTCCATCGTATTCTCATCTTGTAGTCGACAGTTTCCCTGCACTAGTACATCCAAAGGGTAAAGGAACAACTGCGCAACGCCTCCCAATCCAAATCCAATGCCCAACAGCACTCCAAAATACTTAAAGCCTAGTCGGGAGGTTAACGACGAAATGTACACTGGGTAGAGAAACTGTCGAAATAATGTATACACCCAAAAGCTAATGGTGTAGCAAATGATACTCTCGGCACCAAAGATGAGCAACAGCATTTGCAATTGCCCCATGATCAGCGTGACGAACGTGCAAACTTCCACTCCAAGTTCATCAATCAACCAACCAATTGGAATGGAGATAAAGGCACCCGTCGCCATGATGACCGTAAAGTTTCGAGCCAGCTGGTGCTGAGTTGCGGCGTTGTATATTTGAGCGTCGGCAAGCTGCACAAAAAGAGGAGTTAGTCGAGCGTGGGATCGAGAGTGAATCAATCGAGAAAAGCATCATCCTATACTGGCAACAGTACGTACCTCTGTGGAGATGGAAACCACATAGAAATTCGTGGCAAAGCTGGTAACCATAAAGACGAAGGTCGCCCGTAGATAAGTCGGACTGAGGATCTGCACAAAAAAGGGCTGATCTTTCAACCCCACAGCCTTGACAAGCTCCTTATCGTTGGCTTCCATGGCTTTCTTGACAGCAAGGAACGACTCGCTCCTTGTAAACATTTTTTTTTCATCTCTCAAGTACGAGTTCAGTGGCTGCTCAATATGCAGTGAGGAAGTAGTCATGGCAGACTCAATGTGAGGGTGATGATGATGATGGTGATGATGCCGATCTGTTGTAGCTGCCAGGGCATCCTCCTCTCCCTCGTGAATTGTCAACAGCTGTTTCGTTTTGGTTGAGAGCAATTGCTTCTCTTCTTCTGTGATATGGTCCGCTTGGTCATCATGCGCATGCTGCTTGTAGGGCTCATCAGGATACAGAATCAAAGATCCGATCCCAAGAAGAAAAGCAATGCCTGCGTACAATCGGAATAATTCAGGTAGCGTCAAGTTCCACTGACTCCACAAGTCGTCAAATATTGCAAAGAGCGAGAAGCTGAAGGCAACACTTCCAGTTAAGGTTGCCATGACCAAGTTTTCATTGCCAGGGAACAAATTGGAAATGTGAATGATGCAGGATGCAACGCCTGGACCGCCCAGCGATATCAAGAGTGCGGCTGCTACAAAGCCCCAGAAGTGCGAAGTCGAGGCAAAGACGAGTGACCCAACCGTGACTGTCATGCTGGCAACCGTGGCGGCCACTCGAGGTCCGAAACGATCGAGCACCATTCCCAACAGAAATGGCGAGAACATGTTCAAGCTAGACGCCCAACTGAATATTCGTGCCGTCTCCTTGAGATTCAAACCAGCTCCTCCCTCTTCTAGGGGTGCTCCAAGCAGTGTTTGATCAATGCTCGCCCAACCAAACAAAACTCCTCCCAACAATCCATTGTGAAGCACAGCAAAACCGACTAGCATGAGGCGGGTCGCAAATGAAGGCAATAAGTCATCTTTACCCGTTTTTCGCTTTTGCAAACATCCGCATACTCTTTCTTCTTTCCGTATGGAAGTATCTGTACCTTTCATTGCTAACTACAAGGCTGGCTGTAGTTGTGTATGTTTTGTGATGGCAATTGATTGTATAATGAAAAAGAGAAGCCCGTTGGTGAATTCCGAGAATCCACGTCTGTGTGTCGCCTCGTGGAACGTGTCTTCTTATTACATCGTATAAAGCTCACTCCTTCAACACAAGCAAAACAATGACGGCACAACAATCAACATGACGGACAGTCCTCATGTTGCTGGCGAATACCACATTCACGGGGAACAATCCCACAATGGGTCACTGAAGATCACACAATACACCTATCTTCTTGCATTTTGTGCCGCGTTGAATTCCTGCAATTTGGGATATGACATAGGCGTCAGTACCAATGTTGGACCAATGATTGAAGAAGAATTTGGTCTTTCTTCCAGCGAACGAGAATTGTTTATTGGTAGTCTGAATCTATGGTCCATTTTTGGTAGCTCCATGGCTCATTGGATCTGTGACACCTATGGACGGCGGAGTTCGTTCATTGTTGCTGCTCTCTTTTTCATTGTCGGAGTCATTATCATGGGTCTCAGCAATAGTTATGCCATTCTCATGATTGGCAGATTCTTGGTGGGATTGGGTGTCGGATTTGGTTTGGCCATTGATCCAATCTACATTGCCGAAGTCACCCCAGCCCAATATCGTGGAGAGCTTGTCACCTGGTCCGAGATTGGAATCAATGTTGGCATTGTTCTTGGATTTGCAACAGGATTTTTCTTTTATGGATATGAGCAGTCAATACAGTGGAGGTTGATGCTTTGGATGGGAGCTGTCCTCCCGTTGGTCATGATAGTTTTGGTTTTGACAGTCATGCCCGAGTCACCTCGCTGGTTGATCAAGAAAGGACGAGAGCAAGAAGCACGACAAATTCTCGAGCGATTGTATCCCCCTGGAAATGACATTTCGGCAGTGATGAATGAAATTAAGGAAGCTCTAGATGTGGAAACGAGGGCCAAACAAGACAATGGGTGGGATGTCATATTATACCCAACCAAGGCCGTTCGAAGAATGCTGCTAGTGGGAGTTGGAATTGCCATCGCCCAACAATTGGTCGGTGTCGATGCCATTCAAAACTACCTCATCGATTTGCTGAAAGAGTCTGGTATCGATTCCGATCGTGGCCCATTGGAAGTTCTAATGGTATTGGGGCTCTTAAAGCTTGGTTTTGTTTTTGTTGGTGGGAAGTTGTTTGATACCCGAGGAAGAAGGCCGTTATTTCTCATCTCCTTAGCCGGTATGGCTTTGTCGTTGACGATAATTGCATATTCCAATGAAACCATGACAATTGTTGGACTTGCTTTGTACTTGTCATTCTTTTCCATAGGAATGGGACCTGGAGCGTGGCTCATACCATCGGAAGTCTTTGCTACCAGCATACGTGCCAAGGCGATGAGTGCTGCCACCATTTGCAACCGAGTGGCTGCAACTGTACTATCCTCAACCTTTCTCACTGCATCCGAGTACTTTGGATGGACCCAAGTGTTTTTAATGTTGGCGGGAATCTGCATACTGTTGATGATCTTTGTCTACTTTTTCCTACCCGAGACAAAGGGGCGTTCCTTGGAAGACATGTCCAAGTACTTTGCACAAATCACGAATGACACGTCACTCATTCAGGCTGAAATAAAGCTGAGCCAAAGCTTTCAACGGGAGTATGAAAGCTTTCAATTGGATCATGAGATTTCTTGAATGCTGTTGTGCTGCTGCTTACCAAGCACAACCATCTCTTTTGACCCTGTTTCAAAGGCTGCCATAGTTGGTTTCTTGTTCTGTACAATTTTTTCGCTCTAGAAATATCAGTATTAATGTTTTCTTTCATCGCTTCTTCTTTTAGTTATACTAGAACGCTCTCAATGCAGCCGGTACTAATGTCAACGAGTGAGTGAGTCTGTTGCTCTGCTACTAGGCGAAACGGGCTTCTTGGAACCAAAATGGTTGATCGGCACATCCCGCCACGCGCAAAGCGGGATTTCCGATACCGCACTTACACGTACGTACTTTGTACGAATGTGATGTGATCCATGTGATCGAACTTCGAAGAACAAAAGTTGCGGTTTGCGGTCTAAATTTTGACATGGGTTCACATGTCAAGACATGAATTCGATTGGAGGCGACTCAAGGTTATCTGACAGCATAACACAAATGATCTTCCGATCAAATCATTGCTTGAAATTTCAAAGAAATAATCGCGATGGCCAGCCAATCCCATGAGGCAACTTCTTCCAGCCAGAAGACCAGTCACAAAGGCGAGCACCATGGAGATCACTCTGATGGTACACTCCCGATCACCCGTGGAAGTTATGTCTTTTCTATTTGTGCTTGTATCAACTCTTGTAATCTAGGATTCGACCTTGGTGCCACCACCAACGTTGGGCCTTTGGTCGAAGCGCAGTTAGGCCTTACTACAGCACAGAGAGAGCTCTTTGTTGGCAGTCTCGACTTTTGGGCAATCGTTGGAGGTTTCTTATCCAATTGGATTTGTGACAAGTATGGAAGGCGTCGGTCTTTCATCACTGCTGCTCTTGGCTTCATTATAGGAAGCGTCATTACCGGTGCCAGCAACTCCTTCTTTATCTTGATGGTCGGCCGTATGTTTGTAGGTCTTGGAATTGGCTTTGGTCTTGCCATTGATCCACTCTACATCGCGGAAATCACACCAGCAGCTCACCGTGGGAAGATGGTTACTTGGTCCGAGATTGCAGTCAATATTGGCATTGTTTTTGGCCTGTTTACTGCCATCATGTTCTATGGTGTCGCTGACTCTCTCAAGTGGAGACTCATGCTATATATGGGAGCTCTGCTACCCCTCGTAATGATCTACCTTGTCTTGACGGTCATGCCCGAGTCACCTCGTTGGTTGGTAAACCGTGGCAGGTTCGACGAGGCTAAGGCTGTTTTACAGAAAGTCTACCCCCCTGGTTTCGATGTTGATGCAGTTATCGCCGATATCAAGGAAGTCATAGAGCGCGAACGACTTGCGGACCAAAATATAGGATGGGGTGCCGTTTTGTGCCCCACAAAAGCTTTTCGCAGAATGCTCATGGTTGGTTTGGGTACAGCTGTTGCACAGCAAGCCGTCGGTATCGATTCCATTTTTTACTACATGAATGACCTCATCAAACGTTCTGGAATCAAATCTGAGACTAGCCAACTTTCAGTTCTGATGCTTCTTGGATGCTGCAAGCTTGTGTTCGTTTTTGTCGGAGGCAAGCTGTTTGACAAGCTTGGAAGACGACCATTGTTGGGTGCTTCTTTGATAGGTACGTTGATGACGACTACTATATTCAGCTTGCTATGTTTCCAATGTGATGCTAATCTTTTTTTCTTGTTTCTTTCTTTTCATGAAACAGGAATGTGCCTCTGTCTCATCATGATCGCCTTTACCGAGAATGTTGCTCAAATTACTGGAGTGGCACTGTACCTCTCTTTTTACAGCATTGGCATGGGTCCCGGAGCATGGTTGGTTCCATCTGAAATCTTTGCTACCAGTATTCGAGCCAAAGGAATGAGTCTGGCGACGACGCTGAACAGAGCAGTTGCGACAATAGTGGCCTCCACCTTCCTCACCACAGCGAATGCCATGGGATGGACAGAATACTTTCTCATGTTGGCTGGAATTTGTTTCATTTTGACCGTCTTCCTTTATGTCTATTTGCCCGAGACAAAGGGAAGGTCCTTGGAAGATATGACATTGTATTTTGCGGAAATTACCAACGATACATCCATCTTGGATGCTGAAGCTACCCTTCGCAGAAACGACGACGTGGAAAAGCCGGTGAACGAATTGTCACCTTTGATTACTCAATAATGATCTACAAAAACGGAAGGAGATGCTACCGGTACAAAGTCGTGCTGGAAGCAGCGATAAATAAACGTGCCAAGTTAGAATGATAGAGCGTCGCTGATGTGTGAGGATAAGGCCAACAAGACAAAAGCTAAACGAGCTATGTTCCAACTTTTTGAATGATGATGTTGATGTACTGTAATACATAGTACGTACAGTATTTTAATACCATGGTACTGGTACCGTTATGGATGATGCATGATAAAAGACTTCTTCAGCACTCACTGAAGGATGTGTTCTTCATGTCGTGTGAGATACCTGGCTGGCGCGTCCAGCAATCATTCCGACGTCAGCACAAAAGAATGAACAAAGGAGGGATCCACCTTTTCAACGGTTTGATACGAACACCGCGAAATCTTTCGAAAAAAAGAATTCGTTGAACTCAAAGCTTCCATTAGAAAACGACGATGACGAGCATATCAAAAGGGGAATCTTCTAGTACCAGTCACAAGGGCGAGCACCATGGAGATCATTCTGATGGTGGTACACTCCAGATTACCCGCGCAACTTATGTCTATTCAATTTGCGCTTGTCTAAATTCTCTCAATCTAGGATTTGACATTGGTGTGACTACCAATGTTGGACCTCTGGTTGAAGCCTCGTTTGGACTTACGACGGCACAGAGAGAGCTATTTGTTGGCAGTATCAATTTTTGGGCTATTTTTGGAGGCTTTTTTTCTAACTGGATTTGTGATAGGTTTGGAAGGCGTCGATCTTTCATCACTGCCGCCGTTGGTTTCATGATCGGGAGGCTCATCACCGGTGCCAGTAGCTCGTTCTTTATGTTGATGGTTGGTCGCATGTTTGTTGGTCTCGGAGTAGGTTTTGGACTTGCCATAGATCCTCTCTACATTGCGGAAATTACACCAGCAGCTCATCGTGGCAAGATGGTATCGTGGTCCGAAATCGGAGTCAATGTTGGCATTGTGCTTGGCCTTGCTACTGCAATCATGTTCTATGGTGTGGATGACGAACTAGAGTGGAGGCTTATGCTCTATATTGGAGCTCTACTACCTCTCGTCATGATCTACCTTGTCTTGAAGATAATGCCAGAGTCACCGCGTTGGTTGGTAAACCGTGGCATGGCCGAAGAGGCTAAGGTGGTCCTGCAGGAGGTATACCCCCCTGGTTTCGATGTTGATGCAGTTATCTCCGATATTAAGGAGGACTTGGATCGAGAACGTCTTGCGAAGCAAATTGGATGGGGTGCCGTTTTGTGCCCAACCAAGGCATTTCGCAGAATGCTAATGGTTGGTTTGGGTACCGCTATTGCACAACAAGCCTGTGGTATCGATTCCATTTTTTACTACATGAATGACCTCATAAAGGCGTCTGGAATCGAATCTGAGACGAACCAGCTTGCAGTTCTAATGCTTCTCGGAGTCTGCAAACTTGTATTCGTCTTTGTCGGAGGCAAGCTGTTTGATACGATGGGAAGACGACCATTGTTGATGGCTTCATTGATAGGTACGCTGACCCAAGCTACGATGTTGTTCTATTATGTCTCGGATGCAATGCTCATCTCCTTGCCCAATTTTTCCATGAACAGGAATGTTTCTCTCTCTCATCATGATCGCCTTTACCGAAAGTGGGGCTCAAATTACTGGAATGGCATTGTACCTGTCGTTCTTCAGCATTGGTATGGGCCCTGGAGCGTGGTTGATTCCATCGGAAGTTTTTGCTACCAGTATTCGAGCGAAGGGTATGAGTTTGGCAACCGTGTTAAACAGAACAGTTGCCACAGTTGTGGCATCTACCTTTCTGACGACAGCAGAGGCCATGGGAATTACAGGATACTTTCTCATGCTGGCTGTAGTTTGTGTGTTTTTCACCGCCTTGATTTATTTCTATTTGCCAGAGACCAAGGGAAGGTCTTTGGAAGACATGACATTATACTTTGCAGAGATCACCAACGATAGATCCATCTTGGATGCCGAAGCCACCCTCCGAAAAGATGAGGTGGAAATGCTTAAAACACCTGTGGAATCGGCTACACCGGCCTAGAATTTCATTTACCTGCTACTGCATGTCCCACTTTTTTTAATGATAATGTATTTTAAATACCAACCTTTGAATGATGTACCGAATACCAACTTTCGGCAAGCATAGGTACGAGTAGCTACACTGATACCTGAACAAAAAGCGCTTGTTCAGTCCTTCCTTTGAACGCTCAAACCACCAACGCAATCAAATCGCAAATGCACTTCAAACAAAGCGATTATCTTCTCGATCTTGCAAACTAGGAATTTCATAGCCTGATGGTCTCTTCTACATTCCTTCCTAGACGAAAATCAGGATGTGGCAAGGTCAACAACCTCCTGGGAGCATTCTTACAATTGGCTAGTCCATGGTCAGTAAAATGTTGCGATTTTGCCAATTTGTAGAAATGGTTATAATCATGAATGTTGTGAATCGCTCCTGTAACTTTTGAAGCGCCCTGAACGAGGGCAATTGGCGTTTGGGCAACGAGCTTTTTGGTCTGTTTTTATTACCGGTTCTTACTGTATTTTGCACGATGGGAAACAAAAAAGCGCTCTTCGCGCTAATTTTTTTTAGTAAAAAAGAACAAGGAAGAGATAAAGAGAGGCGTTTTTATCAGTTGGGCTCATGCCAAGGATGGTCATGCGGTCATGCGAACACTGCGCACTGCAGAATCTTTTGCACAGTAATTTCACGAACTCCTTCAAGTCATAAATACAACGGCTGTGTTGCATTGTACCTGAAAACGACGATGACGAGCCTATCCAAAGCGGCATCTTCCTCTAGCAAGAAGACTACTGGTACCAGTCACACGGGCGAGCACCACGGAGATCACGCAGATGGTAGTACACTCCAGATCACCCGCGCAACGTATGTCTATACGATGTGTGCTTGTATCAATTCTCTCAATCTAGGATTCGACGTTGGTACTACTACCAACGTTGGGCCTTTGGTCGAAGCCGCATTTGGACTTACGACGGTAGAAAGAGAGCTCTTTGTTGGCAGTATCAATTTTTGGGCTATTTTTGGAGGTTTCTCATCCAATTGGATTTGTGACAAGTATGGAAGACGTCGGTCTTTCATTACTGCTGCCGTTGGTATCATGATCGGAAGGATCATTTCCGGCGCTAGTAGCTCGTTCTTTGTCTTGATGGTTGGCCGTATGTTTGTTGGTCTTGGAGTAGGCTTTGGGCTTGCCATAGATCCTCTATACATTGCTGAAATCACACCAGCAGCTCACCGTGGAAA